CGTTAATATTTAACCAACTGCTTAACTGCTTTATGCTTTTACTTATTATACTTTTTATAATCCCACTGCAATTATATAATTAAATAATATTAAAATATAAAAAATAAAAATAATGAAAAATATTTATAAAAAAATACTATAATACTACTATTATATGTTTTTTTTATCTTAATATATTAATTACAGTAAATTAAATAAATATTATATTTACACTTATAAGCTATACCCACTGAAAAATAATAAAAATACAGTATTACTATAACTTTTATAGCTTTAGTCTAAATACTTAACTTTTTTTAATTTTAATTAGCTTATTCTTTATTAAGCTTAAGGTAAGGTATTATATACGTTTAATATTTAGTATGCTTTTTTATAAGTATTTTATTAATATAATAAATATAAGGGAAAAATAGAATAAATTATAATATATAAATAGATAGGTGGATAAAGAAGTTATATATTAAGAAATAATTATAACTATACGCTAATATAAGGGTATTAAAGGCTTTATAACTGGCCTTAAGGATAAGACTAACGGAAGGGGGATATTATATTATAACTTAATATTTTATAGCTGTAATAGAAAGTATATATTTTAAAAGAAGGATAAGCTAAGCAACCTATTAAAATAAAATTAATATAAATTAACTGTTAATTAAGAGCGACCTAGTGTAAGTTAACAAAAGCCAACCGTTAACTTTAATTAACTAAAATATATCCAACTGGATATATAAGTTTACGTTCTTACACTTATTTAAATAGCTTAAATAGCCAGTTGTTAATATAGCAATTAAATTAAATTTAGCTATTATATCTATTAGCTACGTAATATTAATAAAATAACGCCTGTAACCGACCTAACCGCTCCGCCAACATAAACCTAAAACCTAAAGGTTTATCCCTTAGGAACAGCTAACCTATACTATATATAGGACCAGTTCATCACATATAAACTAATATATTATAAAATAGTTATATAAATACACTAAGCTATAAACTTAATTACTTTTAAAAAGTCTTAAATTATTAAATATAAGTTCTTTAAAAAAATAAATAAAAAAACTTTGAATAAAAAAAACTATATATAATATATTAAATTAAAAAATATAATAAAATACTTAAGGAAATTAAAAAATATATTAAAAATTAAATAAAAAATAAATTCCTTTTATAAATTATATTTAAAAATAGCTAATTAATAGTTAAAATTAAGTATTAAATACTATTAAATTTATAAAAAAAAATTATAAAATATATTTATAAATATTTTTAGTTTAAATATTAAAAAATTATAATTATAAATTAATAAATATATATTATTTATTTATTTAAAAAAATAAAAAAAATAATAGTTAATATTATATTAATATATAATAAATATTAATAAATAAAATATAAATAATATAAACTATATAAAATATTATAACTTTTATTAATTTTAAAGGTATTTTAAAAAGTTATTATATTTAATTATATTATAAATTTATTATTATTATAAAAACCTTTTATAAAAGTTATTTATAATAATATATTTATAATAATAAATAAATTTATAAAATAAATATACTTTTTATTATATAAAAAGTTATATAATATAAAAAATCTTATATATATTTATATTAAAATAATAATAGTTAATTATAATTTACTAAAAGAAATTATTTTAAATAAAAAATAAATATTTATTTTTAAATTTTAATAAAAATTAATAATAAAATTTAAAGTTAATTATAAATTTAATATTATTTATTATTTATAAATAAATAAATAAATAAAAAAAATAAATTAAATTATTAAATAATATTTATAATATTATATTAACTTTAAATAAAATAATTAAATTAAAAAGTTACCTTTTACTTAACTTTATTATAATAATATTAAATCTAAATTTATTAAATTAATATTATTTTATATATTTTATAAATATATACTTTTAGTATATAAACCTTTTTTTAAAAAACTAAATATTAATAAAATATAAATATAAATAAAATTTATAATTAATTTATATAAAAAATTATATATTTAATTTAAATTTATATAAAACTATATAAAATACTATATAAATTAAAATAAAATTAAAAAATTAAATCTTTAAAAAAAAAATATAATTTATTTAATTTAATACTTTTAAAATTATAAAATATTAAATATTAAAATAAATTAAGTAAATAATAAATTAAACTATAGGAAAATTAAATTATTAAAATTTTAAAAAAAATTAAAAAAGTTAATTATAAATTTAAAATATTAAAAAATATAAAACTAAAATATTTAATATTTTATATATTATTATTAAAAAAAGTATAAATTAATAAAAAAATAAAAAAATTAATTTTAAATAAAATTATAATATTTAAAAAAAAAAATTAAAATATAAAAAAAATATTTATTATATATTAAAACTTAAAATATAATAATAAAATTAAATATTTAATTTAATAAAAAAATATAAATTTATTTATAATATTTAAAAACCTATTAAAAACTTTAATTTTTAAAAATTAATAAAATAATTTTATTAAAACTTTAAATTATATTATTAAAAATTATATTTTAATTAATTATATTAATTTTATTAAAAACCTATATATTAATAATTATTTTTAAATTAACTTATTTTATTTTATTTAATTTATTTAAAAAATAAATACTTTTATAAAATATTTACTTTTTATAAATATTAATTTATTTATATTATTTTTATAATTTAATTAATTATATAAATTTTTTATTTATTTATTAAATTAATAATATTATTTATTATTATTATTATAATAATTTTTATTTTATTTAATATTTTTTAATATTTATATATTTTTTTTTAATAATTAAATATTATATTATAAAATTAATATAAAAAATATTAATATAAATTAAAAAATTATTTATTATTAATTAATAAAATTTTATTTTTATTATAAATATAATTATAATATATATATTTTTTATATTCTTTATATTTAAATATTATTTTATAAAATAATTTATTAATTTTATAATATAAATAAAATATAATAAAAAATTTAATAATTTTAATTATAAATATTATTATTTTATAATTTTTTAAAAACTTTTTAATAATAAAAAATTATTAATTTTATTTAATAATATAAAATATTATTAAAAATAAAAAATAAAAACTTATTTAAAAATTAATATAAAGGCTTAATATATTATATATAAATTTTAAAAGTAAAATTAATAAAAAAAAATATTATATTATAATTTAATTAAAAATATATATTTTTTAAATAAAATATAATAAAAATAATTAATTAAAATTAAAAATTCTAAATTTATTTTAATATATATAATTTAAAAAATAAACTTTAATATTAAAATTATAAACTTATTTAATATAAAAAAATATTATAATATAAATTATTAAAAATAATTAAATATATAAATTTATTTTATTATATTTATTTAAATAGTTTAAATAGTTAATTATTAATAAAATATTAAAACTAAATATAAATTACCTTTTTTATTTTACTTTTATATATTTATAATTACAACCGCTTAAAAGCTACTCTCTATCCTCTCTGCTAATATAAACCTACGACCTAAGCTTATTACCTTAGGAACCCTTACCCTATACTAGGAATAGGGATCAGGACGTTACAAAAACTCTTCTTACAACCCATTGCCAGAGTTGCGGCTGAATGTTACTTCAGGAGTAGGCAATAATGAATACCACCATTATTATTAGTATTTCCATACTATTGTAACGACTCCAAAGATGTGTATTGAGTTTATCAAATTTTTAGAGAGAGCCGATTTCTCCGTATGACTTAGAATCATTATGTCGTCAATGTTAAAGCGAGGAATAGTCTGCGTATGTGATATGAGACAAAGTACTAAATATATTTTTCAAGAAACTTTAGAATAGCAATGATCTTTTCATCCTCAAATCTGCGGCCAACAATTTGCAGACCAACGGACATACCGTGGAATGTCTCATGGTTGTCTAGAATGATATACTATTAGTTCACGTGTGATAACATGGTAGCGCAATAATAAGTGATTCACTTACAGAGCTGCCAGTTCTCCTCGTCCAAGCCACTCAGAAATCGTTTCCGATTGTCCTTGATATCAATTTCTTTCTCAACTCTTCCAGCAGGAAAAGTCAATGCAGGATAGTCCAGTAGATTCCACACTGCTGTATATGTCCAATACTTTGCTGTATTATGCTGAGTCGCCACTCCAGGTGCAACTGGACATATTATAGCATCAACAGTGTGTTCCCATAATCGAGAAACATCATTCCAACGCCCCGTTTTATTCCAATGATGGGAATACTCCAACCTGAATTCCTCTCGCTCTTCTAGCCAGTACTCTAGCTCCCCGCGGCTCAGCTTCTTCACCCCAGGATTTTCCTTCATGATCCACTCAGTTAATGGCAGCCATGGCTCTCCCGACTCAGCCATGATCGCAATATCAGCATCGCCTCCATCAGTAAAGTATAAGCTAGACACAATAGCCCACGCTTCGTCATGCTTATAGGCCGGAAAATTAACCACCTCTACCTGCGGCAACCCGCTCACTTTCTCTGCAAACTCTCTGAGCACCCTCTGCACTGGTGGATGTGGCTGGACGATTCCGTCGTGCCATATTATCCCCAAACGCAGCGGCTTCTCTCTGGTCGGGTCTATGTGTACTGTTTTCCATGGTAAGGGTATGATTGCTGGCTCGATATTCCATGATTCTGCAGCCACAACGACTCTCATGAATATTTCCAACACTTCCAGATTAACGCCCATCGGACCCAGCACCGTTACAATTGGGTCTGCTCCCGGCGGAGTACTGCTCCAGCCAGTCGTTGGTACCCGAAATGCTGTTGGCTTCAACCCATAAATCCCACAAGCAGCAGCTGGGACACGAATCGATCCACCCACATCACTGCCTACGCCTAGGACCGAGCCGCGCAATGCTAGCAGCGCTCCTTCACCACCAGACGAGCCACCTGAAGACAGAGCGACGTGAGAATACGGATTCGTGGTGATTCCATATATATTTGAGGCGCATTCAAGCTGCATCATGCTTTGAGGCTCAGTTGTTCGGGCATGGACGACGGCTCCAGCACGCGTGAGAATTTGTACCACCAATGAATCTGATACAGGACGGGTACGTGAGTGGAATGGGGCGCAATAACCGTAGGTAAGAGGCCGACCAGCAATGCCGATATGGGATTTGATGCTTATGGGCAAACCATGAAGAGGACCAATTGGAATGGAACATCGAGAAAGGTGGTTATCGAGCTCGGCAGCTCGAGAAATAGCTCGTTGCGGGAGAAGTTCAGTCAGGCAGTTCGTCTATAATTGTAAATTGGTAAATGATGTTAGGCTCATGGATATGGGAAGCTTTGTTTGGCTAACTTACGAGCTTCTGAGCAGCCACGGCTCTTTCTAGGAAGGCCTGTACCACTTCCCGAGCTGATAATTTGCCGCTAGAGATTAAATCTATAAGCGCTTGGGGCGATAAAGATGTTATTCGAATATTTTTCTCTGACAAAACTTTTTCCGGAATATTGATGACGTTTGTTGGAAGCCGAGGTGGTAATGAAATGGTTATTCCAACATCGACTAGGCTTTGATCGCGAAGTGCCTGTGCCTCATCAGCAATTTTCTGCCAGGATTTGCTCCCTTTTGTCTTTTTCAATACTGGCATGATTAAAGCGGTGAATTATTAAGCAGTGTGCTCCTTCGACACCTTGGGTGAAAGGTACAAGATTATTGTGCGCCAGATGTTCTAATTTGTCAATAGATGAGGGTTAGGCACCAGTGAATGATGACATAATACCCCAATAATGATTTCTGATCTCGTTACTCCATTATTGATGAAAATCAGTGAGTAAGCTTCTGAATGACACAGGACAAAACATAGGTATGTAGCAATGCTTTACATTTGTTGCACTCTTAGTACTGACAAAGTACAGCTGTAGGACGAGTGTTCGAGGGTCAGTGTCCAAACTGAGATTTTCAGGTGAATAATCGGTCGATAAAAGAGCAGAGCTTTTATATTCCATGTGAAAAGTTACGGACGATCGTTGTTGGATATAACGGCAGGAGCAAATAGTTGCCTGCGTAAGATGTCTCGCGAAAAATTCATTTAGGTGTATTATCTTCTTCAATTATGTTTAACATCGCGCTGGACCCATTATGGTGTTTCATCTATTCCATCTCTAAGGATTCTCCACTGCTTGGAGCCAATATTGGTTTGAGAAAGTTGCAGTCCAGAAACGTTCCCACATGAATCCTACTTCGGGATTCGTAGTATTGGCTTCAGTAAATCTTTGTAAAGCTCTTTCATATGCTTCTAGCGGCTGGCTATAAATTGTCTCTCGCCGAACAGCAAATGTTCCACCGTGTGCAGCTCGAATGGCTGGTGGGTGATCCTCTCGTAGGACATAATTCCAGAGTTCTTCAGGAGTGTACGGAGCAAACACCAGAGAACTTAACTGACTTGCTGTAATCCAGATGCTTTCTTTTGGATCTGTCCAGTTGATCTTCGCCCAGTCATCGACATCATGAAACAGAGTTGGATCGAAAGGATTAACTTCGTTGGGTTTGACTTGGAGAGCCACATCAATCATTTGATTGGTCGAGTTGACGACCGTGCCAATAAGATCATAGGGATCTGCTTGAGAGAAAATCATGTAATCCTCTAACGTATTCCAATTGTTCACAATATGGTATAAATGCGTGTGTCCCTCTCGGCCGATATTGGGTAGCTCAACATAGGAGCGGAAAGCGTCGTGGTTGACGGTGTCGTTAGATTGTGGGATTCCGCCTTTATCATAGATATAGGAATAATTAGCTGCTGAAAGCCATGGCTCCAAATCTTCTTTATAGCGAGCCACAACGATACCGAGGCTTGTCGTTGGAATTGCCAACGGAAGACTGGCAGCCGCCGAGACAATAGAACTCATGTTGATAATATGTGGCGTTATTGCTTGTTTATATAAAATATAAATGGAAAGAAGTTATTCTCGGTAAAGGGGATTTAGTAGATGGAATGGGTTGAAAAAGAAAGCTGATGGATTCTTATACACAATCACACTTATTAGGAGAGCCTTGTCTGAGAAATTGAACTCAAATCGAGCAGAGTCAGCACTAGGCCGCTGTAACCCCCTTACTCAGACAGGGTATGGCATCGAACCCCTTAAAGCCAGTGGAAAAGCACATTACATCGTAATCGGTATACGTATTGCATCTTAGTACAGGGAGTGGCGATCTTATCGCGTATGTACTTCAAGGAAGAGTCGTCATAAAACTAAGCGTTGGGGCCCACTTCAACGAATGCATCAAGTCATCAAATCATCGGTGCCACAACATGGTTTTCATTGTTCGTCAGCCGCATTACTGATCTTAATAAGGAGGCCGATGCTGTGGGCTGCTCCACAGCACAAATGACGAAAGCCATTTTACAGTTGTCAACAGATAGCATCAGCCGCCATGTCGTCATAACATTGGTGCACATATCTACCGCTTGTCGGAAGCCAATTTAGTCCCCTTGTATATCAAGGAAAGATAAATCAACATAAAATGTGACGCGGATTAGAATCACACCCCTTAAAGGTGATTATCTTCTATCTCTCAATACAGTATACCCTACAAGTAAACAGTTCACAATTGCTTAACAGAATAAGTAGGGAAGCTTTTGTCTCTTTCGCCATGGATACCGAGTATGCTTACAGCAAATCTTTTTCCTTAAGTGACTCTACATAAGTCGTCTATTGCTGAGATAACGATATCTTATTACAGCATCGTTAGCTATATCCGAGCTGTGATATTGCTAGATCACACTTCTACTTGTAGGTGCTTGGACTAGAGATCTTTGAACTGTATAATATGGGATGCGGCAAATATTTATCAGCCGCCTCATGCTTTCCAGCTCGACTTACACAGTGCTTGAAATGTAATTACAGTGGTTCTCACAGTTTATATGGGATGTCTATCATTACAATTCATGATTAACACATGACTACCTTTGTAAATGCAGATACTAGACCCAAGTACTCTATAATGGTTATAAAAGTAAGTGATCACATTTACCCTCATATATACGTCCAAATTACAGTTCGTTCAGTAATCGCCCCATTGTGCACGAGGGAAGATTGAACACTGCATTTGTCACGAGTGGATTGAACTACGCGTCCGGACTTTAGGCAGCAGTATAGGAGACGGCAAAACAGGGGTCATGGCTGTCAGCATGTCTAGAGCGCTAAGCATGCGAATATGTTTCCACAATTATAACTCAAACGTTCTTTTCTCTGTACGGAGTACATACGGAGCGTCCCTATCTATGTATAGTAAGTAATGAACCAGTCTAACAACAGTTTGTTTTCGTCGGTTTTAGTGACATTAAATCTACAACTAAAAGTGCTGTTAATGGTTGTAAAACGGACCATCTTGCTATGCTTTTTACAGTTGAACGTCGCGGATTCACGCTCTGCCTGGAAAAGAGACGCCCCCCAAAGATCTTCATGCCACCACACCGCGATTGTTACTATAAGCCGCGGATGCCGCAGTGGTACCACAGTCCCCTGCGCACCCCCTATAGATGACCGCATTTTTCCTTGCTCAGGAACAGCTTTGAACACCCTTTCTTTTTTTTTCTTTTTTTTTCGATCGCTCATTATAAAACACCACCTGTCTTCCCATAATGATGAATCAATTTCCTCTCCGTTCCTCGAGGAACGCACACGTAAATGGTTATCTGCATAATTTCTATTGTTCCTCATTTCTTAGATATTGATACTCATATAATCACAAGATTCGTAAGAAACACAATCTGATAGTATTTACATCTCAATTGTTCTTATAAATGGTATTACGCGACGGAAAAGATGCAATAAAATTCAGTTCAATTTCTCGGACTATCCTCTAGTAACTCAGCCGCTTGACCTGGGACGAGCTGTCACCTTAAGGCCTCTGGGAGTACAGTTTATGCTCTCCCAGTAGCTGAACTTCATTCCATCATCCTCTGAAATACTCCATTCAAAAGCCATGACAAGCGCAGCAATACATACGCTTAACTCCATGTAAGCCAAATTGCGCCTAATACAAGCCCGCCCTCCCAGCGTAAACGGCAAAACAAAATCTTTCAAGTTTTTTTTTTTCTGTCTCCGAGAATTCTGGATATTCTGGAAGCCATCTTTCTGGAAGCCATTTCAGCGGTTCTCGAAAGAGGCTCTCATCTCGATGCATACTGTATACGGATGAGGAAACTGTCACTCCGGCTGAGATTAATGACCTGCTATTACGGCCCCATTTTGAACGGTTAATCGGGGAAGATTGAACCGCACTGGAGGTAATAGCCTGAATATCTCGTCTAAAACTGCATTTAGAAATGGTATCTTACTCAGATCCCTGTATGGAGCAATGGGCTGCGATTGGCTTGGTAATGAATCAGCAAGGAGATTGTATAGCTTTCGTTGGCATTCTGGATGAGACGCAAGCTCATAAATAGTATTTGTAAGTGATATTTGAATCGTATCGTTTCCTGAAAATGGTCAGAATAGATAAAAACAAGCATGTACTGTTTTCAGCATCTAATAGTTCACTTGCCTGCATTGAGAAAAGTGCCGCACTCTGCTATAAGCTCGGGTAACTCCATAGGAATGGGGGATTTCTTCGTCTTTTGTGTTGGAAAGAAGGAGAAGAAATCAATGTCATCTAAAGCACCGCGTTCCATACGTTTAACAATGCCATATCTAGCCATTCCTAAAAAATAGTCCGCAGCTGCTGTCTAGTACATCGGCTTCGTAATAAACCTTGAGGCTTGATATATAGATGGGGGAAGATGTGCACATAAAGCGTTGAACTGCACACCAGCTTAGAAACATCTTATCGCCGGCACTATCAGGATGCGTCCATCACCGGCCATAGACTTACATTCGTCGCTCCCACACTTGAGAAATCCATATGACGAAGACCATAGCAATTTAGAGATGACATCGTACGAAAACATGTTCAACCAAGGTTGTATGTCAAAGACGCCCTCTAGAACCACGTGATTGTCCTTGTTTGATAAAGCTCCCCCGTTCAATTTGATGCGGATTGCTGCAAGTAGCTCTTCCACCGAGCTTGTCACTTGAGGTTCCATACTCAGAATATTTTTTGCCGAAAAAATACTCGACAGATTCTTCCGTTTGATTGAATGCAACTGTCGATTTGTCGCATCACCCATGGGCGGATTGCCGTTTGCTAAATTATCGTAGAAGATGTCCTTCAGAATCGAAGAACCATGGCCATATATATCTTTATATGCTTCAGGGCCCGAGAATGAGAGCGTTTTAGGACCAACTCGAAGAACCGGGCCGAGTTTTTGGTGCGCCATGTCAGGAGCTAGATATTTTTTGCCATAGGCATTATGCCAGATCATCCACAAAGGTGAGAATGCAGCCGCCAGTGACGGCGAAGGGAACCGGCGAAGATGATGGGTATCGATAAAGTAGTGCAATACCGAATATAGTAACGTAGCAACTGGTAGCACAATAAATGCCCCGACGAGGACTTGAACTGTATATCTTGTCAGTTTTTGTTGACGAGAGAGCAATTGGTGCAAGCAAATAGCGTTTCACGTAATAGGAGTGCATCCTATTTACTTACTCGTGAAGCTCATCATGTATGTTTAATGAACGAAAGCGGTGCGTATAATGTTCTAAAGCCCATTAGTTATGATACGAATGTCAAATAGGACTAGTGAATATCTTTTGGGCGCCTGATCATAGCTCTATTTATAAAATTGTAAATCCTGTATCATATCTGTCTATCCGAAGTCGGATTTTAAGAAACAAATACCTTCATACTATTCAATTAGTTTCCAATTATTTATGAATTACCGCCCGAGCTCGGATAATATGTACATATGCTCGATAGTTGAGTAGAGCACCATGTAGATGTGATTCCCGAATTCGGGAATCACACTACCTAATGTAAGGGTCATATCGAACTTATCATAAAATAGCTGAATATCGCAACAGAACATTCAACTCATATAATTTGTAGCACAATTAAGCTTGATTGATCTAAAATGTCTTCTTCTATACAAACGAGAACTGCATTGCATGACGTTATACATAGGCTATCGATATGTACCAACGAAAGGTACAATGCTAAGTGACGGCTTTGGTACCTCTATCTTTAATTCGGTACACGAAAGTCATTTGCCGTTTCTTTGGCTCCTGGTCCAATATCTCCTTCTCGCAACAGAGGGCCAATTTTGAAAGCTGGGATCTCTTTAAAATCCAACTTGGCGGGGTGGTCTTTTGGGCACCAATACAGAGTACCGTATCTCAGCCAATGCGCATATGTTCCTGCAACATTGTCGCTACCCTCATTGTTCCTCCATAGGGAGCTCAAGGTATCTCCCATAACTCTAACAATCATGCCTGTTGCGAGCTTCATACCAAAACTTTTTGATAGACAATCCTCTACGATCTGGCGTGCGAGTTTTTGGTCGTCACTTTCCTTTTCGCCGTCTCTGGGAACTGGTAGAGACATGAGCTCAAACTGTCTGGGGCCGTTCCATGCGGTAATTTCGTTAATTAGCTGTGATCCGACCATGAAATCATAAGCATAGACGTGCTCTGCTACGTATTTCGGTCCATTCCAGTCATCCTCCACATCGATCAAGCCCATAACCATGGTGATGACCTGCCCCTGAATGATGTAATCAGTTAACATTCTGGCCGTCTCTTCTCGTCCATATGTTCTGCCATTCTCTGTCATTGAGAGCCCAGTATCCATCAAGGGAAGCCCTTTCAGCAAGGGGCTAGCATGCATCCCCTCGGTGCTGGTCTTGCCCCCATCTGCGGCCCACAGTGCAAGTAACAGCCTGTGGCACCGGAAAAAGAAAGGATTATTTCGTCCTGAAGCGAGGAAATAGTTTGCCATGCCACGCTCCTCAGGTCCACCCATGTTATAAGTGAATATATCGTATGGCGAGCTTGGATCGCCGATGGTAGTATTCCAGACACGGTCCAGATCCCCTATTTGTACCATGCCTACATCCGCATAGACACCTCCATATTTCAATAAGAGGGGAAATCTCACAAGATCTGAGATGTGCTGATTCGCGTGGTGGCCACCAATAGTACCATCCGTAAAGGCTTTGGGAAACACCTTGGTATCATGGATGTCGAGGTAGTTTGCCACATTCAAGGGAGAGCCAACTTCAAAATCTAGGACGCGGATCACCCATCCCTTCTTGGAAAATCTCCTGTGCCAATTCCGAACAGTGCGCCGAGTGTAGCCGTGCATTTTACTGATACCACTATGCCAGAAGAACCAGATATTTTTCTCGTCCGAGACGGGCTTAGGGTTGAGCAGGTCATGATCCACATCAGCGTCCGATCGAAGGTCCAATTGATCTTGCGGGATGGCGTACACGCCATTTGGCATAGGATATGACAAGAGCGAGTCCATTATGTGGGGTAGTAATTGAGTGCTCAAAGGAATATGGGTATAGTTCATACGAATAAAGTGGGAATTAACTGTTGCGGAGATAGGGTCTTGCTAGGGATTATCTTTGCTTATATTTATGTTGAATGCTTGAGGGATCTATATATCGGACAGTTGATGGAGCCATTTGGAAATCCGGTTGAATTGTATTGCGGGGCACACAGCCTTGGGATGAGTCACTAGCTGTTGGAAGGCAGATTATGAGGAGTCACCTCCTGTGGGGGGAGTTGTGGCAAATTTACCACGGGAAACACAGGGCCGTAGAGTCAACACTATAATAGGGGAATGACCAAATTGAGCCAAATTGAGTTATATTCTAGATCCTTTTATTTTTCCCTTTCAACCGCTACTGAAGTTTCAACTTTGGAGTCACCCTGCTAAGCACGGGAAACACAGCCGGGCAGCCGGGCACGTCATTGTGGTGACTCTGCCCATGGCTTTAGAAATTGCACTGGGGTATCCACACATGTTTTCTCTAGTAAATGACGACTTCATGTATTTTCTCTGTGATCTTCGACATATGAGACCCTGCGGGACTGGATGTCAATTACTGCGGTGATTGTACTCACCCCGCGATCTGTCAATGTTCCAAGCCTCCTCGCACTAATTCTAGAAACTCAATTGAAGCGAAGACAGCATATACATGACAATCGGCAGCTGCGACATCATTATCTATAATCCGTGGTACTAGATACTACTTATATCCAATTCTGTTTTTCTGCAAAGCATGTAAAAGCAAATTTTTGCTTTGACTACATCGATGGACAGGCAAACATAGAGATTTAATATTTAAATGTGCTTTAAATAGACAGTATAAAAATATATTCTTTTATTTAGAGGTTAAAAACTGGCAAATAGAACAAGCATTTCTTTTCCTCGAAATCTCAATTATTACGTTATTAATCCCTCCGAGTTCATTCGCATACTGCTATCCTACAGCCTTTCTAGACACAACTGTGAAATCTACAGAAGAGAGAGTAGGGCCAAAAGAATGCAGGTGAAGCTTGGCAGAACCAACGCGTGGCTCGCACTGCTACCAACGGGTACTGTGGGAGCGGTAGCGCCACCAGTGGCGGTGGTTGTTACTCCTCCGGTAGCCAATGTGCTGTTCCAAGCCACAGGAGAACTAGTTGCTGACTCGGTCGCACCGGTCTGGCCGGCGGGAGTGCTCTCAGAAGTGCTAAATTAACATTGTTAGTATGGTTCATATTCCCAGGAAGGGTAAACTGACATTGTGGCTCCATTCGAGATGGTATGGGTAAGGGTGCAAGGGCAATCGGTGATAGTGAGGGTAGTGGCCTAAAAAAAAACTGGTTAATTATATTCCAATGATGAACTAACAATAAATGTTGAAATATGCTTGCCTGAGTAACAGTGTAAGTGCTAGATCCAGCTGTAAATACAGTGCTGCCTGGGCAATAAGTTGTGTAGCTAGTGACAACTTCAGTGATGGTAGTTGCGCCGGCTGACTGAGAGGCAGATGTCGCAGTAGCGACACTGGTAGCTGCGGAGGAGCTGCTCGAGGAGCCACAGGTTCCCTTTGAATCTCTCTTCAAAAGGATAAGCTCATCGCCCTTAGAACCATCAGAGCCGTGAATATAGCTCCATGAAAGAGCGGTGGCGTTGTGAACGGTCAATCCACCAAATCCAAAGTTGGTCTGATCAAGATAAGTAGTAATGTTCAAAAGAGGGTCTGAGCCAAGAGTACTGTGGCTCTCAATGTTTCCTGCAGCTCCGTTGATGATATGGGCCATAGAAACACCTGGGTTTGTCCAGTATGTGTTGTTATTGATCACAGAGGCCTCATCAATAGTACCATTGCTTCCGAGAGGAAGAAGGCGCTCATACCAGTGAATGTGTCTATATAAAGTTAGTAATTAAGATCAAAGCAGGGCAAAAACGTTGCTGGCATACCCAGAGAGATAGAGATCGACTCCATTTTGCAGCATGAGATCCTCAAAAGCCGCGCGAATGGTCTTCTGGTAAGACGAGACCTGTGAACTATAAAACGGACGGTGGCTCATTGCAATAACCCAGGGGGTCTTGCAGCGGTCGACACTCTCCAAATCCTTCTTCAACCATTGGTACTGAGCATAGGCCTTTTTGTCGTTATAGTCACCGTCAACAGCGCCGAACGGGCCACTGTCAGTGACATATGTCTGGTTAGCAAAAGGATGAGTTTGGTTTCCCTTCACGTCCTTAGCAAAAGGCCACTCGGGGCTATTCGGGTAATCAGTCTCTCCGTCGAGAGAGACGAAATGAGCAAGGCCATAATCGAATGAATACCAGAAGTTACCAACACCTCCAGTCTCACCTCCAGGCATGCGGAATCTGTTTTGAAAGGCAGTGAAGTTCCTAGGAGTCGTTAGATATATCCTGTAGAAGGAGGGTGGGTCCCATATTATAGCGCATCTACAACATACCTTTGAGAAGGGGGGCAGCTATAATACGTAAGGGAAGACTTGGCAGCACTGCCGTTAGGCTGGTTCTTGTTCAGGTAGGCTGTGAGGACGTTGCCAGGGCCATCAAATTCGGCGCAGCTGGCTTCATGGTTACCGGGCAAGACCATGTAAGGGGCCTTAAGGGTGACGGAGTTCATCCACTGCTGCCATAGATCCCAGTTCGATTCATATAGGACGCTCATATCTCCGCCTTGGGGGCCACCTTGGTTGGCAATTTCTCCGGCCGGAAGAGGCGTGTCATATTCCTTCGGGATAGGGCCACCTCCGGGCAACTCAGTAGAGGTGCCATTGTAACAAACAGGCCAGTCACTTTCACACGGAAGTATACCAGAATACCAATCATCGGCGTAGCTAATGTCGCCTCCGTGCCAAATGAATGCGGCACCGTTGTTGACGGCCTCATTGACGTACTTGTAGGTTCCACCAGCGTTGGTGTAGCCCATGTCATTTACGACCGCAATGGTGAATTCAGAAGAGTCACCTGCCTCCTTGGCAGTCTTAAAAGACAGAACATCAGATGCAGTGGTGCCGTTGGCTGCCGGAATCTGATAATAGTAAGTCGTTCCGGGCTTCAGGTTGCCAATCTGGACATCATGGAAGAATTCGCTGCACTGAGTTGTTACAACAAGGGAGCATGACGGAGTACGGCCGTATCTGTGCAGATCAATTAGCTATAGACAATAAAGAATCAATAGAGGATATTAATACGTCACTGATTTACCGGTAGCGGTATTGCTGAGATCAGATGCACTAGTTCCCCAAACGACCGAGGGTGCCTCTCCCAGGCCGAAGGGTGTCTGATAGTGGATGTTGATGCCGTTAGGTACGTATGAAATGGAAATGACATTGACGTTGTTGGTGGGGTTCGAAGAAGCTGGCTTCACAGCAGGCGGTTCTACCAGTCGCACGAATCCTTTACCATTGCCATTGACAGTGGGATCAAGCCAGTCGCCAACGGGGATCTTGGGCCCAGTATAGGGATAAAGCTCGTCGGCGGTTGGTGCAGCATCAACCGCCACGGCAAGAATGGCTCCCAAGAGAGTAGCGGACTTCATTGTAGATGACGGATTGATCTTTTCTACCGGTCTGATGTTCGGATTAACGAATGACAATAACGAGAGACCAGGCAGCCGAAGGCAAGGAAACCACACGACTGACGGCGGTTCTTAAGGCACAACCGCTCTCGAATCAAGGCACGTAACAACAGAAATGCGACCGAGAGCTGGGGGCATTTAATACAAATTGATTATGCTGCTTGCCCAGGCTTCAGCATAGTTAGCTCTCTGGCCCATTCTCACCTGCCTTTTGAAGGTGTTGTCATAGCTCAATTCGAATTCGGTGTAGTTCGGATGCGATTCCGATCCGTATCAACACTAACAATACTTTTCATATGCCCAATATGGTCAAACCGTACCCAATCCAATTGTGTCGCAGATTACACGTGCAAAAATTACAATGCCGTGACGGACTCGGCACGAACAAAATCGCCAACAGATGTGGATCCGTTGCTAGCAGCTACCACAGACCCTAGTTTTGGTCCAGGGTCTTTTTGTAAATGAATCGGTTAATCGGCATCGAATATTTTTCTGGGCACGATGCAAATGTCCCAGATGGTAAGCCCAGACGCGTTGACAAGCAAGCCAGCCCTCCCCCACGCGGGCTGTCATAAGTCTTCGTCCGCACATCGCTGGCCAAAATATGAAGATCGTAGTTTTGCGGTAATTTGCAATTGAAAACATGCCGACTTTTTTTCCCCTCAAGCATTTATAGTGGGCAGTCATCCTTATGCCGAAGTCAAGGTGTGTTCGCCAGAGTCAATGCGTTCACCAGAGAAGCGATATAGCATCACTCCCAAACCCGGAGAGCTTTCACGCGCATCTACAAATCTCCGTGCCAGGGCGACCATCACTCTAAAGCTAGCCTTAGTCTGCCGTTGTCGGTCCAAAAAAAGGTTTAGCTGTCAATAGCCACCAGGTACCAGCTCCATGATCATCAATCCTGTATTAGAGCGTGTAGCGTCTGGCTCCTCTCATGTGGTATGTATGAACCCCACGTGGATAAAGCATTATGAGCAAATGAAATGCGGCTCATTCATCAGCCAGCGCAAAATAGCCTTCTCGTCATCATGAGCAACGCCAAGCATAGCTTTTTATCCAGCTGAAACATGTAGAAGCGAGGTCCATTGATTCGCTCCCCTTCAAAAGACTATCAAGTACCCAAATTAGCTCATCCAACTGGCTTCAGTGAGTCTTGAAAATGGGTACTAGGTTAACGGAAGCAGTCTATACATATAAACAAATAAAAAGACAGCGATTTCTAAGCAAGGCACATCATAACTTCGCACATGTCTCCATACATCTGAGTATCTTACTCGGAATACTATTCCGGTTTACGTCTCTGCATTGTTTAATCCACATCACCAAAGGACCACCTCGGCCTCGTGTGACTTCCACGTGGCAAGGCAGATCGATGAAACCTACGGCTCTCTTAACCTCTTCCACGCCTAGGAATGACGGCAGAAATAATCAGTATGAGGTTATATAAAGTGCAATTCTTATTGCTCTGACAAGACCCTATAAACGGCGATCATATCCTCATCTTCCAATCCGGAATCCATTGCCTGCCTATACAAAGAGTTGCATACTTGAATGAGAGGGGTTTCTGCTTCTGCGGCCTTCGCCGCTGTCCGAATCAATTCAGTGCTGTTGTAGCAGTCCTTCACAGCTGCTTGGGCAGACCAGTCTCCTTTGGCTATTTTGGCTAGCTTTAGTTTCGAATAGGCAGAGGCCAAGGGACCAGCATCCAGCACACTACTAAATGCTTCAAGATTGAGACCCTGTGCTCGGGCTAGATTCATCGATTCCGCGAGACCAGCGGTAACAGTGATAAGAAAAATGTTGACGGCATACTTGGTCTTCAGGCCCGCCCCGATAGGCCCACAATAGACAGCCGCACTGGTAATTGGTTCAACAAAAGGTCGGATGCGCTCGCATTCGGCTTGGTCACCGGCCATCATTCCCACAAGATTCCCTGTTTCAGCGGGCACTTTGCTTCCGCTGACAGGCATCTCGATAAACTTGCCACCTGCTTCGTGGACCTCTTGCGCCAGATCCTGACTGAATTCCACAGAAACTGAACTAGTGTTGATAAGGGTCTTTCCCCGAAGCGCTTTTCTGAAGTCGTCGTCGATTACGGACCGTATGGCAGGACCGTCAAACATCATGGTGAAGATGATATCGGATTGTTCGACCACTTTGGCTGGCGTCTGGCCGAGCCCGGCACCTGCTTGTACCAATGCTGCGCATTTAGAGGCCGTTCTATTCCAAACAGTGGTGGGGAATCTGCGACACAAGTTGATCGCCATGGGCGTTCCCATCACGCCCAGGCCCAAAAATCCAACACTCATATCGTAAGGTAAAAAGTATTATTTCTTGCTGCTATCTCGTTGCCCCAGTTCCCCTCTCTCTCATGAGATAACCGTCCCAGGTATATAAGATATTAGCATGCCCAATGAATGCTTGCAAATACCAATAAGCAATCAGTCTTTCGCAGGGCGCGGCTAAAAAGTCGGCCAGTCACAGAACTCTCGGGCGGTTAGATGCGGCCTTGAATGGCTTAATCGCAACACCTATACTCCAGCGTCATGACAATTACTTCAAGTGCAGCGTTTAGCATTAAAGCAAAGCATGAAATGGTCCTGGACAACAGATCTGTATCTTATACAAGTCCCATAAGCCCACACATTTACATGTCGGTTGCATGGGCTTTACGGCATACGTACCCCAACTATCCATAAACGAAAGGAAACCTTACGTTTAATATAAACAATGGACCAATTAAGCTTAAACAATCGGCTCAATTCCAACATACCCGACAATATAATGAAATAACCCGGATTTCTTTTAGTCTACGCGCATGCGCTTGATTTGTATGGACCAAGAACTCCTTTTCCAGGCACCTTTAAATTTCGCCGTTTAAAATAACGCGTAATAAGGGTAAACGCGAACAGGGCGCGATCGCGCATCGTATTAGTAATTGTGCCGAAATGCGCTGCAAAGTAGCAACTCGAATAGTTGAGGATAAAGAAAGAGTTGGGGAGACAAACCGGAAGAATGAAAGAAAGTCCGATGCCCGAAAAGTTCCCTGTTTTTGCTTGCTGCTTCTTACTAATTGAACAGAGGTAAAGAAATTTGGACATCATGTACAGAGAGCAGCAAGGCCGGAAGTATTTCTGTGAACTCACCCTTGATGAGTGAAATTGCAATGAGAGATATGTCTATTACCGCTTATCTTATTGACTCACTCGCTTTCTATAGATTCTTTTTTTTTAATTCTTTTTTTTTAAAAAAAGAAAAAAAAAGAAAGAAAGAAAGAAAAGGAGAGAGAGAGAGAGAGAGAGAGAGAAAGAAAGAAAGAAAGAAAGAAAGAAAGAAAAGAAATTCGATAAAATAGAATTATGTAGAATATACCTAATAGCGGCATGAATAAGAGTCATTATATTGCAGAACAGAAAATCCCGAAATATTAATGTTACGTATTTTCTAATTTTTTTTTTATTTAACTGAGTACAGGGTATCGTAATACCACCGGTTAATGTTTGACAACTATCTTTCCACCTGCATTATGTGAATCTAGCATTTCATGCGCCTTTTGAATGTCCTTATACTCGAAAACAAATGCGGGTTTTGCATCCCAGGCTCCCTTCTCAATCTTGCTGACAATATCCTGAAGGGGAATGCCGGACATGGGAAAGTCAGGAGTGCCCAACACTTTGCTGTGAAATAAGCTAAAGTGCACCCCCGAGTCCATCTGAACCATAGGGTTGAAATCAACCACGGGATCTAATCCACCGAGCCACCCAGCTTGAAGCATGCGCCCACCAGGCCGAGCCAAGGAAATAGACTCCAGTAAAACTCTGTTGCCGATCAAGTTCAGAACCTTATCAAATCTAAAGCCGCTGGGGAATTCCGACTGGAGGCCCTCGTGCTCTAGTTTGGCATCAACGGCGCCCATTGTCTTCACAAAGTCGAACCTCTCCTTTCGTCTCGTCGTCGCTGTAACCCGAGCACCGGCGTCAACAGCCAAATGAAGAGCTGCTTGACCGATAGTAGAGGTTGATCCGCGGATAAGAAGTGATTCGCCGGGCTTCAAATCGAGAACCGTGAACAGACAAGAATATGCTGTTGAGTAGACTTCTGGAACAACAGCAAGTTGCTCCCAGGGAAGCTCTGTCTTGACTGGAACGACGTTTGCAAGTGGAACATTTACGAATGATCCATATCCTCCAGGGCGATTCCTACCCATGCCTCCCATTACTCCGACAACTTTGGTGCCGATCGAGATCTCGCCGCCGGGGCAGGCTGCGACAACTCCAACACATTCTAACCCAGAAATTGGGTTCCATTCATCCCATTCGCCTTTGCGCATGTGCATTTCGGCATGGTTTACGCCAAAGGCGAAAACTTCCACGAGCACTTCCCCGGCAACAGGCTCTGGCTTAGGCACCTGCTGGATCTGGAGAACATCAGGGCCTCCGAATTTTGATATAACAATAGCTTCCATAGTTGTATCAGCCCTTGTATCTTAGAGGTGAGTATAGGATGAACGTTCTTGATGTAAAGTATTGTCGACTTTCGAATTTCAATGTACAAATTGGCTAACTGCAACGCGATGGATGGGTTTACAGGATAAGATATATGTATCCAAATTGAAGCGAGGCGCTCTCTATTTATGTAAGTTAAGGTATAACAGTAGTGACGCCACATATTTCGTGATATGACAAATCTAATCGCCGTTCTCGCTACAAGTCCCCAAGCTCTATGAGTTACTCATTCCTGTAGGTAGATGGCAAGTAGTGGTCTTGACCTGATTTGTCAATGGTGCTATTAGAAAATTTACATTTGCGTCTCTGGTGATGTAACTGTCGGCATATATGATTTGATCTGGTAATATCCGCCCTTCACACATCTCATCAATAATACGGAGTCCTCCGAACGAGCTCTTTACGCTATGCTAGCGCGATGCAAGACCAGGGAGCAGCAATCACTGTTTCTGATCTAGCGTTCTCAAGAAATGCGAGACCTCATAATAGTCTACAACCTCCGCGATTTCCGCCAATTGCCGAATGGTGTAAGCTGTACTTGTACTGCCCCTCCCAGAACGGTTGCCCAATTCTAGTCCTAATAAAGTTATAAAAATGCTGAACTTATACCTAAAAAGAGTCGAGAGACATTTTGCTTCATAATGGCATCTCCGTTCAATTGCGATTAATGAGTACGCGTTACAGTGCAGACCTTGCACGACGTAGCTGCCTCTGCCTGTCGCGTGTTATGTATTTCTCAGAGTGGTGAAAGTCATCCACCGAAATATTGAGGGGTTTCACCATCAGCTGCGATCTCTGAATACATACCCAGGTAGTACAGGAATATATCAATTGATAGTGTTGGGGAGACATTAATCGGCATACGGTTAAGACAAGAAAAGAAATGAGCATTTACTTTATTTGGAACAGCTTTATTTTATTTTTGCTTTTCTATTTTTTATACTTTTCGCTGTTCTCGCTGGTGAGGCTAGGATTGTGTGAGCTGCTGCCTCTATCTGCGATTAGCGCAAGACGATGTATGGTGTGAAGTCAGCATTTCCCCCATGCGGTTTAGTGAGTGACGTTGCTGCGATCGTAGGCAGGTCGCCAGTAATTCCATACCTAAGTCTGACGTGATTTGACAGCAGCCGTGGACTCAATATGTCTTCAACCGAGTTTGAGAAGGAGATAGGAAAGTATGCTATCTTCCCTCAGATTTTAAATGGTATAAATCCCCACGTCGAGTGGCTTTCAAGGAACTCGATACACCAAGAGTGCAACACTAAACACCAACGAGCTTCGAGAACCATTTAGCATTGTCGTTGCTGGGAACCTATCAACATACTTATCAAATATTGAAAGAAACGAAAATGGCCGCAACTCAGAACATCCGCTTGGCACTGCCCAAGAGTGGCGTAAACGTTTTCTATCGAGAACAGAGCCCCACAAATCCCTCTAAGACACTTCTACTTCTTCATGGTTTCCCGTCGTCGTCACATCAATATCGGAACATAATTCCACTGCTCGCTACTAAGTATCGAGTCATTGCTCCAGATTTTCCCGGATTTGGATTCACCGAGACACCTGAAGGCTTCAAATACACGTTTGAGTCGCTCACGGATATCCTTGTCGAGTTTCTGGACTCGCTTTCCATCACTAAATTCTCTGTTTATGTCTTCGACTATGGCGCACCAGTGGGTTTGCGTCTAGCATTGCGTCGCCCAGAGGCTGTTCAGAGCATCATTACACAAAACGGCAATGCCTATGTGGAGGGCTTTGGTGACGTCTGGGGACCCATCAAAGATTTCTGGGCGAGCAAGAACACCTCTGATGATCGATCCAAGTTAGCAGATGCGATGCTGAACTTTGACATTACCAAGTTCCAATATGAGAATGGTACTCCTGACCTTCAGACCATCGCACCTGAATCCTATACACTAGACCACACTTTGCTACAGCGCCCAGGGAGGAAGGACGCCCAACTTGATCTCTTCATGGACTATCAAAATAACGTACCGTTGTATGAGAAATTTCATGAGTACTTTCGTTCCTCTCAAGTGCCTTTATTGGCAATTTGGGGAAAGAACGATGTGTTCTTCATTCCACCCGGAGCTAACGCATATAAAAGAGATTTGCCGAATGCAATTGTTAAACTCATCGACGCCGGCCATTTTGCGGTCGAGAGCGACGGGCCGTTGATTGCGAAAGAGGTAGAACAGTTCCTAGGATAGTTTACAGAAGATTAGGTGCGAAATAAAATTATTACATCTGTTTTACTCTGATTCTATGAGGCTCTGTGACATGTCTTTCCTTGGCCGCAAAAGGGCATGCAACGTGCGAGCTGACATCTCTGCGGTAGGTAATACCTGACTTAGGGAGGCAGTCACAAGTGCCCGGCCGCGTTGGCAAAAATGCACAGTGCGCAGAACCTCACTCTTTACCAACAGGAGCGTAGTAGGCTAATACTAACCAGAGACATTACGCAAACCTAAATTCTTGGTTGTGGCGAGACAGGCAGAACTTGGGAGTGGTGGAGCGCGAGCGATTTTAGCCTACTTCTCGGTACATGTAGTCTCACTCCGTTCGACAGGGTGCTACGAAGTTTCAGTCTCTCTACATAGGAACTTTCGTAACAGACACAACAGAGCATCCGTCTCATTCACTCTCAGGCCACAAACCTCTCCTTTACCATCGACTGACTTATGATACACTTTTTCTGATGGATGAGGGAAGAAGTAAGTCAATGTGCTGTTCACTCTATGGCGAGAAAAGACATACAGCGCTCACAAGCGAGTTCCTAGGACAACTGCAGCGCAACCGTGATAGTAATCGCCCACAATTTGAGTTCATAACTGTCTCTGGAACAAACTTGCGTGGCGACACCGAAACTCGAAGGCGTGTGAGAAGCCGAGCGCAATCTGACTATCGTCGGCGCAATCCGCCTCCACCGCGAAATGCTTTGACTGTTGACCTTGACGTTGGATCGTGGCTTCAAGCTTTATCGCGGGATGCAGCTTTGAGGCCACAACGTGGTGACCCAATACCATTGGATTTGCGGTTTGCATCGCCACAGGCCAACGAAATGATGCAAATTAACCCAGAGGGACTCCGTCCCATAGATGGAAGAGAGGGTGCTGGAATTTTTCTACTGGTGCCTCCGGATCAGCGGCCGCGTGCTCGCGAGTTATGGAATCATTGTTAGTACTGTAATAGATTGGCCCCCCTCGCATTTTATTTTACTCAACGCTGCAGTTTAGTGTACGGCGGAGGCTGCGTCATCTTCAAATCTATGATCGAGATTGGCTTTCTCGATATTCTACAAGGATGCGCATCGCTTACACAGATGCTGTCGTCTTCAGCCTGGCACAGGAAACATGTGGGGACTGGGGACCACGAGAGCAGCATAGATTATGCGAAATACTCTCTCATGGCCACGAGAGCACTACGACGACGGTTGGATGATCCTGCCCAACGAGCTAATCTCGAAACCATCATAGCAATCCTGACATTTGCGGCATTCGCAGTATGTGCTAACTGAACCTTCAGAAATTAACGGCCGTTGTTTTACTGAAAGATTGACAGAATTTGACGTCCAACCCGCATCTCATCAACGTGCACCTTGACGGACTCTCTCACGCTATCAGTGGTGTTGGTGGCCTAACAGCGCTCCAGCAGTTGCCAGTTATTTGGATGATGATGTATTGGTAAGGTCTAATCTTTTCATGCTGCCACAAAAATAACTTACAGTTCTCATAGGATCGATATACGCGGTAGCTATCTCCAAGATGTGAAGCCACGTTATCCTCAGCCATATGATATATTATCAGCCGAGAGCAAACTCCGAATTTCTCCTATGCCGGTAGCGAGCTCCCCCGATACCAACGGCACACTAACCCAGGATCCGGCGGTTATCCATATATTTGATGCGATACAGCAGGTCAATTCTATTATAAATTCCGAAGCAAACGTACTAGGTGAAGCGTTTTGGCGAACTGTCCTTTTCCCTGGCTTTCACTTGGCCCCGATTCTTCATGATCTTTTATCATTGCCTCGAGACGCAGGCAGTTTAACTACCCAATTCTCAAAACGAAGAGAGTGCTTTCGGTTGGCCGGTATCCTTTACATTAGTGAAGTTCGGGCAAAATTTGGAATGGACAATACTGGGGCCACGTCATACGCGTATAAGTTATTATCGGCGTTGAAGGGTCGCGATATGCTGGTCTCATGGGGATTCGACAACCACTTCTTGCTTTGGAGCCTTACTATTGGATCAGTCTCGCTATGCGTGCCTGAGGCTCTGCGTCTTGAGTTCATGGAAATTTTGTCAGAATACCCATCTATTGTTGGAATTGCTTCTCTTCGCGATGCAATACCACCGGAGTCTCGAATGTTCTTATGATGTGTTGAACCCAAATGATACCTTTCGGCGGCACTCACTGTTAGCCACAGAGAACAAAAGTTGATGAACAGGTAAAATGATATATATATATATAGCCAATACAACACACTCTTTCAAGCTCACATGCATGTCTAGTTTAGACTACATTGAGAGGAGAATGAAGTCTTGCAAGATTCTACCAATTAATACGGGTGGACGGCACAAAGAATTTATTCCAAGAGTAATATTGTACCTGAGATTTACGCCATCAGATGTACTATTGTGTAGGAGAAGGAGTGCAATTTCTGTGTGGTGTCTCGACGTGTAGCGGAGTTGCAATTTCTCAATGCTTTAAAATATATTATGACTATTCCTCAGCATCCCAAGATCAACCAATGATTGAAATATATTGCGTAGCGATGACAGATGCTGTCACGCTTTATGGCCTCCAGCGAAATCCTGGATGCTTCCAGTCAAGGTCTTCAATATCCTCTGGAGAAAGACCACTCAACTGTTCTTCTACATTGCAGCTATCTCGTTTGCGGTTATCTCTAATCATCCACGCTAACATAATGCTACTGACTATGAGGACCATTGTTGTAGTAGCAAGATTAAGACCATTGCCAATATGAAAGTTGGGCGCATCAAAGGGCAAAAAGCTCCAAGTTGATATGAGACCCCCAATATTGCCAAGCATGACTAAAAAAAAAAAGTAATGTCAGTACAAACGAGGTTGGTATTGGCATCGTAATGGGCATTGAGAGAGTCAAGATTCTGAATTACCTGTAAACCCAATTGCGCTGCTTCTCGCGGAATCCGTAACGACGTTGGCGCTCACTTGTGAATTAACCATCGGCCCAAGGGCAAAGACCGAGCTCGTGATCAAGAACGTTGCCCCATATCTGACTCTTGGATTGGTACTCGCCAAAAACATGATATAGCCGGCCATCCCCAGTGGTGCACTAGCAGCAATGATTATTTGACGACGGTCTATTCGCCAACTGAGAAGAGGGAACACAACGGTAAAAAATGCCCCGACGATGTATGGAGGTACTGTATAGAGTTGTTGAGAGATGACACTCTTGTGAGGGTAGATCGTCTGCACTACCGTTGGAGTAAAGAAAGCAAGTCCCTGTACTGTGATGTTAACAAAAAGAAAGATAATTGCGGTGGATATCGTCATTGGATTCTTGATTCCGCGAAGCATTTTCTTTTTGTCCATTTTGTCGAGAAGAGTCGTGGTTCCCACACGTTCAGACTTGATTCGAGCGATGCAAAGATCTCGTTCGTCTTGGCTTAACCAGCGTGCCGTTGAGGGGCGATCCGTAATGGTGAAAAATGAGATGATCGATAAACCAACGGTGACAACACCCTCAATGGCGAAGATCATGCGCCAAGTTGTGAATCCGCCAAAATGGGGTAGCTTTAGAATGGCAGATGCGAGAAGTCCGCCGAAGGCCCCGGCTAAGGGTGCCATGACAAGATACATGGCCAGCCGAAAAGCCAGCTCAGACCTGCGATACCAACGACTCAAGTAATAAGCTATGCCTGGTAATAAGCCAGTCTCAAATGCTCCAAGAAAAAAGCGCACCGCGCAAGCTTGAGCTTTGTTGTGGACGAGAGCAGTAAAAATGGAGCAAAGGCCAAAGCCTAGAGATGAAGCTGGGATAAACCATCCTGGTCCCATCCACTTGCATAGAATATTGCTAGGAATTTCGAGGATAATGTATGACACGTAAAATATAGATAAAACGGTATTGTAATCGTAGCCAATCAGGCCGAGATCTTTCTCAAATCCTGCAAGGCGGGCATTTCCTTGAACAAAGTCAGTAAATTGCAATATTCTTAGTCGGAGAGTTCGTAAAGCAACGGACCAATATTTGCTCTGTCAATGAAACAGAAGAGGTACAATAGGGCAACTGATGGAAGCAAATAGAGGTCGAGCTTCCAACGAAGCCTCGCTTCAGCCTTCGGATCTAGCTGTACAAGAGACTGCCCATGCCTAGCACAGCGGTTAATGCTAGCCAACCAGAAGAGGGATGGGAAAATTACTCGTCTGTTGCTGCTTGTCCACGTTCTGCGGCATCATGTAACTTCTCATGTTCAACTTCTTGATAATGAGGCTTTGCAATTGCGGGAGCTTCTTGAGTCGGCATAATGAGAAAGGTATCAATCACAGATTATTGTGGGAGACAAGACCAATTCAATCGCATTGACAGGAAGGAATATGAGATGGAGATAGTGGGCCATCAGCGTTTTTCTAGGAAGAACTGGTTGATTAATCTTTAAATGATTTGGTATATTTTAATTTGTCTTTCTTTAGCTCAGATCTACCCCAAGTTCTTGGCAAGGAGGTAATCCATAATCCTTCCGGGGGTGACACGGGGTTACACGATCGCTGATTCATCAGCATAGCCCCATAAAAGCACAGAAACATTGGCGTCGGGACCTCCATCCGCTATGAATTTGTACAGTATCCGACTCTTGGCCTTCCCACATCCGCACATATAAAGAACGATGACCAGTTACGAACGCGTGTGCATCGACTGTAACACAGAACAAGGGAGTGCCTCTTCCGCAATTAAACACAGCTAGTTGATTCAATCATTCTAACATTCACGCAATTCGCATTTATTTCTTCCTGTTGCGGCTGTAAGTAGTCGATTGGCTGAACCTGCGGATGCTTGCATCCGAAACGACAAAGCCATGCCTCGACATAGAGTTAGAGTTGAGGACAGGAAGCGCTCCGTGCGAGCCTGCGAAGCATGCCGATTGTCAAGAAAGCGATGCGATTCCCGACTTCCCTGCTCCTCTTGTTCCCGAAAAGGAATTGGTGCCAGTTGTGTGTATGGTGACAGAGCGAAGGCATCCCCATCGAATCGCATGGACTCCTCACGCGATCGTGAGGGGTTACAGATCAATCATGATGCACGGAGCGAAAATGCCCCACAGCCATTGATCACTCAGAATGCTAGAATGCTATTGACTTCCAAGGGAGAAAAAGGTGAGAAAAGCATTCAAGTAGCGAACATCATGATTGATTAACCCTCTCGAGACAGTTTATGTTGGTAAGACAGCCGCAATATCGATGCTCCAGTTTCTCCGGAATGTCCTTCGGCGATTTGCAGGCCCTTCGGCTTTCACTGAAAGTCGACGGAGCAATACGATGTTGGAAGCCACCTTGAGATCCACATCTCATAGGCCCATCGACTTTGTGGATAACTTGAGCGTATCGGAACGAACCGAATTTATCCACTATTACAAAGTTGCGGTTTGTGGTTGCGGTAGCAGGCTTCCGACTCTAGTTGAACTTCGCTAACTATTAATCAAGTCAAATGGATTTCTCAATTTGCTCACGGGTGGCATATTGAGCCAACTAAATTCTGAAAGGATTCTGGAATCCGAATTTGAGAATGCATCATCGAAAGACGATATAATAGCGGCTTACTTAGTAATTGCCATTGGAGCCCACTGTAGGGGCAATGGAGACAAAGATGTCAAGACATCTTCAAACTACTTTGCTGAAGCACAGCGTCTCGGGTTCCAGGATATGCTTCTAAATCCAAGCCTTTCCATGGTGAGAAACTTTCTTCTCATGGCTTTCTACATGTTTTGTGCTTGTCGTAGAAATACGGGCCTGTTGTACCTAGGCGTCGCATCACGGGCAGCCACTATCCTCGGTTTACACTTACCGGAGTTAAATGCGACTTTACCGACTGACATTCGGACGGTGAGGTAAGTTCCTCTCGCGTTATTTTCTAACTAATTCTTCTTCAACACAAATTAACCTACTGCTGAAGAGTGCAAATATGGAAGAGCTTGCGAGTTCTCGATCTCATCTGCAATTCTTTACTTGGGAGACCTAGCGGGACTCAGGACATTCAGCCCGAGGCTCAAGAAGCAAAAGGTAGAAACGAACCAGTCCCTCACACTTCGATGACATTAGATGCCATGTTTGAATCGTGCTCCATCGTCGAGCTAATAGCACAAAAAATAACACGGGATGGTACTCTTGACATGACCACAGCTGAGGAGTTCCTGAAGAAACTACGTGACTGGGCACAAGGCCTACCACCAGCTTTGCGTCAACTGTTAACACGACATAATGACGGCTACGTGGAAGACAACCACCAGCAAGCAGCCATTGGCAACATTCATGTAGCCTGCAATTATTATTTTGGCGTCATGTTGGTGACACGACAGTTTCTCATAAGTGAGGCTATCACCTGGCTGCAGCAAAGGCAAGCAAACCGAGGCGGCCAGGAAAAATCTTTTGGTCTTTCTCCGTCTGATGTAAAGGCACAAGAATTGGCACGCGTCTGCACAGATGCAGCAACTTTTCTCGTGCAGATGTGTCATGACGCTGGCACATCAGACTTTCTGCTCGGTAATATGTGCATACTTCAGTAAGTTTGGATCGCCGCAGGCTCGAGAGAAGCATGAAGTTGATCTAATATTTGAGCAGGGCATGGGTTTTCGCTGCGGGGCTCGTTCTTGGATTATCTCTCTTAAGGCCGCCCGAAATATCGAGTTCAGAATCGCAATTCTATTTTTCCTCATCACAAAATGTCTTGAAAACGATTGCAAAATTGAGTCCTCAGGCACAACGTTATGCTGAAATTTTATCGGATTTTTCGAGAGCGATCGGAGGATACCATCGACAGTTGCAACGAGATTCATCTTCAAACAATACTCTATTGGAACGAATATTAAAGCCTCCGCCTTCTAGTGAGAGTGGCAACAATACAACCGGACTCCCTTCACCAATAATCAGTAACATGGGGTATTCATCAACTGAAGAGGGGGGTAATCCATCCATCGACTTGCTCGATGGTATGCTAATACATGAGCCAAGCGCTATTGCTCTATCTTTACAGAACGCTGATGATTTTGGCTTTGACATTTTATGGGACGATTACATGTCCACCACAGAGCCTCAAGAAGTGCCATTCAATGGGAATTTTGAGCAATCATCTTGGCGTTTAAGCGATATTTCATCAAACTTATATCAAGAAGGGAGTGGCTCGTGATATGCTTCTGGATATTCTCCTCGTTTTTTTATTTGGGGGTGAATGCAACCATGGCAACTATTTCAACGTATATCAGCATGAAAGAACAATCACGTCTGGTTTATAAATGGCGTCATCGTTTCGACTTTGGATATAATGAAATTGGATTGCCGCAGGTCGTAATTACCGGTTAAAATAGGCATGTTTCAAGGCATCCCCAGCAGTAAGTCGTTGCTATAAATACGGGTGAGCAAATAAAATATTTATCAAAATTGTCCAAGAAGGCATCTTCTTACTTTATGATCCCATTGAAGCAGCTTATCCAAGAGATCCATGACCTCCATACTTGCAAATCGTTCATTGCTCTCGTTGAAAAAACTTTGCCAACTCCTCCTCTCGAAATGCGCGATAGCATCAATACCATCCGTGATGGTTTCCATATCGTACTTCTCCACATAGTTGAGCAGGCCTTTGGTGCCTAGCACCCTGGCAATCGCCTGTAGGATATGAAAATTGCTCGCTCCATGAAAGAATGGCTCTTTCCTGAAGACCATAGACGCAATAACTACTCCTACGTTCCATATATCTACGCTGCAGTCATACTCTTCGTACTGTAAAAGTAGTTCCGGAGCCTTGTGGAAACCTCGACCAACTCTGACGCTATATCTACAGTTGGGAACATGAACTTCGGCGTAATCCCAGCCAAATAGTCGTAGCTAGTACCATTTGAGACATCAGCTACCTGTGCAATAAAGGTGATGGGGATCCCCACCTTTCGTTGATTGTGGTCAATCATTATGTTGTGCGGACGAATATCTCTATGCATGACGCTCTTGCTATGACAAAATTCAACGGCTTTAAGAAGTTCTTTCATATAGTAGCGGACGTCTCCGTCGCTAAATGTAGGATATAAAGTTCGGAAATCGATATTCTCAATGTATTCAAAGACCAAGGACGGCGGTTCCATCTATTAATTTATCAGCAGGGAATCTCTCCGGATTACTTCAACTCTATACGCTGTTAATACGCCCCAAGCAGGCATACCTGGCTGTCTTGCACAATGTCGTAGAGTTTCGGGATATTTATCCCGCCTCCAAGAGAGCGAAGGATTTTGATCTCCTGCTCTATGCTGAGCCTCCCTACTTCTTTCGCTGGCTTGACTATGCATCTCTTGAGATCTATCATCCGAACACCTTCGAAGATATCTGCGTGTTTCCCAAAGCCTTTTTCACGATATTTTATTATTAGCATAGATGTTGATTAGGCTGGTAGAGGCTAGCGAATTACCAATTTTGCGCACGATCTCATAGGCATCGCTGCTTGCGGATCCTGTATACAGTGTCACAAATGTTGTCACTGTAGCTCCAATATCGGGGATAACATCACGTTTACAATTCATAGTTATTACATACCTTCGGGATGGACTGACATTGTTCTTTGTTGTTGCGGTGTGCGGGATTTAAATAGCTGGCGTTGAGCGGGGTTTTGTTTGCTGGAGCTGTGGCGATGTTGAGAAAAATGACCATGCCTGACATTTCGCATTCCACTTTACGTATCTCAGCAGGAGACGAAAAAGATAGGCCACCAATATTTACGTAGCTAGTTAATTATTCTTCTTTCTTCTGTTCTCCTTGTTCGATTAACCACTGAATTCTCATTATCTTTGTATGCGCTGTCCTTGACCGTGATTACTAACTCGAGCAGTACAGTACATGTGAAAGTGTTCACCAGTAAACGTTGATTAAGACGAACTTGAGCGTCACGTTGATGTTCGGTGCATTATTAGCCTATATCTCGAGATTTACTCGCTATTCCTGGATCTGACAGCACCGATACATATATGCACCTGTCGTAGCACATATTTGGCTCCAGCTTTACATTGATAAACTCATTCGCCTCTGAGTCCTAGATGCAGTTACAGCCGTGCTGAATTCCCCGTACTATAAGCTATGGTTTATGCAGCGAGCACATACTACTGATACCAGTAATTCTTATCATTATCATACTTTATAAATGTTCTATTGCATTAATTCTGTAACATCAGGCCCATCCACAAATTTAAAGATTGGATTATAGACGGATCGCGCCAAGAGATATCCTAGGAGGCCATCTGGGCCAAGATCCTTGAACCCTCCTCTCAAATGAACCATCCTGAGAATGCCCTCACCATGCAGTCGGTATTCCGTTACATTCCCAGAAAGAAACTACTCAGCAAATAAGTGTTAGGTGCATTTACGATAATAGACACAATACGAATGAAAAGCACTTACCTCTTCCGTTGATAATACCAAAGCCAAAGCAATACTATAATCGCTGATATCCCCTCCATCTGAGTCTGAAAGCGCGGCGCGAAGTATTTTGATGCATTCACTCTTGTACTTGAGCAGGGAAACTCTATAGGAATCGTTTTCAGGATGTAGAGTTAATAAACTCCGGCAGGCTGCCATAAAGAGGCCGGCCTGGAGGCCTCGCTCTGTAAGTGACCATGGCACAAACTGCGACCGGACATTTTGGAGAAGGAGTTGTTCAGTCTCAGTATGAATACAATCTGTATACCCGTGGTCAACGACATAGGTGATATCTGCAACCGATTAGTGCTCTAGCTCAATTTTATATATCATGGATGTGAAGAAGTCATAGGGAAAATTCTTACAATGATCAATCAATGAATTCTCGGAATCAGAAACGGCTCTTGCGGTGCTCTGGAAGGGGTTTCTTCGATTTGATGTCACAGAGGTTTGGGGATTGGGCATCCATATTTCTAGCTCGATTGGTCGAGCTTCCTCGGTATGCTTTAGTTGGTGTGCTACTTGCAGATGACGTTCTTCAGTTACATGCACCAACTGTGTGTCAACATCTTCTTGCTGCCCGTGATCATTAAGTTTGCTTGATCCGGCGGCAGGCTGGTATTGCCGAATCTCTAAGCGAACCCGGCGACTTGCTTGCTTGCGGCCATGTGTGTTTTTTGCCACATGTGAACGTATAACAGTGAGTGCATCCGATTTAGTGGCGTCGCTAGGGTTTGTCAGGTTGAGAAATTGTATTCTTGGCTGCTTCTCTTTGCCTTTGGAGCTCATTGTCCCTATCGTGTGACCTTGCTCTATCTTGTACTATGCGGTCACTGCATGTGGGGAGTTTGCTATTGCAAAAGGCATATGTACAGAAGAAGATATGTACAACTGCCGGATCTGAAGATTTAAAGGTTTTAATTTCCGTCCGGCATTGGCTTTGATTTGGTTAGGCTTTTTGACCTCCACAAGGCCACCCTTTTTTTCATCTGCTTATTTCTAAGAGTTTGACACTAAGCCACCGCTTCCTGAGATGTCAAACGCCGCGTGGATAGTTAGTTCCCCTTCGGTATGGCGTTCCGGACATCGGCTCAAATACGTACCGCGACATTCGAAGAACCCTGATCAGTCATACGTGTTGCGGTCTAACTTGCTTCCATCTTCAAAGTCGCAAAACCTGTATTGTGTTGCGCTTGTGAGCGAGAGCCGTTTTAATTGTGGAGCAGCAGCGAGAATCACTCCGCAATTTCTCTTGATCGAGCGGTCAAATATGCAGCTCCTAAAACTATGACCAAATGCAGGCAACGCTGAAGCTGTTTTGCAGGCATTGCGGAAGAATATTGGCTACCAGTACAACACTCTTTCTTTACATCAAAACCATCCCAGAGCCAACAAGAAGCATGAAGCTTACAAATTTAACTACACTTCAACCAGCCAAAATGCAGTCTTTTAACAGGTATCCACCACCGTACTTCTTTGAGCTTGTCTCGTTCGACACGCGCCAAACAGTCAATAACTGCTGTATATGCACATAGATAACCTGAATCCAATCAGCCAATTCAAACTATCTCTAGCACAACAAGAGCAACAGCATTGCCACATTGCGGTCTGGTTGGTCATCTTGCTGTTTGGCGCCGCATCAAGAAGACAATATGCTGAAAGATCATGTTACAACTAGCCCGAACTCAAGTCTTTGGAATCACTGTTGCTGATTTTGGCTTAAGAATAAGTGTACTAACAGGCATCGGCCGTGTGGGTACCATCGATCAAAGGGCTGCATTGCCCAGTGGCCACTGGGCTATTCTTTTCTCCTTTCCGTTAGCTGCCAAAGCTAGGCATCCCAACTAATAATAGCGCTCAGCTCAGGGGCAACTTTTGTCTTGCTATAAGTTGCTAGATGTCTATTTTCGTTTTCTTCTTTCTTGCTGTTTATGCAGTTGACCTTCTGCGATATAGCTTCCACTGAGTGCCTAATATACAGGTAGGCCAACGATAGAAACAGCCACCGTTCTTTCGGTCAGACGGCCTAATCAGCAATGATTGAGTTTACGACTCATGCATACACATTAATAATTCTCAGCCGTTGCTACCAAGAAAGCCCCTAGAAGACTGGACCCAACTCGGCTACACATATCCCTGTTCTCGGTAAACTCGCTACCATTACGGAGTAGAGGCGAAGACTCTCTTTGGACGCCAAGGCGCATAAGCAACGCAATAATCGCCGAGTATACTGTACTGTTTTTTCTGTATAAAGAAATGTAGTTTGGGTAACTGGGGATTCTATGATACAAGGAATGTTCACTCACACTATAGAGAGTAATTACCGATGCAGGAATAAATTTGGTCGCCCTCCGGATTACGCTCAGCTGTATGAGACCAAGGGTGACGGGGCTCACTTCCACTTACTTTGCGCAGTTTGTAGTACAGCAAGTAGCCGTTTGGGAAATACAGGATGGCCCCGTATCCAATATATCTTTTCGGACCTCGTGGAGTGTGTATATATAGATGAACATGCCCCAAACCTTGCATATAAGGGTACGTGAGGTCGGCAGGCGTAAGAGAGTCAATACATCGGTGGTAACTAATAGGTAGGGACCAAAGATGATGTAGTAGGACGATTCGTTTCTCTTCTTACCTCTGAAGAGGTGACTGCTATTAGGCGCCCGATATAAGGTAGGTACATATATATATCATAGGCATGCGAAGATCATGTGACCTCAAATTGCATGTAGATACGTGTAGCTAAAGCTTTTTTACAATGTAATCAAGCAAAGCTGCGAAGCCAGCTTTGCGAAGCCGGTAAACTGGGTGAAGTGAAGCTTCCAGATTCACTCTACTGGCGGGCAAAAACGATAATAAATCACCCAATTTCCAAGCTATATCTTGAAAGACTGACTGGCAATTGGTTAAAATTGTGTTTTTTTGGTAGCTCTCACCGCCCGCGATGTGCTTTTAATCTCGGTTTTTTAACTTAGTGTGTCTTAGAGTCGGTATCGCAATGTTCTTGTGGTGTTAAGCGTCCATATACACCTTGCGTTGTAACTAACCTTATGTACATTTGATTACACAGCCTTTTCCGTATAGGTATGCTCTGGTTTTATTATAAATAATTGGTATTTTAAAATATAGGAAAGTACCTACGCGAGGGGTGGGTGTTTTTGGACAGTGCTAATAAAAGAATTTCGTACTGTAACAGCTTATTCGCCGCCAAAAGGGCATTGTAAGGCAAATACAGCTATTTAAAGGCTGTTTGATTTTTTTGCCAAACAGGTCACCTTCCAGATTAGATTTCCCTTCCAACTACAGCTTTTTCAACCTAAGACCATTCATCAATAGCAGCTATTCAACCCAGCAGCTATTTAATCAGTAGCTGTTAAAGCCGGCAGCAGCTTTCTAATTCAACAGCCTTCTTTTGAAAGCAGCTATTAAGCCCAGTAAGCTGTCAGGGTTATTAGCAAGCTTTTAGGGCTAGCAGCAGCTATTAGGGCCATCAATAGCTTTTTAATTCAACAGCTCCCAAGCCCAGTAAGCTATTAGACATAGCAAGCTATTAAGCCCGGTAACAGCTATTGAGCCCAGTGATAGCTTTTACATCCTGATATCGTTCGCAAAGCTTTCCAATTAATAGCGCTATAACTGCTATAGCTATAGCGCTTAGCTCCCTAAAGCCCAATATACCTTAAGTTATGTTGTTATTTTCTAGCCTAAGCTTTTTGCAACTTCTTTTATTTAACAACCTTGATCTAATGCGATGACCTTGATCGAACGCGATGACCTTGATCTAACAGGATGGACTTGATCTAATAAGGTGACCTTAATTGAACGGATTGAATGCGATAACCTTGATCCAACGCGCTGACCTTAATCGCGTTGGATCAAGGTCATCGCGTTGGATCAAGGTCATCCCGTTGGATCAAGATTGTTAAATACAAGAAGTAGCAGAAGGCGCGCCCGGAGGGGAATAACCAAACTACCCCCAAATAGCAGGCGCTTATGACAGATAGCGATAACCTTGGTGCAAAAGAATGACCTTGATGGAACGGGATAACCCTGATCAAACCAAAAGACCCTAATGGATGATGCAGCTTTGCTTGCCCCCTATGAATGCCTGAGGGGGCATCAGACTTGTAACTCACAAAAATGTGTTTCACAATGAACCTTGCGTATTAGACACTTCCACTTAAAGTATTGTTACAGATACCTGATGCGCAGCTTGAAGAATGTCAGGATAGAATAACGATACTCATGTTGCTTATAAAAATGTATCGTTAAGGGTTATGATTGAACTTGATGGCATCACCGGCAAGGATGCTCAGCTACAAAACAAAATGACTTTAATGAAGTACTAATGCCCTTCTTGAACGCGCACGATAGAAGAAATCCTCATGAAATTCACCGGGAAGGGATAAGTCTGAGTGTGTACTCTGTATAGTGTGTACTTGACACCTCTGGCGAAATCAGGTGTCTTCATAAGACGTAGAGTGAGTGGTCGGGGTAGAGAAATGCGCATCCTTTCTGAGACATAATAAGCAAATCACTTAATTAATTAATCATAATTTTCTCTCTTTCCCTCTCTCCCTCTTTCTCTTTGTCTTTTTTTTTTTTTTCCCTTAAAAAACCACACCCAAGACCAGGTCATTTTTCACTGCGACCATGTATGAAGGCTCAATTACTTGCTTCATTGCTCCGCTGCGCTTTTAGACGGCCGTGGTGGACTGAAATTCGAGTCTCCATGTTCAATACGCCTAATCCATCCTGTCAAATACTTGGCTTTGTTTGAAATGCACAAAACTTCTGTCATTCATTACGCATTATCGAATTGGGACTGATTATCAACAAGCTTCGGGGATCATAAGAGCACACATTCGAGGGGATAGCACCGGAAATAAAACTCTCCTCTTAAACTTTGGCTAGTGCTTAGCTGCCGCGACTCCGCGCCCCGGACTCACGTCTGCTGAGGGAGGATACGGCCCCCAACTGAAGCTTCTTCCATTCCTTTTTGCCTATTGGGTGAAGCCACGGTGAGATATGTGACGGCAATACGGAGTACAAAGGTGATATGGCTACTGAGGGTGAAAGAATACCCGAAAGGATCGATGCCGGGCATTCCATTTGGCATAGCTTATGATTTCAATGCGGGGGTCGGGTCTGATGTTTCCCAAGTCGACAGGTTTTGTTATTTATTTTTGATTCAACTAAAGACAATCCGGTATAACTCGGACACCATTTCAAATGTCTATCTCAGAATGAAACATGAGTTTTATGCAAGGTCAGAACCCCTCACCAACAATCGCCATTGTTTCCGAGAAACAAGAATACTCGTACGTCACGTAGATGTGATATGTGCTTACGTCTTGATGATGAATGACTCTTGTCCCCGCACTTGATGCAGGAAGAATACGGCTTGGAGATCTGAAATCATGAGGGGCTGTGTCTGTCTCCACAGTCAATGTATTTCAAGAATCCGGGGTGCATGAACTGTGACTCTGATCAGTTCGAATGCTCTTTAATAACCAAATGAGCGGGGAGAATTTATCGAGCAACCAAACACTCTGCCTGTAACCGGTTGCAACCATTCTTGATCCGCCAATGTCAGACCCCCGATTTGAATTCTCGAATTAGTAGATGGTACACCTACCTAGCATGGAGCTCAGTTAATTCAGCCGAGATAGTTGACTGGTGTTGAAACGTCAATGCTCGTAGATTACAACACATGAAGTCAAAGCGTGAAAAGTTCAGAAAAGAAGACTCTTTACTTCTGACAGGTGGCAGGACTTGTACCATTCGGAGTCCCTATGAAATTATACATCAAGTAAACACCATGCCAAAATTGTTGGCATGGTAAAATTCACGAACCTCTCAACACCGCTCGTTGCATATCACCCCGCAGTCTTGGCCATGCAAGCCAGAAAGTTACACTGCCATCTGCTTTATGCGCACCTATTGGATATCGTGGAAAGAATTCACGGGTAAATGGATATTTGGTCATGTATGGCTCGACCATGTGTATGGATCCAAGAACAGAATTGCAATTGGTGATTCTGTCTTGGCTGTGAGGGGGTGAATACGACATATCGTTCGGCTCATGTCGTCAACCAGAGCCTAGAGGAGATTTTTCGGAATCGAAAATAATTGGTTGTATGAATCCGTGACATGGGTCCTTCAGACGTCTATTTAAGATCGCAGGGCGCTTTCCATTGTTTCTTATGGTATATCAAATTGCGTTACATCCTCACGATTTCCTTGTAACAGGTCTTCCAATAAAGGGCCTTTCAAGATGTCAACGCAATATTCGGGGTATGGTAGCTCTCTGCCCGATGAGTTCGATATCATCGTGGCAGGGGGCGGAAGTTGCGGATGTGTAGTCGCAGGCCGGTGAGCTCTTAACTTCTCAGCATTGATTCATGGCTCTCAACTGATAAGTGATAGGCTGGCAAATTTAGACCATAATCTCAAAGTTTTGTTGATTGAGGCTGGCGAGAGCAACCTCAACAATCCTTGGGTTTTCCGACCCGGTATCTACCCACGGAATATGAAACTGGACTCCAAGACGGCTTCCTTTTATGAGTCTCGTCCGTCCAAATGGTTGGCTGGTCGAAAGGCTGTTGTACCCTGCGCCCACGTCCTTGGTGGTGGTTCGTCAATCAACTTCATGATGTATACACGTGCTTCCGCTTCCGATTATGATGATTTCCAAGCCAAGGGCTGGACAACTCAGGAATTACTGCCGCTCATGAGGAAGCACGAGACGTATCAAAGAGCCAGTCAGAATCGAGACATACACGGCTTCGAAGGTCCCATCAAGGTGTCTTTCGGTAACTATACATATCCGATTAAAGACGACTTCCTCCGGGCTGCAGAATCACAGGGGATCCCTGTTGTTGATGATCTCCAAGATTTAGTTACAGGTCATGGGGCTGAGCACTGGCTGAAGTGGATTAATCGGGATACAGGACGGCGAAGCGACAGTGCACATGCTTACATCCACGCAACTCGAGCAGCACACTCCAACTTATATCTAGCGTGCAACACAAAGGTTGACAAAGTTATAATTGAGAATGGTAGGGCGGTCGGCGTGCAAACAGTCCCAACTAAGCCCCTAGGACCAGGCCAACCTCCAACCCGCGTATTCCGCGCGCGCAAGCAAATCGTTGTATCAGGCGGAACACTCTCCTCTCCACTGATTCTTCAGAGATCGGGCATTGGCGACCCCGTAAAATTGAGGAAGGCGGGTGTCAACTGTTTAGTTAATCTTCCCGGGGTTGGACTAAACTTTCAAGACCATTACTTGACCTTCTCAGTGTTCAGAGCCAAGCCTGATGTCGAAACTTTTGATGATTTTGTTCGAGGTGATCCTGAAGTACAAAAACGTAAGTAGATGAACCATATAAAAAACTTTACTGACTTCGCATACTAAAGCTGGTCTGATATAGGTGTTTTCGATGAGTGGCATTTAAAGGGCACTGGCCCTCTTGCAACCAATGGTATCGACGCAGGGGTCAAAATTCGCCCTACAGAACATGAATTAAAACAGTTCGAGAGTTGGCCAACCCCCCATTTTAAAGATGGCTGGAAGAGTTACTTTAAAGACAAACCAGATAAGCCGGTGATGCACTACAGTGTCATATCGGGCTGGTTTGGCGACCACATGTTAATGTGAGATTTCCAATGCCTGCTAAGTCTTTGCCTACATTCTGACAAATTTACAAGGCCTCCTGGAAAATTTTTCACGATGTTTCACTTCTTGGAATATCCTTTCTCAAGAGGTAGCACGCATATCAAGAGCGCTGATCCGTACGAAAGTCCCGACTTCGATTGTGGCTTCATGAACGACGAGCGAGACATGGTACCAATGGTTTGGGGCTACATTAAATCCAGGGAAACGGCGCGGAGAATGGACGCATATGCAGGTGAAGTGGAGACTATGGTTCGTTGCATCTTCCTGGTCATAACGGTGTGCCTTTGGTGACTTATCTCACATGTGTAGCACCCCTTCTTTGACTATGACTCTCCAGCAAGAGCCCATGACATGGATCTAGCTACAACTAAGGCCTATGCACTTCCGAGTAATCTATCCGCGGGAATCACCCATGGTAGCTGGTCTTCATATCTCCCTGAAGCTGACACCAAAGCTGCTGGCAATATCTTGTCTTCAAACAAGGTCAATACGCGCCAAGAGCTCAAGTATACCACAAATGACATCAAAGCCATCGAAGAATGGGTGAAACGTCATGTGGAGAGTACTTGGCACAGCTTGGGAACGTGTTCTATGGCTCCCAAGGATGGCAATAGTATCGTAAAGCACGGAGTCCTAGATGAGCGCCTAAATGTTCATGGTGTTAAGGGACTTAAGGTTGCCGATCTAAGTATCTGCCCCGACAATGTGGGCTGCAATACGTAAGTTTCCCTCCCAAGTTGATTGCCATTTCCCCGTCTTAGAACTAAATATGATACAGATACTCGACTGCTCTCCTGATTGGAGAAAAAGCCGCCATGCTAGTAGCTGAAGATCTCGGTTATTCTGGTGAGGCATTGGAGATGAAGGTTCCTACGTATAATGCACCCGGCGAGCTGGCATTGCAGTACCGTCTGTAAACAAGATTGCGCACACCCTATTTTCCTAATGTACGATTTTGATTGCAGACTGTTGTTATACGTTATTAAACACTTGATTGTGATTTCATTATGCAACTACCCTGTATCACTCCTTTCGTTGAATATGGCTAGTTTGTGATTGTGTATTTAAGCTCCAGGGCACAGATTGTCAATATACAATATTTTCAGGTATGAATTATCATCGTTCATAGGAATAAACTATTATCAATACAACTCATTAAGAAATTGTAGATCTAGCTGCTAACTTCGGTCATTATAACATCATTCTCTTTAATAATAACCCAGAACAGACTCTCTTACTACTATTAGGACGCCCTTGATGTTAACGTTATTATCATTTCCTTTATAGCCAGTATGACTAACCTTCACATTAACCTTGCTAACGTTAGTAATAACTATACCTCTTTCCCCCAGGTTACGGCCGACACCGTCGAGTGTCAGCAGATATATAGAGAGACTATTATGATGAGTCTGTGTAGCTCCACTTACTCCGGTCCTTTCGCCGTGGCTAGACGTATATTCGCTCTGTTCGGCACACTCCCGGGAGGCGAAGGCTGGGGCATAGTTTTCCATTGATCTAGCGGTAAAAGCTTTGCTGACCCTCACATCCTGATTAAATATAGCCTCTACACTCCAGGAGGGCGGAACCGTTTGGACTCCTAGGAGAAAACGGCGAACAACAAAATATAATCGATGAAATCGTGGACCGGCGTGACAACACAGGAAAGGGGGAGTTTGAAGTCAGATAGCTAGGCTACCCAGAGACGACATGACAACCAGCAGCGGCGTTGGAATTGGACGTAACCCACTGTTGAGGCAGTTCCCGGCCCAGCCGGCGCCGGACTCTTCACCGGGAGAACTACAGCTGGCGACCACTTCTCACGACTACGACCAGCTGGTCAGGCATCCAACACGAGCTGGCTACCTGCGGGTCTGTTTCGCGTTATTCTTTTTTCTTCTTTTTTCTTTTCTCCTCTCTTTTTTTAGGGAGTAACTATTCAGCACCCCAAGTTCGCTATTCAGCATCCCATTCTTAAATTTAAAGTAGCGTAGGTAGTAATGATGGCAAATATTAAAGGAATATATAGATAGTAGCAGATACTAGCCATAGTAGCAGATATTAGCCATAGAAGCAGATATTAGCCATAGTAGCAGATACTCCAGGAACTGTGTAATTCCTGTTTAAGTAACAGTGATAAGAGATCCTCATTATACGTTGTTACTCTATTCGGAACTCCTTTTAGCCGCTGGGGTGTTGGATAGCCAGCTTGGGGTGCTGAGTAGCCCTTCCATTTTTTTACTCCTCTCTCACATCTTCTTTTCTCTCCTTTCATCTCCTTCTTCCTCTAGACCCTGCCTTCCTGCTGCCACCTCATGCCCTCGCGCTCGACAACCCCCAAAAACAAGAAAACGCCACCTCTTCGACCATTGCGATTTGTAGTTCAGAGACCATATTTTACTATGGCAACGACGGCAGAGACAACGGCGACAGTTCCGCGACTGGAGATTGCGGACCTGGGACTGAATGAAGACGACATCAACTTTTCAGACGGCGTCGCTTGCGTCACTACATATTGGGCCTATGCTATGACGATGACGGTCGCAGACCGCCATAGCTTCTGTCAGAAAGTGCGCGACAAGAAGGCCTGGGCGCATTCAAACACTTCCCGAGGGCAACCTTCGGGCCATCGTATTTACCGAAGCGCGCTGGGGAAGTCGGTCGTGGGATATCTCTTTTTGATGGCGTTATTGGCTTCAGTAACGAGAAGGGAATGAAGAAGCACCAAAAGACGGTGTGTAAAGGACGCAAACCCTAGGTAGACAGGTAGTGTTAGTAATTGTACGAGTGATATTTCCACAGTACTTGTGGTAGTTGAAATGACGTCGAAGTTAACAATAAGAAACTGGTCACGTCGTGATATGACATTGTTGTTGTGTAGAAACTTGATTCTTCTATTCTAAGCAGGCTACGGATAATACCTAGTATGTATAAGGCTATTGGGACTTTCCTTCCCCCAAAGGTCACCAAACCCCACTGGCTGCGCAAAGTCGATGTCCCCATTGACGAGATAAAGAGGACCGAGATATACGAACGCAATTTGAGAATGAAACCTATGGCTGCTGTGCCGTGAAATATCCCTATGAATGAGATAGAAACCGAAACGAAACCGAAACGTAGAAACGAAACAAATAAAACAAAAGGTTGAAAACCATGGCAGTCGTGCTGCAAATTAGTGAAACCTGAGGTGACTTTTCCGCGCAAAGCATTGTGTAGTATCGTAACTGTCATTGACAGCAAAAGACTGGTCCTGGTCCTGACACAAAAGAAAATCCCAATTCTCCCAATTACCATTGAAGAAGAACCCACTTAAAACCCATTCCAGTCATCAATGAAAATAACGCCATCATCTCCGTCGTCGCAATTCCCGCCACAGGGCAGCAATATCTCCTGCGGCCGCCGCCTGTCGTTCATCCATGCCCGCCATCACCTCGCGCAGGCTTGCATTTTCTTCGCGCAGACTTGCACTTTCTTCGCGCAGGATTGCAATTTCATCGCGCAGTTCTGTCTCGACATTGCGGTTTGTCGAATTCTGCGACATCGGAATACGTTGAGATTGACGGTAAATGGGTGCTTGGACGTCCACGCGACGTTGCGACATTGATCCGTATGTAAACAACGACGACTGGGGGACATCAGCGAGGCCGGTGAATCCAAATGGAGAAACTGCCGTCGAACCACCCTGGTAAGCAGAAATCGGTCGTTGAAACGGCGTATCTCGTTCTTGCCGTGTTGGCGTCACCATCCCCACTCGTGTTGGGGTGTTGACATGTCGTTGCCATGGGTTGCCATGGGCTTGGGAATAGTGATCGCCAGAACCGAAGGCCTGGGTGAACGTGCGCCGTTGATCTTGTGTCGTTGTAGGCGGTGCCTGATACGCGTTTGGAGATAGGTCTTGCCGGGTGAAAGCTAGTGGCGTTGGTCCTGTCGAAGGCAGAGCGGTTTGCGGCAGTGGTGATCTCCCCTGTCTGGGATTATTCTGAAGGTTCGCGTTGGGGTCATTGTGAAACGGGTCTTGATCGCTCTCGGGGCAGTTTAATTTCGATACGCCAGAGGCAAGGGAATATAAGACAACGAACTCTACTTTGAGGAACATTCCCAGCATCTACCGAAAGAAGGCTGCGGTTCCAACACCGCCTGCTCCCCCAGTGGCGGCACCAACCGTCCCTCCAGGAACGACGCCAACCGTCCCGAAGCCTTTCAAAAAGAAGAAGTCGAAGACCGCCGCTGCGACCGCTCCCGCAACCACTGCTGCTGCAACCGCCGTTGCTCTTGCGAATGCCGTTCCTCCCGCGATCCCTCCCGCGCCTCCCGCCGTTTACACGACTACCGCTGCTCCACAACTGCTCCCGCTGTCACTCAGCAGAAAGCTCAGAAGATGAAGTCGTCCTCCAAGAATCAGACTTCTAACAAGGAGAAATCCATTCAGAAACCTCACACCGGTGTCAAGACGGCAGTCACCCAAGCAGCCCCCCTTCCTGCTGCTGCCACAGGGGCCGTGGAAGACAACTCCGAAGCCATACTGGTTCCCGACAGAGGTGGTTTTGCGATATTACCATGGAGCTGCAAATACTCTTCGGCTCGGTCTAGGCCTGGGATGACAACGCCCGGCTGCGCTTTCAGACGCTTTACGTAGTCGCCCGGGAGTTATTTGTATTTACTGATGAGGAATTCAATCATTACTTAAATATTCTAGGATTCGCAGCGGCTTGACCTCATTCAAACCATGAGTTCATGCCTACCTTTATTGAGATGAAGTCATGGGTGAGATAACATGTTGGGCAATCACCACTTGTGTATATGATGTTTTCACATTAGATCGGAGAGCAATTTTGCAAAATCTATAGGTTGTCTAGATTTTGTAGCCATAATGTACATGATGAAATCATAAACATGAATGAGACTTAGGTACAACTTCCAATCCAAATATATATACTGGAATGAAGGGAATATATACAAACAGAAGTGAATGGGCTTGCTCAGAAGCCAAAAAGAAGGAATCCATACCTTATAGCGATTAGATGACAAGCATCGTCTTCACTCTATATCCGGACTTCAAGAGCAGAGGAGGCATAAAAGTCTATGCGCAGTCCTGATGGCCCTTTACTGGCACGAAGACCACCACTCCGATTCCACGACACACTTGAAAGGAGCTTGGCACTGGGTTGGGCCTGTGTATCCGTTACCACCGCACTGGCCCCATTGGGGGACTGAGCCGCCATTGCCGCCAGAGGGAGGAGAAGAGGTAGGTCCGGTGCTGGCGGTGGAAGTTCGGGTGACAGTGGCCAGAGTAGTGGAAGGGGGAGGAGGGGGAGGGGGAGAAGAAGAACCGCCCAGGTCAGCAACAATCTTGGCCAGGTATCCAGTGTTGGAGAAGAGCTGAGCCATATCCCACAGCATGACACCACCGAAACTAGAAGAGCCCTTGGCCAGGTTGATGGCTCCAGACAGCTGAGAATCGGTAGGGAAGGATCCAGCGTTAGCACCACCGACGTTGGCAGGAGTGCCGATAAGAACCTTGGCGTTCTTGTTGGCGCTGACAGTCTTGGCCCAGTTGTCCCAAGTTGCCCAGTTGAAGTCGGTAGGGTAGTGAGAGACACCACATCCGTTGTTGTAGAACTGAACGTTTACCCAGTCAAAGGCGACCTGACCATTAAGAAACGATTGATCCGACACGTCGGGGTAAGGGCACTGGGGGGCAGCAGAGAGATAGAATTTCTTGGACGTGTTGGCATTCATCAGGGTCTTCAGCTCGGCGGCGAAGGGCTCCATATTGTTCTCGATGGGATCCTCAAGATCGAAGTCGAAGCCATCAACAACAGCGTTGCCGAAAGGTCGGGGAGTGCTGTTGCCGCTCTGAACAGGGCCATACATGGCCCAGATCTCCTGGGCAGCCGATACAGCAGCTGACGAGGAGCTGAATCCACTCTCAGAGTAAGTGGAGCCAAACAGACTCATCATGATGGTCTTTCCATATGTCTGCTGGCACTCGACGATGTCGGCCGCAACCTGGGGGCAGTTGAGCAGGTTGGGAGCCTGGGGGAAAGAGGTACAGTTGTTGCCAACGTTGGCGAGGTTGAGGTTGAGGTTGGTGATGCCAACCATGAAGGAAATGTTAATGACGTCGACATCGGGGGCGTTCTGGCAGTAGTAAGAGAGTCTGTTCTGGCCAACGCTACCGGAGTTCTGACCCCAGTACACAACGATGTTGTTGTTGCTGTTTTGATTCCAGCCAGCCTGCGCAGCAGGAAGAAGAGACAAAAGCCCGAGGGCGGCAGTGAATGAAAGGGAAGGCATGTTGACTCGTTCGTTGAAATGTTAATGAAAGTAAAAGGAAGGAATGACTAGAAGGACCGGAGACAGCTCTGGATTGGCTTGTCGTGATGATGAATCGGGGAAAAACAAGAGCAGATCGAAGTCTTTATATTAATTGGATAGGCAGCCGTTGACAGGCTTCAAGTCAAGACAATAGCCTCACAACGGGACCTACACAGGTAGCATCGTACTAGAAAATTATGGTAGGTGTTATGCTAGTTGAAAGATAACCCACCTAGCCGGCTTCAGTTCACAGTCTGACATGGTTACATGAATGGGCAGTTGGCTAGGTGACTGAAACATTCCATACTATCTTTGTACAGTCCCGGCGGCGGCAGTGATTGGGATTAGCTCGACAAACCCACCGGCAGTCCTGATGATGCAGGCTGTAAATGCTATATCTCGCTGCGATTAGTATGATATGGATGCAACGTTATGCTCTAGTACCGCCAGGGCCAGGATGATTTAACGTCTAATGCGGAAGGTTGAGGTTAGCAAAAGCGGTTAGAGGACGTCACTATCACACGCATTTAAAATCTATATGCAGGAACCAGTTCCAATAAAAGCATCTGCATCTTTGACATCATGGTGCACCTAGGCGCGCTGATTGCTAAAGATTCCTTTCTTTCCAGAAAATCATCTTTCAATCAACTTTTCCAAAAGAAAAAAATTTGCGTATTTTTCTTTAGTAGGAGGGTCAAACGCCTCAGCTTGCTCCAGGCCCTTCAAGACCCTCTTTCCAAATAAAACTCCAATGTATAAAACAATGCTTCCTGCTAACACTCGGCTGTAATATTCAATGGCTTCTCTTAATGTGTTTAGAGTCTAGCCATTTTTGTCAGCTCCTTCAGCTAGAGCTTCCACTTTCGTGATAGGACATTGTCTTATGTCGGAGCAAGCCATGCTCTGTTCCCGCACGTGGCGGTGCCATTCCTCCGTAATTTCGGATAAGACGGCAACTTCTTGCTATTGGCTGCTACCAGCCTCAAGCTGGTGGGCACCAACCACGGCACAGATGGAGACACGGAGATGCTACAATGAATCAAACCGCGTGAGTGGGTCGGCGATAGCGACAGTAAGTTACGCGGGGTGATATCAGCCGCGTTGCAATCTATGGATAAATTGTGTAGATATCAGAGCTTCCACTTGAAGAATATTGATTTTCTGAAGAGATTTGGGCAGCTCGATTTTCTTCCCAGCAGAGCCATAGACCTAGCGGGAAACTGAAATAACGAAACGGCCGCATGGGGAATCTACCCCTCTGGGTCATTGTCAAAGAGAACGACGTTACAACAACCGAAGTTGGCAGCCGTGTCTGCACGCACCGACTGTGATGCATCAAGAATGATGCTACCATGCAACTGCATACTGCACAAATAATCATCTTTTCTCTTTCTATCTCTCTCTTTCTTTCTTTTTTTTTTCTTTTTTTTCTTTTAATAACGTACTCATACTTGTGTCAACTTATATTAACCAAATTAGAGAAGTGTAATTGCTTCTTCGATATAAGTCGTACGGTTGCATGTGGGACGTCCCTTTAACCGCAGTGCTGGATCCACAATTACTCGATGAATTGTATTGGTAATAGTTTCTTCCTATTTACAATAATATTCCTTTTCTGAAAATATGGCATATCGACAATCAATATATACCCTAGAGCTTAAATACACAAACACAAACTATTGGTGGTAGAAACGGTGTATCTTGTCCCTGGCGTGTTGGCGTCATCATGCCTACTCATGTTGGGGTGTTCACCTGTCGCTGCCACTGGTTGGCATGAGCTTGGGAACGGTGACTGCCAGTACCGAAGGCCTGGCAAAGAAGCAGGCAAATTAAGGGGAGGGCTATCCAGCACCCCAGCGGCAAAGAGGAGTTCCGAATAGAGTAACAACGTATAATGAGGATCTCTTATCACCGTTACTTAAACAGGTATTACACAGTTCCTAGAGTATCTGCTACTATCGGTAGTTTCTGCTACTATCGCTACTATATGCTACTATCCATATACGGTGTTGGAACTGGAGCCTTTATGCGGAGCTGGGAATATTCTTTAAGGTAGAATACCTTGCCTTATATTCTCTTGCCTCGGCTGTATTAAAATTGAACTTAGGTGGTTTTGGGATATTACCATGGAGCTTTAAATAGTCTTCGGTTCGTTCTGGGCCTGGGATAACAACGCCCGGCTGCGCTTTCAGACGCTTTACGTAGTCGTCTGGGAGTTCCTTGTACCCCACAGTCGTCACACTGGAAAGGTTTTGGTGGAGGCGGAACACATGCCCCCTTTGATAGTCTTTTGTACGCCTTTAGAGGATCTGACATCGCATATGCCCTGCCACAGTTATCGTACACGAACGGTTTCAAACCGAGATGGATATTTTTGTGCTCTTCTAGGAGGTTTTCGTTGTCACATTTGACGCCACATTCATCACATTTATGCTTTCTAGTTTTCGGTTTTGGTTTCGCTCCCGTCGCCCTCTGTTTCGCTAATCTCGCCCTTTGTTTCTCTTGTCTCGCCGCTCACTGGGCCTCCCAGAAGGCATCAACTTCCATGGCATCTTGAAGGCTGTCTTGATACCAAGCCCCTTTCTATATCTCGTTGCTAAGTGAAAGGTCCACTCTCCAGAAACAGTGCCATAGAGGGACTCTGCGGAGGTCACCCCGAATTAAATCCCAGTCTGCAGTAGTATAATTTTGCATTGCTGAATTTGTATGCCACGAATCTATTGTAACTGTGCATTATCTGAAATCGATATGCTTCAGGGGGTTGAAATCTTGGTCATTAGTTGGCAGAAACCTATGCTTTATTGCAATTCTGTGGTCTGGACCTTTGCAAAGAGATGCTTTAAATATATAGTATAGCTATAGTACCAAAGGGAAACCCTATTAATCAATATTATACTAGAGAATCTTCTTTTACTCTGCTTTTAGTTAGTTACCCTTAATCTCCATAATTCAGCAACTAAAATAGGCAATTATCTAATATAGAAGGGTAAAGGCGTCAAGTTCCAGCTCTCTTAAACCAGCATCCTCTGCGTATTCATTATATATGACTTTTAGTTATTTAATTATTAAATAACAGAGATAGAAGTTATAACGCCAACTCCAACCTAATGCTACAGCTTACAGCATTAACAGTATATAAAACGGGTAAAAAACTCGGCTACTATCTATACTTGGCGCTGGGATCGTAAGGTAGTATTCGAATTCCAGTTCTATCAGGCCGTACTTATTTGCGATCTTAACCAACGTCTTATAACGGTGTTGAAGTGCAGCTTCCAGATTTGCTTTATTAATGGGCAAAAGTGACAACAAGCCACCACATTTTCAGGCCACAGGTCGAAATACTGACTGGCAATTAGTCAGAATCGCATTTCTTTGGCAGCTTTCACGCCCGCGATGTAGTTTTCACATCGATTTTTGGTGTTGTTGCAAGTTGAAAGTTAGTATCGCGATGTTCCTGTGGTATTGAGCTCCAATCTGACATAGAATAGTTTATCAGTACTAATATTTGTTCTTCTTATTTGGTCTAGAGGTACCTTTCGAGCCCGGCACTGGTCGCACTTTGCACAAAGAAGCAGCTTTCAATAAAGCGGTATGCAAACCTAATCACTCACAGATCGCCGAGGAATTGCGGGCTGTTTTTGCGATCGCGGTTCCGTACTTCCGCAGTTTTCCATGGTAGAGGTGAAATAAACGCGTTTATTACGGGATGAGTTCACGGCAAGCAATTGTAATGGTGTCTGCTGCCCGAAAATTGGCAATGGAGAGAGTCGAAACATCACTTCTGGACCGGAGATGCGCGGGTTTCCGGGCCCCGTTCTCTCTGCCATGCCAGCCAATCACAACCCCCCGTGAGGCTTGAGACCTTGCAGCACTTATCACACCGAAGGCAATCATTATTAATAAACGGCCGGAAAACAGAGGACATTGATCTGGCCAACAGCTTGAATGCTCACTTATAAATATAAATTGTTCGCACTGGACTGTGCTTGAGGTAACTTACCACTCAGTTATACAAAGAGACCTCTGGAAAGCCAGTTCTCTTACGAGCGTGTCGCTATGGCTTGGAATATTTTGATTACTGGCGCTGCCGGATATATGTCAGTTTTGAACCATTTCTTATGTTATCTTGTTGACTAATGGAACACCTTAGTGGAGGGTCTCATGTTATTGGGCTTCTTGGTAGTGAGACTGTCAAGTTCGAACCAGAAAACATCAATGTTCTTGTCCGTTCTGGGGGACAAGTAGGACACTTTAGTAAGCTGGGCATAAACGCCATACAGTGTTCTTTGCTAGATGAGAAGAAACTCGCTGATATTGTGCTTGAAAGAAAAGGTAAATCGAACTGATGCATCCAACTGATGGTCTTCAATTAACATTACATCCCCTTAGTCGATATCATTGTCCATTGCGCAAGTTCATTAGACCCAAATTTGGCATATCCCTTGATCTTAGCTTTACAGAAGAGCGCCAAGCCACCGGCAAGGAGATATATTTTATTCACGTGAGAGAATACCCTACGAATCATTATCATAACAACTATGAATGAAAAAGTTCTGATCCGACGCAAACAGCCGAAATGGGTGCATTTAGTAAAGAAACTGGCTGGCCCCATGGTTCAGTAGAGGATACCGACCCTGTTTTCGAGCTTGAGAAGCAAATGCCAGAACAGGATGTATTCCCAGTGCAAAGGGTAAGGAGTTATATCTATCCGCAGGCTGCAAGCGCTGTTTTCTTACATGTGTTAGGTGAGCGTTGCAGTAACCGAATTCGCTCGACAATTAAACATACCATCTTTTATCGTATTCCCTCCACTGGTTTGTGAGTACTCTAAACCTATTAATTCAGAAGGGACGAATCTCATTAACAATCCATTCTGTGGATTGGTAGATGGTCGAGGTACTGGTCCCTATAAAAAGCTGTCTGTTCAGGTTCCTAGCCTTATTCGTGCCTTTATTGTACTGAAAATGGTCTACAAATTTGACTACGAGGGTGTATGAGATGAGCCAAGAATGATCAAACTATAAATTTATACTGACAGTCTCACAGCGGTGGCCGGCAGCACATGTATCTGATGTCGTAAACTACTACATTTTACTCATCGGGCTCATTATTGAAGGAAAGACCCCTCCCAGTGGTGAAAATGGATACTACTTTGCAGCAACCCACTATCTGAGCTGGTGGAAGATGTTGGAGGGCTTGGCCATCTCTCTTCATGGCCGCGGTTTAGTGAAAGAGCCTATACCGGTTATTTGGCCAAGCGTAGAACTTGCTGAAAAGGCTCTCGGTTTTCCGTCGCCATACGTGCAAGTCGCGTTCAGTTCAAGGTCAGGTTCATCGTCACATTAGAGAAATTATTCGACTTAACATAGAAGAAGCCCACAAGGTATTGCGGACAAAAGATACAGCATTGGTTGGGAGCCAAAGTGGAATGCTCCCGACTTTTTCAACATTATTGATGACGAGGTTCAGAGCGTACTTGATCTCGATATTGCTCGCGCTTGTATTGCGGATTATTTCGCCAATGAAAAGCTCGAGGGCTCGAAGGAGTAGAGAAGAAACACGATTCGCCACCAATATTGACTGGGACTGGTGGAGCCATAAAGTCGGGGAGAGGCGTGAAGATATCAATCTATTCGCTGTACGAATGATCCAGAATATGTGCCATGAGCATGAACGAGCTTGGCGGTCGCAAAAGCTAAACATTGTTGTGCACATTTTGTAGGCCACGCCATTTTCTTCACACTGGATACAACCATGAGCTTAGGTGTGTCAGACAGAACGACAATGATAACCTAAGTTCGCCGTTCTCCTCGATCTACATCACCATACTCAACCGATAGCGCAGCGTATGGGTGATAAATCGTATCTAGTACAAAAGCTTGGTATTTATACTTGATTTATTCACTTTCTTTTCTTTTCATGACTGAAGCAATAGATCATCCGTTAAAGGTTTTTAATGGTGCACCGTAAATTCTTCTAGTACTCTCATGTATATATATGAAGCTTCGTTTTACTCCCCGATTAGATGGTATCATGTCCCAATTAATCTTACTTGTACTCCAGCGAAAAGGATTCCAACCTGAATCTCAAGCTACATCTCTTGTTCGTGACGGCCGGTATGATTAATATTTGCTAAGTAGTGTTACATCTCAGAACGATTTAAAAATGTTCTCCGAAGGAAAATTTGCACTAGCCGATGGCTATCCGAATTGTTAAGAATGAATGCATTCCGATTCATCAAAATAGAAGCAAGGAAAAGAAAAGCTCAAGGGAGGTAGTACATGTAGCTCCGCTATGGACGAAGTCTTCCACAACAGTGTTCTCATCTCTTGTTGCGATAAACACAAGAGTCAATCTCAAGTGGGACATTCTCCATATCGGGAAAGCGCGCGCTCACTAGAAATGGATCATGGCACCAAACTACGGAGTACCTATGCTTATATTGCGCTCTTTATGAGGCTCCAATACACAATGCATTGCCTCTCTTTCAGAGACATGACAAAGTTAAATCTATGCAGCTTATTAATCCTAAAACTTCACGCACTTCTGCTTAGAACAATGCAGGAGCGGAACTCCGCATGGCGGGGACTTGCTAACATCTTGGCTCCAGGAATGTTGGTACATCAACTTCCTGATCCGCCGTGCTTAATCGGTGGTTATTATTATTTCCCTACTGTTTTGGTCTAGTTATAGCAGCTTTTAATTTAAATTGCTAGTAAGGTGAGGTGTCATGTTCACGCTGAGGACAAAAGCCAGCCTCATTATATGACTCTTATTAGAGGGTCAGGCGATGCTCACCTACATGGCTCGTGAAAACACTACTTCACATCCTTTTAGTATAGTACACCTTTTGTATTGCTTACATTGAATAACAAATCTCACATTAACAACCCCCCCTCCCCCCAACCAACAGACAACTCTTTGACCCCTACCCTCTATCTACTATAAGTAGCGGCTTCAGCCACTGATGTTACAAGCCCAAAGGAAACTCTCAACGCATTCGCCAAATCTCATCAAAATGCTGTCTCAAGTATTGCGCTTTACTTTCCCGGCTGGGTCCACCATATCGTCTGCAGCGTTCCTGAAGCTGCGCCAACAGATTGCTGCAGCAGGAGCGCCAACTCAATATTATGGCTATACCACGCCGACAAGAGTCTTGAGTCTACCTAGAAAGCGCCACGAAGTTTGTTGGGTTGTTCGTAAGTCTTGCATCATGGAGTATTATTATATATAATTATATTTCTTACTGGTGAGCAACCAGATTGGCCTAGTGAGCTGCAAGACCGGAGCACTGTAGCCGAGGGATTACTTAAGATTGGTGTTACGGATGCGACCGCTTTGGAGTTTGAATTTACCGATGCTCAATTAGAACATCTGACCAAAGCGCTCAACGCTCCAGTGTGCGAGTTTGTAGGTTTTATCTTGCCTTGTCTTTCCTCTATCTTTATTATTCACTCTTACTCTCATTTTGTCTTTTATTTTCATGATTTCGCTTGAGAGAAAATTGTTAATAAAGCGCATATTAGGCATGCATCCGACTGAGAGATGACGCCCCACTGGAAGACGAATCTCTACAGAAATCAATGCATAAGACGTATTCCGATACTTATCAAATTCAAGGATTTACAGGAGGCTATTGGGCATATGCTACTAACACCAACGAAACCGCGGGAGTGCCTTGCAGTAGTCCAGCTCCGGAAACAGTCCCCAAGTCCCAACGAAGACTTGGGGTTTACTATCTGGGATGGGATAGCATTGAGGTAACAAAATAGCTAGGCGGACAATTGGTAAATTGAGGCAGTTGCTGACTGAAATCAGTTGCACGAAGATGGAACCCAAACGGAAGCATTTTCGGAGGAAATCAACAAGCTACAGCCATTTTTTGCTTCCGGGTCTGGAGCTTGGTACGCAATGCTTCGACAGCACAAATAATGCGCTGCGCAGACCCAAGATTCGCCTTATGATATGGAGGGGTAAGTCTTGTGGCATAGTTGCCTGGCTAAGGCAGGCTAGCAAGGCTTTTTTGAAGGCTGTCGGGACAAATCTTTTTTCACTCTTTACAAGCCTCATGTTGGGGAGAATCATGAAAATTTAGTCTCTTTTATATCATGTTTGCCAGTTGTAATTCAATAGGTACAAGGCAAACACCATGCTAATACTTCATCTTTCTTTCCATCGCTGGGTGGCCAAAGCGGTTCGTTGGCTGATTGCAGCCCCATCATACCCGGGATCAGCCAACAAAATAGACATACACACGCAACCTTGTCTTATGCCTAGCATTTGCCCGCCACTAGGCTGCTGCCACATCTTCAAACTTCTCAGAATGATATCGCATATGGTATACAGACCCACAGCGGTGCGAGGCGCAGCCCAGGGGTGACGGTGGCGAGGGTTGGCTCGTGATTTCTTCGAGTCTCGTTCATACTTCATAAGAACTATTTGGTATCAAGTTGCTTTCCAAGATTCTTCTTTCTTTTTCTATTTTCTTCAAGATAACTGGACTTGTTACAAAAGAAACCCCCTCAAAATGGCCCCGATATTGAAAATCGCGCTGGTTCAATTCCAGGCAAAGGTTAGTCGCCTTTGTTGCGCTCCCTATATACATCCTATTGGAGGTTCTGATACATCAAAATAGCCCCTCTGTGTTCAAGAAAACTTTGACAAGGCAGTTTCAGAAATTCAATCTGCTGCCTCAAAAGGAAGCCATCTCGTTGTGTTGCCAGAATATCACCTCACATCGTGGGTTCCGGAGGACCCTTCATTTGCTGTGGCTTGTGCAGCGTCCACGAAATATCTACCGCAGTATCAAAATCTAGCTAGAGAGTTAAATATTCATATTGTTCCAGGCACTATTGTTGAACCTATCACTATCCAGCCGTCGAATGCCGTTTCTACCTCTCTGTCAGAGCAAGCTGCAAATGCGGGCGATCCCATAGTGGAACTACACAACAAAACCTACTTCATCGCTGCGACTTCCGGGGATATTCTCGCAACATACCAAAAGAAAAATTTGTGGCATGTCGAGCGCGGCGTTCTAACCGCTGATAGGCGAACGCCGCACAGAGCTTTTGATGTTCCGCTCCCTGGCAGTAACCATATGGTGCGATTTGGTTTGCTCATCTGTTGGGATCTTGCCTTTCCTGAAGCTTTGAGACAATTAACTGCAGATGGGGCAAAAGTCGTCACAATTCCTGCATACTGGCATATCAAAAAGGTCAACCCAAGACTCTTGGCTCTAAATTCGGACTCCGAAGCAGTGTTCTTGGATAGCGCTACTGTGGCTAGAGCTTGTGAGAACACATGTGCTGTTGCATTTTGTAACGCTTGGGGTCACAGTCAGGTTGCAATGCCGGTGCTAGGATCTCTTGGTAAACTCGGGATCGAGAAAGAAGGTTGTTTCATAACCGAGATAGATTTGGATGCTCTAGAGGTAGCAGAGAGCCATTACAAAGTGCGAGAGGACATAAGTGGTACAGAGTGGCACTATTAATCTAGCTGAGGGCTAGAAGATGATTCATGAGTAATCATTCATTAGCATATATACATTTAATTTGGCTGTATGTTTATTCATAGTATACAGAGCCTCCGAAGCGAGTTCTTTCCTAGTCGTTCCGCCGCTTCTCCATTCATTAGCGCATGGATATATGCGTCTCCCAATAGCTCAAAAGCATCGCCTCTGAGTATGTCTCCATTGACCAAAGACGAACTACTCTTTGGTATTAACGGTAAAGTAAGATGCTTTTGCCGGAGAATAAAAGGAATGCGTGTATCGCTCAGAACACACACCAGATCGCCTTCCCTAGCATTTGTATCACAGATGCCAACGTATCCGGATTCGGTGAGCATCAAGCTACGTCCCCGCATGGTAATACTAATGAGTTCAACATATGCGGGCCACTTGTGCAAAATTTCGGGGAGATGATGCTTCGAAGAGCGCAGTTGCTCCAAGAATTGGGCCGGAAAACGAGCGTCTTGAGCAAAGTAAGAGTTGGCAGGAGTATGCTCCCAATTAGCCACCAAAGTCACAGCGATGGTGCTGATGATGTGCTGGCCGGTGGGACCATAGATGTCCGCGCAGCTGGGAGGAAAGAAGCTTAGTTCGTCGAAACTTGTTGCAACTGAACAGAGGAAGTTGTTCAGCGCATGTTTGGCCTTGTGAACAGCTCCCGTGAGTGGTAGAATGTCGAGCGGGATAACAGCCCTGATGACATCGTGTACTAGTCCAACAGCTACGAGAGCATGACTGTTGTCTTCAAGGGTCAATATCTGAAAACGCTGTATGGGTATTCCTAAAGAAGCATCGCTGTTTGCTCGCGAGTGACGGAGCGGTCTGTTGCGCATTGTTCCAGTCCAATCCGGTACCCATGACGGGACATCCTGGCCGGTTACCCCCCTTTGTCGCAGTGGTCGCATAGCTCCAGCAAGTTGTAATACGTGAGTGGCAGAGTTGTAATTGCTATCCAGGGGAAAATCATCTCCCAGCTTCATCATGTGAATAGCAAAGTCAGTAAAGACGTCGCGAATGGGCAGCCCGTAGTCGATATTGTCGACAAGGACCCGCATACCTGCGGAGTTCGGAAACCAATGCTGCATCACGCCGTATAAGGCGTATAATCGATCCCTGGGATTGGAACATTCGAAGCTGTCAAATTCCACGAGGGTGTCAAGCGGCGTTTGCCGTTTCAGCATCGCCTCTGCGTTCCTAATTCGCGACATTGTCCGTAGAATCGTGCGGTGTTCGTCGCTGAAACCACCCTTGTCGTTCTCAAATAGTTCGACAAACGCCAGTTCAAAGGTATTCCAGTGTATACTCGTTGTGCCGTAATGAACCCAAACTTCCTTTGCTAACACAACTTCTTGAATAATCCACCGTCGCTTAAACCACGATCTCTGAAGTAACGAGGTAATGGCGCGAGGCTGCAATTCATCATCACCGAGAAAAGCGGATACCGCCTGGTTAATTTGAAACCTCTTCCTCCAAGATCGCTGGTCATTCTCGCTTTCACTTTTCGGGTCCTCGAGGATGAGGGCGGCAAGGTCAGTGAAGAAATTCAGACATAGCCTTCCATGGTCCAAAACGTCGTCAGGACCTAGCCAAACAAGGACGTTTGTGGCTCCAGCATAAGTCTTTGGGAAATTGGCAACTTGGCTATTGCGTTCTACTATATTTTGCTGATCGATGCAGACAGCATCTACCCACAAGACAACCGTCTCGGTCGGCTTCCTCAAGCTGCGCAACGCGGCGTACAAGTTCTCAGTAATGCGAATAATGCTGCAGGACCCTTTAGGTTTTGGCGAGATGAGAGTATCATTATCGTCACTGCTGTCTCGTATCTGTAGCGAGTGTGAAAATACCGGCAACCCCCAGGTATATGACAGTGCCTGGTATTTTACATGTGACTGTCCAGTCTCATTGCACATGGATTCGTTGGAACTATGATCGGTGATCTCCGTTTCCACTAAGCGACAGCTCAAGGAATCGTCGTCCTGCGAATCACACACTGGCATGAGATGCAGTAGTCGGATGGAGAAAGTACCGCTAGAGGTGGCGGGCAAGGGACTATACTTGTAATTCATCCCGTTTGAGATTTTAAACTGGATAGTATTTAGGGTACATAGGATAGAGATATCCACCGCATGGCGAATGGATGAAGATATAAACATGCAATCGCCTGGCTTCTTCTTCAACGATGGATGCCTAGGAGTAAATAGCGCGATGCGGAGTAGAAGTGCTAAGGCTGAGCTACTCAGCCTTGTCTAGATAAATGTGGTGGTGATATATGCGAGGCAGGCGACTTAAAAGGGTATTTCCCGATAATAGGGACCTAAAATGGGTTCAATGATATAGGTAATTCGTTATTCCCGCCAGGGAGAATGAGGCAACTCCTTTCTGATGTGCTTGATATGAACACATGTAATTCACAAGACATACTTGCCTACCCTTCTTCATCTTCTGCCAAGCAACAATGAATGCATTTCTAAGCTGTAATATATCCAGGCTATTGCCTATGGAGTAGTTGAGAATCGCAGACTGATGGTTACATCTAGCAGCATGCCGCACGGCTTCGGCAGATGCTGCCGTACGTTGCGTGTAATTTGCAACATGAGCACACATAGATGTACGTGCTTGGTACGGAGTAATATATATTAGAGCTAGAAAATGACGGGAAAATATTGGTACATGCACGCTCAGTGCCAGTACCTACGATATCACTGGTATACCTACGTGACACCAGCTGGCTGATTACAATTTGTCATCGAGGCATACATAGCAGCCACGGCAAAATTACGCAGACATGAATGTGGTGAGAAATGAATCTTCAAGGTAGCCTCGAAATGCAGATTACTACCGTCTTTGTGCTTTTCTTTTAGCATCTTTGCATTGCTCAAACTGCGAAGGCAATGCAAGGATCTCGCAGGTCAAGGAGCGGAGCGGGGGCGGGGGACTCGATGTTTTCCAGTCCGAATGGTTCACTTTAATACAGGTACGGACTGAACTGCGTTGCAGACAAAGCATGCGCGGTTGCTGCAGATGAAATTCGAAATAGGATCCGCAGATGCAGTGCGCGAGGTGATGTCCAGAAGTAGCCAAGACAATATACTACAAGTAATTCACCCGCCTGCGGTTTCGGCGTTGCATCTTGGTGCATCACTTCTCAGCTCCTTATCTGGTACCCCTGCGACGCCACGAAACTTCAGCTGCTTGGAGGATTGCTGCTTCATACCTAGGCAATATGTAGAGCGGTGATTTGTCGTTTCTCATGTGACTACTTCATAGCCATGAGGCCCATCCTCCCTGTTCGAAACTCCAGATGTCGGTAGAGGCGCAGAGGGTAGTGCCTGGAGGAGAGGCTTAGCAACATGCAACTAGCACACAAATATTAATCGCTCTATAATCGCAGTTCCCTGAACCCATGCCCTCGTCCTCGTGCTCCGTGCTTCAGGTGGGATACAATTGATGCTCGCCTGACCGCACATGCATGGTGGCAGCCCAAAATCTTTGTCGGCCCTACTGTTCGATATTTGCAGCGCTAGAATGTTCAGAGCTGGCTGGATTGAACCTTGGTGCCACTCTCGCCACTTCAAAACGGCGCACTGCGATCGTCGGGGATCATCTATTTGAGTGGGATGCAGAACCACAGCAATGACGGAATACGTGGGGACAAGCGGACAAAACGCTGAGAATACAGTACAGTAACCTCTGGCCTCTAGCTTACGAGTACAGTACAGTGCTTGCAAATTTGAAGGCTCAAAGAATCGAGTCAGTTGGAGACTCTGGACACGGACACGGACAGGTACGGGCAATACTGTGGGAAACAGCCCTAATCAGCCAAAGGGGCTGTGGCGGCAGAGCAAAAACACCGCACTCAATACATGTACTTACATGTAGCTACATACTACTTACATGCAGCAGTCTCTATGCCTGTTCGTAGGAAGTGCGTGCTGCATTCCCGCAAGGCCTTTTCGATACGCGGAAATGCAGCTGAGAAAATGCCCAGGCGCCGCGGTCCAAAAATATTGGCTTGGCTCCAACTCAATCTGCAATAACCTCAGCCAGCTCTCGCCAAGGAATTCGGGACCAAGGCGGGCGCTAAAATGATGCCTGGTAGTTTAGGCCAAAGCATTCTACTTGTGCTTGGTGCGTCGGTGAAGCAGGTTGTGGCCCCCCTATTTTCATCGCCTTGTCTCTCTACGGAGTAGTGCTTCGACTGTACAGGTATTGATCAAGGTAATACTCCGTGGATGGCCACAACTAACCGTATCCATACGCTAGAATGCATTGCATGCTTGTTTGAGACTATGTGGTCAGCCCCTTTTATCGACTCTTCGGTTCGAAGGACGCCACCGCCTTTATATTTTGGTGAGATAATACGAGCGGAACAAATGCTACTGTAACAAATTGTCAACCTTGTCATCTCGCATTTGACTCGGGGCTCCACCGACCCGCTGCAAGAACCGGACATGGGGGATGAGGATCGCAACGAGTCCAATTGTTGCCTCGCCACGCGCCGAGTCTTGATCGTATAGGTTGAAATGGATAGCATGAAACAGAGGGCAATGGAGTAGGAAAGGCTGCGCATACATGCATTAATTATTATGTACCTATGTATTACCGGACGGGAAGCATTCGCACATTTGGGAGCTGGTAACGTTGGTGATTCCGTTGCCATGTCAAGATTCCAGATCCGCATAAGAGTCAATGCCAATAATAGGTAGGCACTGCAGTAGCCAGCGGCATGAGACGCTAGTAGCTGCACTCCGTAAAATTGGGTTGCTGCATGCCTGCCGTTTGTGTTTACTAGGTATGTCTGTCAACGCCAATACTGACTGGTAAGCACGAGGCCAAGAACGGTCTGCTCGCAAGGCATCTTGGGCTGACTTGTGCCGTCTGGGCTTCGATGAACCTTGAGCCACGCATATTCATTCACACATACTTTCCGGATATGTGCGTGAATTGATTGCTCTACACCAGCTGTCATATCGACCACCAAGTAGTCTAATACTGAATAAGAGGGAATGGGGATGGTGTCTCCCGGCCCATGGGGGCAGTACTTTCACTGAACTGATGTCAGCCATTCTTTCTTACCCTTCTTAATTCGACATTGCTGGTGTATGTATTCCGTAATCTTGACAGCAAAAGCTCTCGGTTTCTTTCGGGTCTCTCGATGTGTGCCTTGAGGGCTTCGCGTCGTCTTGGTGCGTGTGCTGGCTTCGCGCCAGTGCTTACCGGGACGATGACCATCTGTGCACATCAGGCAATCAATCAATACCAACTGACGTCAGGCGATGATCCCTTGTTGCAAGCGGGCTTGAAGCCACAGAGTCTGCACGAACATGAAGAGTCGACCTGACATCAGTTACCGTTATAAAAATATAAAAATAAACTACATGACCTGAGGTAAACCAGGCACCAAAACTCCAAGCCTCGGCGCTGGCCAGAAAAGCACGCGACCTGCTCGAGTCTCTGCCCAATCAGCCGGTCTAGAGCCGTCGATCCAAGCCCACTCGGCACACCAAATTGCGCCGCCTCCTTGATGCCTCGCCCCCTGACAGCCCAGCCCGCCATCACATTCCGCACTTCTCGAAGCCACGGAAAGCTAGTGGAAGGCTGAGCGGTGGGGGGGAGGTTTGGGGTTTCGCAGAAATGCAGTGCGCCGAAATGTTGCAAATTGCTGAAAAAGCTGGAGTGTCTGGCCCCTCCTCCCCTCCTCCCCGCGGCCCCCGAGCAAGACATTTGAGGCCATTGTGTCCAAGTCCATGTCCATTATACCATGAAAGATACCCGACATATTATGCGCGTAGAATGGATCAATGGATTTGGTTACATTCAAGTACCGGCTCGCTCTACGGAGTACTGCCGCCGCATTACAGCGGCTACAGCACCTGCAGCAACCACTAGGTACTGCACCGTAGGCGTATTCCACTAGACAGCGGCGGCCCATCCTTAGCGGCAGGGCCCTTCTCCATAGCGCCCAACGCTAGATCGTGCGACAGCCGCCCTCTAGGCCTGAGTGCCCCGTTTCCCCTAGCTCCATCCATGCATCTCTCTGTTCAGCTGTTGCATGCCGACCGACCTGGACTTTTGCACTTTCTCGCCGCGGCAGAGCCTCACGATCCAACCAACTCTGCCTCCTCCATCATTCGCTTGCCTCGACTCTCCTTTTTATTCATCCCGCATTAGCTGGCCCTGCACTCCTTTGGGCTTCTTCTGCGCTTCCTGGAGCTCGTTCTTTTCGCCTAGCCGCTTTCAATCTCGTCTATCGACCATCACCTGAGCATCGTCAAGTCACTCGTCTCTTGCCATTGGAATTCCTCTTCCTCTCCCCCTCTCTTCTTCTTCTTCTTCTTCCTCTTCCCCTTCCAGCATCCTGATGAGAGCTTGCGAGCAGCCCTGTTCGAGTCGCTTCCTCAAACGCCAGCTCCGGTCCGCCAAGACCAGCTGCTGTGCGACTCTCTAACTTCTCCTATTGCTTGTTCAATCATTACTACTACGACTATTGCTCTCCCCGCCTCGGCTTCTTTGGCTGTCTTCGTCCTCTCCTCTCAGTCAAGCGACGACGATCGATCCCAAACATTCTCGACGACATCATCATGGAGCCGCCCGCTGGCAGACGGCTCGATGCCTCCCCCTCTCCCTCTCCCATGCACCACCTCGGCATGACGCGCCGTTTCGCACACGCCGTTGCCTCGCGCTTGACTCGTCGGCGGTTTGTCTCCAATCTCGCCTCCCGCTTCGCCAACCGGCGCTTCGCCTTTGCCGTCGCAACTGTATCCATCTTCAGTGCCAAGGGCGTTCACATCTATACACATCTGTCTTCATTACCGGTGGTTCACCTGGTGCGGTGGGGATATTCCTTCTTTGCGCAGGATGTCATGCTGCTGGTCCTTGTCCGGCTGCTTCTTGAGCCGTGGTTGACGGAGGGCTCTGGGTGGCTGCGAACGGCGACAATGACTCTAGCGTCCGTAATTATCACATATCTCATCACCGTAGGGGTTGTGACAGTAACATTCTTTGCCGTCTGTGGCTCTGAGATACATTGGCGCAACATTGGGTTGGCTGGCGATGCCTCCTCCTTTGCCATGTTTCTCTCTGGCCTTGCATCATTAATCCTAGTTCTCTTCACCGTCCTCTTTGTCGCCTGCATCTTGCAAGACATTTGCTACGTAGCTGCAGGAGTGGCTACCGACATTCTCAAGTGGCCCATTTCCTTCGTTCTGCGTCGGTCATCACCGCCAACCACCTACTCTCAGGTACCTCAGCTTGACGTTGAGCTTGCCAGCGCATCCGACGATATGGAGGACGAGGAATTCTGCAGCATGAAAAGCAAGACATCAGCCATTATTCTACGGCGGCTGCTGTACCTTTTCATCGGCTGCGCACTCCTCACCCATGTCGTCCTGGTCTTGATTCGCCCGAATGAGAGTGCCTTGAACTTCCTATCATGGACACCCGCTCTGCTCCCTTTCGTCGACTTCACATTCTCCTCGCCAAGCCTTGACCATCTGAAGCCCATCTACGGCTCCAGCATCGAGCGCTCCTGGGACAACCTCACCGCTTTGACCGACCCTGTTTCTTTCCCTTGGCTGCCTCAGAGGCATGTTCCTGGATTTGGAGACTGGTACAAAAACAACAAGCATTACAACGCCGCTGCGGATCCTCTCAAGATTTCTAATTTGAACGACGCCCTTCTTCCAGCGCTGCAGGATAAGCTTGCCGATGTGCCGATTCGCCATGTCATGCTCATCCTCCTCGAAAGCACGCGAAAGGACGTCTTCCCCCTCAAGAAGGATGGCCTTATCTGGGAACGCCTGGCCAACTCATTTAGTAACAAGACCTTACCAAATGAGGCTCAAGCCATGTTGGCTGGCCTTACACCAAACGCCAACTTTATTACCGGCGACTACGATGATGGATTTGAACACGAAACCAAGAAAAGGCGCGGTGGCATCAACTTCAACAATGTCTTCACCACCGCTACCTATACCATAAAGAGCATTGTTGGCACAATGTGTGGCCTCACGCCGCTCATGGCAGATTTCAATTTGGAGTACCTCCACCACTTTTACCAACCGTGCTTGCCTCAGGTCTTTGACGCCTTTAACAAAATGGACAATGATGACCATCCCAGCAAGAGTTCCAAGGACTTTACGTCGTTTAAATGGCAATCCACCTTCATGCAATCAGTTACCAAGAACTATGATAGATATGTGCCTCTGCTGTCCAACATGGGTATTTCTCCTGAAAACCTCGTCTCCAAGGAATATCTCAAGAGCCGTTTCGCCAAATTTGGCCCAGTGGATCTACCAGACATCAACTACTTCGGCATGGCTGATATTGCTGTAGAGGACTATATTCGAGATGCCTTTGTCCAAGCCAAGAAGAATAACGAGCGAGCATTCGTCACCCATCTGACCAGCACGAGCCACCATCCGTTCGCTATCCCGGCTGAGGAGAAGTATACACCACTGGGAAATGGTCTGGACGATATTTCCCACTATCTGAACGCCATCGGCTATGACGACCGCTGGCTTGGCAAGATCATGAATATTTTGGATGAGGAGGGTGTTGCGGACGAGACTCTTGTCGTTTTTGTTGGTGACCATGGAGTGTCTATGCCAGAAAACAACATTCTAGCGCCTTATTATAACCCCAACATTGGTACTTTGCGTGTACCCCTTATCTTCTCGCATCCGAAGCTACCGGCAATCGATGTCAATGATGCAGTCATCTCGTCGCAAATTCTCCCTACCATCCTTGACCTCCTCCGCGAAACTGGGTCGCTTTCCGAATCGCACACCAGGGCTGCTTCGGACTTGGTCCAGAACTACGAAGGACAATCGCTCATCCGGCCAGTACACACATCCTCCAACGAAACCGGCCAGGGCAACTGGCATTTTACCGTCATTAATCCAGGTCGCGCCATGCTGAGCATCCGCGACGCTCGACAACCGGATTGGCACCTCATCGTGCCCATCATCGACAATGTCGAATGGCAGTTTACGAATCTGATGAATGACCCGACGGGAGCGCAAACCCTGCTCGGATTTGACTTTGTTAATTTCATGTACAGCGTTGAGAAATCGCACGGCGTCGATGCCGCGAAATGGGCCGAAGAAGCTGCATTTATGGCCCGCTGGTGGGTCGAAGAGAATGGGAAGCGATGGCGTTATGGTCCCTATGCCAACTAAACGGGCATATTTTCTTTCTTCACCTTTTTCATCCTTTTCTTTTCCATTTCCGCTCCCCCTTTTTCTTTTGATATCATATTATTATTATTTTACTCCTTGATGTACTGATATGTATATTGGCATGGCATTAAAACGGGCGTTCATACAATAAAGCATGGGGGCCGCAAAGGTCTTTTGAAGTTTTGGCAAAGTTATTTCTCCCATTACACGTGACATGAGAGCTTGTAACCATCTACATGTGGCTTAATCTGTCAAAGCATTACCACTCACTGAGGTGACAAATTGCCAGCTTTTCTCTCGATGGCCCAGTCACGAACTTTGTCAAAGTTTGCGCATGTTCTGGTTCCGTTAAATACAGGTCGCAAGAGGCCCTCGGAGTCTGTTCTGAAGGGCAAGATGTCCAGGCTCGGCCTGCACATCATTGACTGACGAATATAATCGATACAATGCTCGAGGTGCGCTGGGATCGTATGTTCATTGGCAGGGCTGTGCACGTCGTACCAATCTTTGAGGACACCGTATGCTTGCATGCGAAGCATGTCTAAGCAATGGAGCTGGTGAAATACTTCTACTGCACCGACATAGAGCGGAGGATCCGACTCCTTGGTGTCATCATCGATGAAGAGAGAACTCTTTGAGGGGAGTTTCGCATGCTCTTCCTCCGTCAAGGCGACCATCCCGGGGTGTGTTAGCTTATCCCAGTAAGCATTGTTGGTCTCGTCAGGTTTGCCTTGGTATGCCGACAAGTCAGGTGCGAACCCTGATGTGAAGCGCGATTCGCCGTATGAAAGGGCTGGGTATAGAGGACCTTTAACAGAGTGATGTGAGATGGTGGTTCCCTAATATCGGGGAGCTTTCTATACACACTTGTGAGATCTGGATAACTTAGGGTATCTGCATGTGGTCTACTTCTCAGGAAGAGTAGTGAAGAGAATGCAATTAACCAGAATGCTCCGAGGACTCCATGAATCCAGAGGAAGCGAATGCCTCCAACGTTCTTTCCCAGGGAAGATGCACCAAGAAACGAGAGGGACTCTCTTGGTGAAGACTCAGAGTCTCCGTCAGACACCCGCGTGTACTGAGTCTCGTCTGACAGCAGCGGCATATCGACTGCCTTTTCTGGCTAAAGAAGAGGAGGAGAGCAGTATAATGGGAAGGAAGGGAATGCGTCGCGGGACGGTGGACATGCAAGAAAGGGCTTGCTTTCAGATAATAGAGACTGCGTATGAACAACTATCCTTGTATTTGGATACCCATTAGAGGAAAAGTAATTCTGTCGGCAGATACAAAAGTTAACAAAAGGACCGCACCACGAGTCTGCCTACATGAACGATGAACTCGTAATACAGTTTACAAAAATTGACAAAAGGACCTCATCAGGGGTTTACCTCCATGAACGATGGAATACGGAGTGGGTCAATGTTCTTAACATGGAAATGCCGTTCCACGGAGAAAGTTGTTATCATCTTGGCCTATCTTTTTGCCTGGCAGCCGATCATGTAAACCATTGGATAAATGTATTTGGAAATTGCTACTAACTAGATGGAGAAGCTCAGTGTGATTTGTTATGTGGGTGCATTGGTAACTCAACGCTCGCATTAGTGGCCACTGGTGCGAGTACGTGAAAGCTGACTCGTATTTGGAACACACACATCAGGGACAAGAATAGACCGTGAAGCCTTTGGCAAAGTTCACCGCTTAGTAAATCATATTACATGCTTGTGTATCGAAAGTCTATTCGCCCTAATCTGCCTAGAGTGGCTCCTCCCACTCAACTAATAAAGTTCTACTTGGACCGAAACTCCACTTCTTTCCATAAGCACCAAGTTTATCAGTCCTAATGTTGGCGTTCTGAGACGACGAATTTCCAAATGTGGGTTTAGAGGCAAGAACTTATGTTCTGGCTATACCTCTTGGTGGCGATGCTGGCCTATTGAGGATGGGTACCTATTCTAGCGGACACTAAACGCTTAAACGCGGGGATTTCCGCGCTGGTGCTGATTACGAGGGATTCGGGGCATTAGCTTATTTCTTCCGTTCCTTGGTGTGGACAAAAAGTTCCTCTCAATTGTTATAGTAATGTGCTTACGTGGAACAGTTATTTCCTGAAACAAGGTCGGACTAGACGGAATCAGGACACTTGATGTGATTCCTAGCTTAAGTTATGTTGACAAAGATAAGATTTAAGCTTAGTCCAGTTATTGAGCCGTGGTTCAAGTTTATTTCATTTACTTAGTGGGTGATTACCAATAATTTAGCAAAGATATAGTCTATACGCCCGTTTAGTATTCGGCATGTATCTGCGCATTTTACGGGAGACCCTTGTTAGAAATCGGTAGGTGGTTTGTCGACAGCAGGGGGGGCTCTTATTCAGGTTAGCTGATGGGGGACCAGGTTGTCGGGACTTGGTAGACGTGTGTATCCGCAATAGATTATTGAGTAATACCGTAGCATTCCGTCTGATCTCTACAGATAGTTGCTGTGTGCCAAGCCAGTAGTAGTATCGGACCTGTGTTTGCTGCAACCTCGAGTTTGTAGAGGGATTTCTTGTCGATCTTGGCAATATCTCTGCGTCTGATATGAGTATATGGTAGTCACGGTGTTGCTATCTTTCGGAGCCGTAGCATTGAGGATATAAGTGACAACAGGAGCTTGTTTTCGAGAAATGAGGAATACGAAAAGAAAAGTAATCTTCAAGGTACTAGTTGTAAAGGATTGCATTAGTGCTTGTGACAGTTGAGGTACTACTTATCTTCATAATTATCTAATATACTGAGGACTCCCTAACAGTAGCAAGTGTGAGCGTCATGATGAGTCTTCTCTACAGTTCGCAACAATTATACTCCAAATGAAAAGGGTAAAATATGGCTGTAGCAAGTGTAATATGTATAATCTCATTTCCTGATATATTGTAGCAATTGTAGCTCTCGGTTGTAACAGCTCATAAACAGCTGGTAAGATAATCCTCATAAGATTATCCCGGTACAAATGTGTTCTCGATATTGCGAAGATCAGACATTCACGGGTTTTTTGCCGATTCTATCCATTTTGAAACCAATGTATGTGCGGGGATGATATACTACGGAGCATATGTAAGATATTTGTCAACATTTCTTGGTACCTAGCAATCCCCTTGTCAACTAGTGGCGGCGGACGACTCATTCATACGTCCATCCACCCCAGAATCTAGACTAATACTAGAAATACCGCAAGCACAACTCCGTAACTCGTATCTGCGGGGATGGGGAGAGCGAGGGGCTGATCTAGAGTATGCCCGCGGATTCATATGCTTCAAAACATGGTTTGGGAGGAAATCCTTTGCCATAAGTACCTGCGTTTTTGTTTATATATAGCGATGTAACGCTGCTGCTAGTTGGCTTTCCCCCAAGATACCACAATACAAACAGAATACCTTTTCTCTCTCCAATCAGTCCATCTCCACAACAACACATCTTCAAAATGAAGTTCACCTTTGCTTTCGCTTCCCTCCTCGCCCTTGTGTCCGCTGCCCCTGCCCCTGGCGAGGCCAGCACCGATGCTTGCCTCCTGAAGCGTGCCGATGGCAACTTTGTCGTGGAACGAGGCGGCTGCGGATACTACGGAAAGCGATCTGAGGCCAGCACCGATGCCTGCCTTCTCAAGCGTGCCGTCGATGGAACCTACAGCCTTGAGGCTCGAGGTGGTGGCTGTGGATACTACGGAAAGCGATCTGATGCCAGCACCGATGCTTGCCTTCTCCGACGTGAGGCTGATGGCAAATACACCGTTGAGGAGAGAGGCGGTGGCTGCGGATACTACGGAAAGCGCTCTGAGGCCAGCACCGATGCCTGCCTCCTGAAGCGAGAGGCTGATGGCAAGTACGTTCTCGAGGAGCGTGGCCACGGATGCGGATACTATGAGTAAAGTGTTGGAGCATAATTGCGTTTTGTTTTGTTTTTTGGCATCACCTGTTACGGAATATATTATTGTATAGGTGGTAATTGCGGCTATTTGGCAAAATGAATGTAACGGAAGGAAATCTTGAGTGGGTGGGCTGAGCATGACAGAATGAGTTTCTGACAAGTACTCACATATACTATGATCAACAAAATACAAACTTCAACTTCGTTTAGAATGTGCATCATGACTATTTGAGCTACCATTTCGACAACATTGGGCGGATCCATTGAGTAGAATAAATTTTATTTACATGTACAGAGAGTTCTTGACTTACACTAAGCGTTCAGAAACATATGACTGTCATAACGCATGACGGTTGCATGTAACATGACAGTCGCTTTCTCTAAGATATGAAAAGTTGCCGTCATCAATATGTAAAGACCTACTCGCTTTTTTTTTTAATGACCACCGTGCAACTAGAAGCACAGAGCTAGCGTATCACCAGCATCTCTATGTTGCCCTCAAAGTAAGGAGGAACATATTTATAGAATGCTGGAACGTAATCAGCACAGTGTATATTAGGTAAGTGAGCTAGTTCTAGTAAGCCTAGCCAGTGTGGATGTAACGTGAACAAATGGGCGGGGTTCTGCGGAGGAAGCATCTCAGCCACTACTATCACCTTGTGGAGCCATATGAGTGTTTTGAGAATCAACTGGTTCCTCTTGGACATCTTTGCTAAATAATAAATACGAAACCCGCCTACCCAATCGATATCTTCATTATGGCAACGATCTTCAAACTCATATTTTACGTTCCAGAGACCCATATTGAGGTCTGTAAAGCGGCCATTTTTGCTGCTGGAGCTGGTCGTTATCCAAACAGCTCCTATACAGAGTGCTGCTGGACGGCCTTAGGCACCGGCCAGTTTCGCCCAGTGGCCGGGGCGAATCCGCATATCGGACAACTAGATAAGCTTGAATCTGTCGCTGAAGTACGAGTTGAAGCGCCATGTGTGGGCCAAGATGTGACAAAGAAGGCCGTGGAAGCACTGAAGAAGTATGCATATCTGAAGATGCTAAACGTCGTCTTAGTACAGATTTTGGGTTCAAGTTGTCTAATGCGCCTCTATTTTACAGGGCTCACCCGTATGAGGAACCGGCATATGAAGTGTATAGGCTTGAAGATTTTTAAGCAGCAGATATTAAAGTCGATAATACATGAATTCTCATCGCCATTTCTCACTCATATTTAGTGATACTGATAACTCTGTACGACCTCTTATGTGATGCCTTGGAAAGCAACAAACGGGATAAGGATGTACAATTGATTGATGGAAAAATCACTAGACTATATTGAAGGCTTCTTTTTACATACACTGAGCCAGAAACCCTTCACTAATATTAATACAAGTTCTTAACCCCACTCCAATACGGCCTCTTTTCTCATGCTAATTGAGGAGATTCACTCAGGGTTGGCATATACCGTATAAAGCTCCCAGGCATTAGGTTCTGGTTTATCCAAACTTGTTATAAAACCGAGATTACCCGCGTTCCAGAACCAATCGGGATGCTCCTTGCTTTTGTATCTATTCGTTCCGCGCGCAAATTGAATGGCCATTCTGTGAAATCTCCATCGATTCCTGACACTCGGAAGGTCTTTTTTCACGCAGGTAAGCATATAACTCCGCCAGTCAATGTCCGCTTGCTTTGAGGACGTTGTGTCGGCAAGAATTTCCGAGACCCAGCTATTATCACTCCAATCTGCTGGTGTGAATGGCAACATCCACCCAAAGTTGCGTATGGCGCGTAAAAAGAAACTTTGTCGTTTATGAATGATTGCATCGTAGAACCAACGATCCACCTGGGCCAAAGAAAGAAGAGTTTGCGCAGCAATAATGGCAGAAGGAGCTTCGAATACTTCTTGAGAAGGGCTCTTTCCGTTGTCATCATGAATACTCTGCTGTTTCTCGTTTTCTTTGCTTTGCCGCAGCTCATCCTTTATGATATCTGCGGGTATTTCAACAATGTAATTGAGAATAATGTCAAATAATTCGTTGGTATCGAACACTTTCCGGTATCTCAACGTTGAGGCGGCCACTGTTCTTGTCTGTAGAGCTTTGGGAGTTGGGAGCCGAGTAGGCCTAGCCAGTAACCATTTTGTATCTTCCATACTCTCTGGATCGTACCATCTTGCTGGTGGAAGATCAGGAGGGCTGTTTGGCGGTGGCGAGTGGCGCCATAGAGCATATTCAAAACACTGCCCACTCCTTTCTTGCATATCATAGTAGTTGACACAATACAAAAGCCCATTCAGCTCGCCACCATATATCCGATAGCTCGAGGATTCTTTGTAGACCGACTCCCAGAGCTCACGGGGACTGATTTTGGTATGACGGCAAAGAAAAGAGAGGCACATGGGATGGATCAGGAGAAATGAGTCGGAGCCTATATGTAGCTTATCTTTTACACCACTGATGGCTACATCGCCATAAGATCCGACTGTGCTGCGGTAAAATGAATGAGCGAAAGACAGCACACAACTTTAAAGAATGAACACTCACCAGAGTGGAGTAACAAAGGTTTCGGGCCAGTTAGGCGTTACACCAACGCCCAGAGTCCAAGACTCGCCATCTCGATCCGATATGGTCACAATCTGATCCAGTGGTAGTGATGGAACTGGATATCCACGGTCATTAAACCACTCTCCATCTCCAGGCGGCCATTTGTCATCAGAGACGCCATCAGTTAAAAAGCGTAACCAGTCATGCCGTGCATTACCCAATGGACCAGAGCTGGTCGGTCGGTCAGTATGCATACATGGATGCAACTAGCCTTGAAGATGCGGGGTATGTCTTACCAGAAGCAGCAGAATGAGTCCCAGCAGCCCATTTCTCACCAATCTGCGGATTGAGTTGGGGGCCGGATTGCAATTGATGAAAGCAGTTCAGTCAGTTGATGAAGCACCCTGCTATATGGCTGGGACGCTGTGTTGTGTTGGGGCGGTGAGGTGGAACAAATAAATCATCGCGTCAGCTTACTGACGTACGTCACGCAAAAATAAGTTATTCCACATGTACAGTACATGAATTAATTATCTATACGGAGATTTGGTGGATGGCGCTAACCTATTCATTACATCTCTACGCTATCATTATGGAAGCACTGCACATATGGAACAGTTAAAACCAACTTCAGCCAACCGATTCTTATACCACGCAACCCCGATTCCAAATCATGGTAAATCATTATACCTGAAACGGCGTGCAGGTTCATTCAATATGAAAACTACACTTTTGTGGAGTTGAAATGAAGCTCTATCACCACCTCATCGCACTGGCGACATTATGAACCTCCAATCTCTACCAGCACGAAAACTCCTGATCAGTCAACACTATCATATATTCGTTACCTATCGAGAAATAAGTGAATGATTACTTCATATGTTCATCTGTATCCGCACACTGTAACCTGGCATTCTCTCGCACTTGCTATAGAACGAGTAGCTTCCGCATAAGCCTTCATCAAGTAGCCAAAGAGTGGCTTTATCTGGAATATTGATGTCGCTTGATACCCTAGATGAGCCCCTATCCTCTCATTAATGTATTATATAAGAATAATTATATATTATATATAGACTACTCTGCATTAGTTCGGTAGGCATCTTATGCCTAGTAGTTGAAGGATGGAGGAGTCAACATTGCCGACGTATCGGATTTGACAATCTCATTCGGTATTAGTTAGACATATTGTTACGTCAATGCCGCAGGAGCACATCAAGTTTTGTATCCACTTAATTTTAGCTGGCCACTTCTAAAATCCAGCGGAATTAAGTATGCTAGTAGTGTTATCCAGTAACAATTATGGAAAGCGCCATTTCATAGCATAGGAAGCTTAGATACCTAGGATTGGCAAAAAGACACAGTAACGTAAATGTATCTTGTTTCTATCACAAGGTTTTTTGGTATGCTCAGTGTTGTCAACTCTCAACTCTCCGAGCGGCGGGTTAATGTTACTAAAACTTCATTTCGTATTTCAAGCTCGCTATAATCTTTACGCTCTTCGATGGCTTAAATGCATTAATGAGATTAATCTCTCAAATAATTCTCATCCATTACGGCGAGTATATGACGATGACCATCTTCAAGCCCCCCGGGACTTCCTAGGTACGCGGTGATAAACAATTACGTTTGTCCCATCTTTAAGAGGCTCGTTGCGCGGCTCCAGCGTATATCCGCCTAACTTGGGGGCTGCCACCCACCAGATAGCCCAGTAGACAACAGACGCTGCCAAAATCGATATACCCACGATGGCATACAGCCAATATGGGAGACTAGTATCACCCTTTCCTCCTGGGGGTCTCAGGAATGGAGCTATAAGCTGGAATGCCTGCCCAAGCATGAAGAACGCTGCAACGGGCAGCCATACTTTGAATGGTCGTGGCGCTTTTGGTTCTGTCCAACGGAGATAAAATAGACCAGTGACTACGAGGAAGTTCATTACCGCTCCTGGGTAACCCTCTACATCGAGGATGAAGTTGTAGGCGTCTCCGAATGGTATAGCAACGATGACAATAAACGAAGGGATAAAATGCAGAATCAAACCGGCGGATGGGGAACCAAACGGCCATGATGAAGCCCAGAATCGTGGATAAGGGATAACACCTTCTTTCGCAAGCTCCTGGTTAACTCGGGACTGCGCAAAGGTTACTGTCAATACATTGCCGTACGCCGAGAGGGCTACAAGAACACTGGAAAATAGTTAGTGGACTAAGGTAGCAAAAAAGAGGACAAAGGAGTAGATGGTTCAAAACTGACCTAAGCGCCCTTTGAGCGGCAGTCCCGAATACCTTCTTCATAAAGAAAGAAGCGACGGTGGTTCCGCTTTTCGCAATTTCAGCGGGAGTTGCCGCAGAAAAGTACGCCACGTTCGCAAGGATATATAGAATTCCACATGTCGAGAGGCCCAGAGGACCAGCAATCTTGATGGTGCGAACGGGATCTTTCACCTCGTTAAGCACGTACATTGCATTAGACCATCTAAATAAACGTCCAAACGTTAGGTTTAGACTCTTCTAGCCACTGTTTCTCAAAAATAGAACTTACCCTGCGTATGAATTCAGTACTTTGAACAGTGCTGTTGCATATGGATTGCCGGACTTGGCAGACCCGGCAAACGAATCGTGAAAACTTGCGTGAGGGTCAGGTACTCGAGAAACACCTCCTCCAAGGACCACCCATCCTGTAATAACGATAAATAGGAGAAGAACGAGTTTCAAGACGGTAAAGAAGTTCATTCCGTGTACGCCAAGCTTCGGAACGAATGTATGAATCAGAGTTACGGAGATGATAACTCCAATCGCAATGCCACGTTCTGCCCATTCCGTGACTGTCCTGTTGGCTGCTACCAAAATATTTGATGCAAACACAATGCAGCCAGAAGCTGTCCCTCCAGTTAGACTTTATTCATTCGGTATCGTTGGTTCAGAGGGTTAGTTACCGGTGAAGCCAAGGGCAATCGCCTGGACCGCAAATATTGTGGTTATCAACATTTTTGGTCGACGATATGCTGCCTCTAGATATACCTTCTCGCCACCGCTCCGGGGAATCATGCAAGCAAACTCAAGCCAAACACAGAGCCCAGATACGGACAGCAAGAGTCCCAGCACCCACAGGAGCATCGAGGCACCCAAAGATCCGACGCCATTGACAATCGATGAGGGGGTTGAGAAAATTCCGGTACCAATAATTCGTCCGATACTGATTTCGCATTATTAGCTTTTGCCTAATATCTAAGAGGATAAAAGTAAAAATTCTCACATCAGAGAGGTCGTGCTGAAGATGCCCAGATGGCGACCTAGTCCTCCAGTGAGATATTGGTCGAACTGCAAACCCCCGACCTCTTCCTTGAATTCTGTCTCGGAGAACCTCGTTCCATTCTCGTTGGACCCGAATACTGCTTCGCTTTTCGAATGAGTTGGTGAATCGATGGCGGCCATCTTTGTTCTCGTGCTCGATGCGCCAGCTGAAGGGAGAGGAATGCGACTACGAACAAGAGAAAAAAGATTGTCGCGGTGCCCGTTTCATGATAAGCAAATATTCCCAACGTTATCATGCATATAGCGTCTCACGGACCTGCCGAGAAGGTGTGGTTGCACACCAACCGCGGTCAAATTGCGTGATTGCCAAAAAAGGCTGCCTGGGAAGACGAACGGTCACATTTTATGCGATTGTCCCACTCTTTCGAAAAACAACGCCGATATTATGGAGAATCTTTGTCGATAGAACGCAAGCGATAGATCTGGCTCTTCTTTACGACTAAGATAGAACAGGGTTGTTGGTTTGAACAGTTGCGTGAGAGTTGACAGCGAGCACATCATAAGGCCAAAGCTCGGGTCTAGAGTTGACGCGCCAATCAATATTAACAGAATCCTTGCTAATGGCATGCAGGATGGCCCAAGCTGGAGTGCGTTGGACATGATTGTACGTATGTAATACGCTAATATCCTACAGGTAGCCATCTGAATAGGGTATAATATACCGCATAGAACATTGAATACATGTATACTGACATGATCCCATCCAGAAAGGGAATGTTGCAACCGTCTCATTAGTCGACGACGGTTACCAGCGCAACTGTCAATCATGCCACCTAGCCTAGTACGGAACCTCATCCGTAACAGCTGCAGCAAACGTCAAAGCCATAAGCCAAGGCCGCTGCCAAGGCCACCGGTAGTTGGACAATGCAGGAACCAAGGCGCTATCCGGTATTTTATTCAGTCGCCATGAACTGCTTCTATGGAGACCAGCCTTTGCCGCCTAACCCTAGGGAGTTAGCGGACGATCTCGCTGTCTTTGGTAGCGAAAGTTGCGAAGCCAACCAAAGAAGGCCCAAGGTACATAATGGAGTCACGGGGTGACCAGTCTGAATTCGAGGGGTTGACGACGAATGCTCACGAAACGATCCTGTTTTCTTGCATTTTATAGTTCAATTATTGCTGAATACCGTCAGTTGCGTAAAGCCTACTCCGTACTACCCCTAGGTATTCCTTCTCCCAGCTCAGCTGCTCCAGCTAGCCTTTCACCCGAAATTTTACAATTTAGATTCCAAGTGCCCTGTTTACTTACTTCTGTTTAAGGTTAGTGTCTTTAGTATTCTGCCCTGTTTTTCATTACCTTTATGTCTTCGCTTGTGATCTTTCTGTGCTGTCTTATAACTATGATGAGGTCTATAGTGGAAACTTCCCTAATGCTACATCTTTGGTTTAACAAACAAGTTACTTACTTGAGCCATGGTGATTAGTCTCTTTTTCATCGCAGTTATGCCTCCAAGTATCTAGATATTTCACCCGTCTCGTCGATCAACGCTTCTCCAGATACAATAAATCCCTCTGAATATTGAAAATCAGTCTCAAAAAGGATCGCGATCGTAGCAGGATCGCGAGCGAAGCAGCACCAGGAATGGTCAATGCTGCACATCTCGCAAAACGATCATCATCCATTGTCATCAGAATTCCAATACCAAGGCCTTTGTCACTTAATTACAGGTGATTCCTACGGGCAAATTTGTCATCGTGGGCGCTTAATTCGTCTTTATGTTGTTCTTATGAGACTGTATGCACCAATATTGTTTAAGAATCACGTTAGTTAACCAGTACCATGGGCTGCCTATCAAATTAGCTGCAGCTGGCTTCGGGAGAGATTCCAATGGGGTCGTATCAGGAGCTCTGATCCGGGTTAATTGCCCGTGGCAAATGCTGAGTGACATCTAGATAACATCGTCACAATAAACCACCCTAATGATGAAATAACAGCAAAGGTTCTGGATACATATAGATCAGGAGATCTGGGATGTGAGAATTCGCGGCTGTGATATGTATGAGCGTGCTATATATGACATGCATGGTCGGCATTGTTGAAGATCTGGTGCCATTGAGTTCTATTTTGTGATTGGAGATGATCGCACCTATGGAAGATGTTGTTAAGAGCTCTATCTTATTTATGTTGAAACTCCCGATAACTGTCGATTGCCGAGCTGTCGGCAGTGCCCTTTGCGGGGCCGGCAAATACAGTCCGGCACTTCCAAGAACACTCAATATATCTATCAATTACCATAATAGCATAAGATTCAATCACTGGAGATTGCTTGGTAGTAATATAAGCCGCCATTCTATATCGTAGTATTACCGGGACCATGTACAGGACGTGACAAAATTGTCGCGATTTCTCAAATGCTTGGCTCTTATTAGAATGACATGCGGGGGTCAAGTAGGCCGAAACAATTATCCCATCGCAACCATTATTTCAGACATAAGAATGTCGTGCTTCCTATCCTACGTAATAATCGCCTTCCTCCTTCTACGTGACCAAGCCGAGGCTTCCAATAATATTCTTCACCTCTCGAAAGTAGCGTCACTGACGCCCTGTGATGACAGCAATCGGTGGCTTAAATCTCTGCAACTCCACATATTAGAGCGACCGTGACACATCGTGATCGGCTTTATAAACTCCGAAGTCGGATATACGGAATACACCTACCACTTTATTTGAAAGATCAATTTAAGCCTAGCATCTCCGCGGAGGGAAAGCAGATTTGATGGCTAAAAGGCTTTGTGAATCCAGGTTTCTTCGTGGTACATGGCTAGCTGCGACTAATTTCTGAGTCATGATTCGAGGTGCATGTTAGCAGTGCTGCGGAACTGTCCTCATTTCAATCCTATAAATACTCTCATCATCTAGCACTTAAGCAAACCTGTTTTAACCCCAATTCGAATTTACAGTTGCACTCGCCATTGCTACTCATTTGAAAATTGGGCAATATGTCAACATTAACAGAGACGGTGGTTGATTCGGCCTCGTCTCATGGCCATTTCTCCCAAGACGACATCGCTTTGACTCAACGTAATAGACACGCGACATCTGGAGCAGAAGAAGAATCGGCAATCTCGCCCGCCGAACCTATCGCAGCCCAAACTTCTTCGAACCGGTATGCTTCTTGGTAGTCAGCTTGTCTATACGGTTTCGGTTACGACAATCCCTCCCTCTGCGCTGAAAGTCTGTCCCTAATTCTTTGAATAGACAAACCATCATTATCACTATAGCTTCTTTTACGATTGTCTTCACTTGCTGTGGGATTAATTTTGCTTTCGGTGTCTTCCAAGCAGTTTATGAGACCCTTTCGCAACAACCCGATACCCCCTTTACCGGAGCATCGCCTGCAGAGGTTGACCTCATCGGCACGATGTCCATCTCTCTTATGACCATAGGAGCTCCATTTGTTGTTGCATGGGCGAAGCGCTTCTCGCCCAAGTCAATCTCTCTCATCGGCTCAACCACCTTCTCTGCTGCGCTTATTCTAGCAAGTTTCGGGAAATCTCTGTGGCATTTCGAAGTCACCCAGGGAGTACTTCTAGGGCTCGGCACTAGCCTAAGTTACATGGTAGCCGTAACGATTGCACCGACTTGGTTCACCACTCGTCGAGGACTTGGACTTGGGATAATCACCTCCGGCACTGGTATTGGGGGTCTCGTGTGGGCGCCAGCACTGAAAGCGGCTGTTGACTCTATGGGCTATCGAAATGCTTTGCGTCTCGCTGGAGGCATCTCCTTTGGACTCAATATAATAGCCAGTTCCGCCATGGCATGGGAGCCTGAGGCGAAAGCTCGAATCGACATGGAGAATAGTGCAAGAACCAGCCGCATAGATGGCATTCTGAAGGTGCCCATTATCGATTGGCGCATCGCTCGCACGCGCAAGTTTGCTGCCCAAGCACTAGGGTCCATCTTTCAATCTGCGGTTTATTATCTACCAATCTTCTTCTTCGCCACCTATGCAAGGACTCTAGGATACAGCGACACAGCAGGCGCAAACTTCATTGCAATATCCAATATGTGCAATGCCGTCGGGAAGATTGCCATTGGCTACGCCGCCGATCATATGGGGCGATTAAATGCCTTGGTGGTTACGACGATGATTAGTGCCATCGTGACCGTTAGCTTCTGGGTGCCTTCGACCCTATCCGGCGATGCGGCTACTTCACAGGGCCTGTTCATTGCATTCACGGTTTTATACGGCATTTTTGCAAGCGCCTACGTCGCCCTGTTCCCTGCAAGTTTGGTGGAACTGTTTGGAGTCCACAACTTCGCCTCGGTCAATGGTGTTCTGTACATGGTGAGGGGCTTGGCTTCCCTTGTTGGCACTCCAGTTGGAGGTGTCTTGATCCGCAGTCATTCTTCAGGCAATCCATCCAGGTCGTACGAAGGTATGGCGCTGCTCACTAGTGTCCTCCTCGTCGCCGCATCCTTCTCGGTCATGTGGGTAAGGGTGGAAGCGATGATAGGCGTGGATGGGAAACTTGTTAAGAAGTGGAAAATGTAAGAAGTATTCAGGTTGTGAGATCATGTGTGATGCTCACATTTTCCGGTTGTTCCGGAATCCAAAAGTGAGCCACGTGGTTCCAGGGCAACAGTTGTTGATCCTGCTGTCAATGCAAGGTGGATATTGCGGGCTTCACCAGCTAAGAAACTGATGAATAGACGTCGAAGAGCCTCATGACAAGATAGATTGGTGCAATGGGGCAAAAAATGGCCTCAGATGGATACATTGTGGAATTGGAGTTACGACGGCGATCTTTTTTCGGGCAAATGTCATGCATATGTGCCAATGTCCTCTAAGAAAATGTGTACCTCAATATTACAACACCGATAGTGGTCAAAATAACATAGGTACATATAATGATTTGAACTCTCGCTTTCGCATTAAGGTTGCGTAATCATGTAGGCACCATTATCTTCTCTGGCACCTACATAGCCGTCAAGTGCCATATTATCTACTGATGGCGGCACCCATAGACCAGACCTTGGTATACGCGCACTGCTGACAACATGAGCCGTAGATGTATGGCCACGGTAAAGAGCTCCGAAATTACTCGTACATGAACATCACATGGAAAGTGACGCGAGACTACATTACTATTTCAACTACGACTTAAAGGGGCCTGTTTCTATGAGATCATCTTGGTTTACAAGTTTCGGATTAGCCTGCTGCATCACCGTGTAGTAAGCTCATGAGGGTACGCCCGATCGCGCTGCAATAATTGATTCAAGATTAATGATGATGAATTGATTGATCGAAATATTTACAATTAGATTTTATTGTTTAACATACTAGGTACATACAAATAATGTACATACGTATATGCGAGTGTACCTATCAGCAAGTGCCGCCGTGTCATCCAGCCATGCCGAGAGCCCTTCTTGTGGCGTTTGAGCCCAGAGCTGGTTTGGGTTCTGAGGTGGCAATTCGATTTGCACATGCAAGATAACACCACGTCACAGCGATTTGCTAAACGCATGTAAGACTTCCGGAGCTTTTGTTAGTGGCGGATCTACCGGATGGGCAAGCTCTCATTCACGGAAGCAGCCGGCAGCTGAGCTGCTGGACTGCCTATACGTAGACAACATTTCCTCTCTTCGCTCCGCCTTAACAGTCGTCATAAAATGCTTCGCCTAATAGCAAGATATCAAGACGACTGAACCTTGTGGCTGATTCTCTCCGTTTGGGCACCCGAGTGAATCCAACATGCTGCTCAGTCGTACCCGATCAAACGCGGCCGGCCACATTGCCATCGACGACGGTTTGACCAAAGACGTGACGTCAGGAAATGTCGGAGCAGATGGAAGATTCGAGCTGTGCTTTCATCAAGATGCCGGGAGCCTGGCGACGTGGTGTAAGAACCTCCAAGAATCGTCGAAACGAGTGCAGACTGGCCCTTGCTCTACTCCTATATGTGGGAGACGCAAATCGACTGGCGGTTTCTGCCCGCCGCTGAATATCGCAATACACATCGTTGGCTCTCGCGGCGATGTTCAACCTTTTATTCCAATCGCCCAGATTCTCTCTAAACCACCCTACGGTCATCGAGTACGCATCTGTACGCATCCCGCCTTCAAAGACTTTGTCGAGTCCCAGGGTATCGAGTTCTTCAGCATTGGCGGCGACCCCGAGGCGTTGATGTCCTACATGGTGAGGAATCCAGGCTTGGTTCCCAGCCGGAAAAGTGTCAAAGCAGGTGACATTGGAAAGAGAAGGGACGAGATGTGGGAGATTATCAATCGTGCTTGGCGAAGCTGCATCGAGGCTGGTGATGGAATGGGAGAGCCAATCAAAGCGACAGATGTAGAGAATGTTGAGGACCTCTTTCTTGCAGACGCCATCATCGCCAATCCGCCCTCCCTTGCACACATCCATTGCGCTGAAAAACTAGGAATTCCATTGCATATGGTCTTCACAATGCCGTTTTCTCCCACTACTGCCTTTCCGCACCCTCTGGCTTCGATGAACTACAGCGGCACGGATCCCAAAACAGCCAACTACCTTTCCTTTATCATGATGGAGTTGCTGATGTGGCAAGGGTTTGTTTACACTCTCCGTCTGTGTCTAGCAACGACGTCATCTGCTAACCCTGTTTCCTGTCATTTTTAGTCTTGGGGATTTGGTCAACAAATTCCGCCGCCAGAAACTCGGGCTCGATACTATCAGCATCATGTGGGGATTCCAACTATTATCCAGACTCCGCGTGCCTTATACCTACCTCTGGCCCGAGTCTCTGATCCCAAAGCCACCCGACTGGGGCTCGCATATTGAAGTTGCTGGATATTCGTTCTTGAAGCTTGCGAGTTCATACACCCCTCCGCCGGAATTGACAGCTTTCCTAGAAAAAGGGCCAAAGCCTATATATATTGGGTTTGGATCAATTGTGGTCGAAAACCCGGACGCTCTTTCTGACCTCATTTTTGAAGCTGTCAAGATTGCGGGCGTTCGTGCCATCATCAGCAGCGGATGGAGTCGTGTAGGGTCCAAGTGTAATGTACCAGAAGAGATATTCCTGATTGACAACTGTCCGCATGACTGGCTCTTCCAACACGTCTCGGCAGTAGTTCATCATGGAGGTGCTGGTACCACTGCTGCAGGCATCGCAGCCGGTCGACCCACCGTCATTGTCCCATTTTTTGGTGATCAGCCCTTCTGGGGGCAGATGATTGCCCGCTCTGGAGCTGGACCTGATCCAGTGCCATTCAAAGACTTAACGGCGGAAGTCTTGGCCGAGAGCATATCGTTTGCATTGATGCCCAGCGTTCAAGAAGCTGCACAATTAATGGCGGAAGATATTGCTGAAGAGAATGGTGCTGAAGACATGGCAAAGAGCTTCCAAGACCGCATTGGATTAGACCAATTTGAGTGTGAGATATGCCCAGGTCGGCTGGCCACGCATCGACATAAGAAAACAGGGACCCGCCTAAGTGGCTTTGCTGTTTGTTGCCTTGTTGATCGGGGACTTATACAGCCTCCAGAGCTCGAGATCATACGACGCAAGAACTGGTACGTCGATGAAGGCGTTGAACATCCCCTCGTTGGATTTACAGCCGCGTTCACCGATCCCATGGTGGATGTTGCTACAGCAACTTTCGATTACTCTCATGCTTTGAGGAATAGGCCTCAGCATACAAAACATGAGGATAGAAGGCAATCATGGATAGATCCCTGGGGCGACAAGATTGGGAATGGTTCGGTAGCGAGTAACGGAACCTCGCCAAGCCGTCGAATCAATCCCACCACCTTCACCAGGAGAGAGATGGAACTATACGCCCAGAAAGTGGCAAGGAAGTCGTTAAAGACAAACAATGCTGACGTTGACACCCTGATCCGACAGCCATCCTTGTACGATAAGCAAAAGGCTGCCTGGCATGCCCGAGAAAGAGGCCGAAATGGCCACTTATTCTATCTGACACGGGCAACGGGTCGATATGCCGCTGAGCTCACCAAAGTTGGTCTGAAAGTTCCCGTGGCCTTTTTTTACAACATTGCAAATGGATTTCACAATTATCCCTCGTGTGGCTACGCAGGAGTTGAGGTTCGGCGTCGAGACCAGATTATCGATTTTGAAACCGGCATTGTGGCTGCCGGAAAGGAGTTTACCCTTGGGATATGGGAGGCGTTTAGTGGAGTGGTTATTTTTCCCTATCAAAGTGTCCATGAGGAAGGTGCTAAAGGAATCGGAAAAGGCGTATGGCGTGGCTCAAAAGGTTTCTTTTCTAATCTCGGTGCTTGTGAGTTTTTCCCTTGTTCCTTGTCCAACATACAACGAGTGCTTTCCCAACCCAATTGGCTAAAGAGATTCTGATCATTTTGTAGCTGCCTTCGGACTGCCAGGTTATACACTCAAGGGAGTGGAAAAAGAACTGCAAAAGCATCACATCACCAAATATAAGGCCGAGATCATTCTGATTAGGCTACGCCAGGGGATTGAAGCCTTCCGCAGGTCCTCTCAGCAGGAGAGGGATAAAGTTATTGGGTGTTGGAAGGCCCACAACTGCCCCAAAAAGCAGTCTTGAATAGTTTTCCCTTGGGAGGACAATGAGCCAAATCGATCCGTTACGGGCGGAAGAGTCACCGTGGTGTTGCGGGATGTCCCGCCTACTCTAACGGACTTTTGGCTGGTTCCGGACTCTGTTTTTGACCCGATTGCCATGCTGTATATCTATAAGAAGGTATCTTAGCATCTCCACCAAAAGTTTCTCGGCGCGGCCGCTATTCACAGTCCGGTCCGATTCAAGACGGACTACCATTACCTACAACTAAAACGTCTCAACTGCACATTGCATTTCATTATGGCTTCGGAGTTGCATTACATTTCAGTTGTTATTATTGGGTCTATTCGGAATTCCACTATCCTTGATAAATGTTACATACTTGGCGCTACAAGATACCAAACAGCAATTGACTCTCTTTTCTTCCGAAAAATTAAAGCATCTGACGTAATAACCATAATATGGTTTTCTTAAATCGCCATGGGTATTCAACAAACATGTAGCAAGTAATTGGAAAATGCAGTCTCAAATACCTAAGTAACTGTGTAGATTACATGCCTAGTTTCACCGATTAACTTCATGCACCGATTTTATCGTGTACAATGGATTGAGTCAGACAGTATGCTTTGAGGCCCTCAATTCCTAGCTCACTGCCAATTCCACTATGCTTGTGTCCTCTAAAAACAGCATCCACTTGAAGCTCCGCATGAGTGTTGATCCAAACCATTCCAGCCTGTAATTGGACTGCCATTCTTTCAGCCTGGACCGCATCGCGCGACCAAACTGAGGCTCCCAGCCCACCGGCAGATTTATTCGCGCGCTTGATAACATCTTCTTCCGTGTCCCATTTGAGAACGGGGAGTATCGGTCCTGAGAGTATAGTAAGCGAAAAGAATGAACCGATATGGCCAAGTGCGGATATTGCATACCAAAAGGTTCTTCAACGACAACCCGGGAATCTTCGGGTGGATTATCAACAACGAGAGGATTCATGAAGTAGCCGTTACCACTTGGAAAGGCATTCTTCGAGTCTCCGGCTGCAATAGTAAGCTTATCATGTTCAATTGAAGCCACAAAGGCCCTGAGTCGTTCATATTGCATTTCATTCTGAATCGGTCCCAGATTTGTTAACTCATTCATGCCATTTCCTACTATAAGGGATTTCGTAGCCTCTAGCAGCTCTACCATGAACTGATCGTAGATAGAAGAGTGACCATAGAGCCTTTCAATAGAGATGCAGACCTGTAAATAGTTAGAAAATGAGCTAGTAGCCTGTTTAGATAAAACGATCCGTGACTATGTACCTGACCGCTATTAGTGAACGCCTTCATGGCAGCCTTCGCTGCAACTTTAGGGATATCAATATCTGAGCAAATAATTGCTGGATCGTTGCCACCCCTACAATTTCATCAGTTTGCCGCAGAGATGAAACTTCGTAAGGACAGCTGAGACATACAGTTCAAGTGTAACTTTCTTCAAAGATGGTGCAGCGCTCTGTGACACTCTTATTCCAGTTGCAGTTGAGCCAGTAAAAGAAATCTTGGCTACATCGGGATTTTCAGTGAGCAAAGGACCCAAACTACCATCTCCGCTCAAGACTTGCACAACGCCTGGAGGGAAAAATTGCTGAGCAAGTTCAATCATTTTGATGTCACAATAGGGGGTGAATGGACTTGTTGCCTATTAGCTTCACTAAAATATCCTTTACACAAGCAGTACTTACGATGGCTTCAGGATAATTGTACAGCCTGATACCAAAGCCGGACCCATCTTGAAGGTTACTAAATATTGAGTAAGTACCTAACCCTAATTCAATTGTCATAACCCCTTACAAATTGTCATAGGAACTGGATATTGTATATTGTCAGCTCAAAACGAACATTGTCATCACTCTAGAATAGACATGCAATTCCACGGGACGATGCCGACGCATACGCCAACAGGTACGTAACGTGTGACTACTCGGCGGTGTTCGGTATCTTCAATCACTCGTTCCGGAAGATCCATCTTTGCAAACCCTTTCAAGAATGTGGCTGCAGCATGAGCTTCTCCTATCGCAAAGCTCAACTTTATGTTGGCAGCTGAAAGTCAGTTACAACTCGCTGCCCAATGGTATACATACAGGCTTTCCCTGTTCTGTTGTCAACATTTGACCGAACTGATCAGCAAGAGCAATCACAGCATCAGCATATTGCATAACTCTCTGCTTGCGCTCCTCCATGGGCGTCGCAGCCCAGCCTGTAGCAGCGCTTTTAGCCGCGTCGATGGCTCTATTCACATCTCTGTGCGTGCTGATAGGCACTGGAGGCAGCTTTTCCAACGTTGCTGGATTAATGCCGTGACGGGTTTCAGCAGTAGCCTCCAGCTTGCCGTCAATGACATTGTAAAATGATTCAAAGTTGATGGGTGACATCTTGGTATAGCCAAGTTTGACTTTATTCACAATCTGCGATGATAGAATCTATGGAAGTACCCTTCCTTCATATATATTCTTAACTTCCCTTTCTTCATTTCATTGCTTATATTTGTCTGTGATATTCGATCCACGTAACATGAATTTTGTATCGAGCTTATTCTTACAAATGCAAAAGTAGAACTTGACGAAGCAAACGGCTCAACATGAGTTCCGGCTCCGAACTTCCTGTATGGAGCGAATGGGGAATGTGGGGCAAGCGGTTGATCCCGTACAATTCATGGGAGCGTGAATTTGCTGCGGCTGGAGTTAAAGTCAATGTCCGGATGGATTACGTTGTGTCTGTATGATGGATTACGTTGAGTCTGTAATACTGCTTCATAATCATCTATTTAGCGGTATTTTTCGTTATGGATAGGTAGATATAAAAATTGCTTTTCCATTCAGTCAAGGAAAGCTCAGCGAAAACTAGGAAATAATCGATTGACTCACACTTGTATTTGGAAGTGCATATCTGCACATCGTCAGCGAAAATGGTAGAACCATTACAAGGTCTAACCAACAGGGCGATAATTTACTCTGCTCCCGGAGAATCTTTAGAAACTGCAGTTGTTAGTCTTCCTGTTCAGCAGCCTGCTGAGGGAGAGGTTCTCGTTAAGCTGTCAGTATCTCAAATGCATTCATATTCACTCCGTCCCTTGGCTAATTGAGCAAGATATTACTCCGGCGTCTGTCATACTGATGTATCGTTTTGCATGAATGCACTTCCCGGTCTTCAGGTTCCAACTCCTAAAGGTAAACTCACAGCGTATATGATGTCTCGCGATCTATTAATTGAGACAAACACGATTAGGACAAATCGGCGGTCATGAAGGTGCCCAAATTGCCAGGTTTATCTTGCCAATGTTCAGCTAACCGATGAAAATGAAAAGGCGTCGGAACCGTCATTGCTCATGGCCCAGGAGTTACATCGCCACCGATAGGCTCTCACGTCGGCATCAAATACGTCGCCGATGCTTGTCTGACTTGCGGTATGTTCTTTCTTTCCTTGAATTGGACGGACCGTACATATTGACGCTTTCACAAGATAACTGTATTGAGGGCGCTGAAGCATCTTGCTTGAATCTAAAAATTTCCGGATATTTGACCCCGGGAACTTTTCAGCAATATTGTATTGCTACAGCAAGATATGTGACACCAATTCCAGATAATTTAGATCTAGCGGCAGCAGCACCTCTGATGTGTGGAGGCGTCACGGTTTACACGGCATTAAGAAAAGCTGGACTTCGGCCTGGTGATTGGGTTGCCATCTTTGGTGCTGGTGGAGGGCTAGGGCATCTTGGAATTCAATATGCGAAAGCAATGGGTGGCCGAGTCATCGCGTTAGATGTTGGCTCGAAGAAAGACTTCTGCTTCAGTCAAGCCGCAGATGAATTTATTGACGTCACTCAATTCGACGTGGATGAAGATGTTGCCGCCAAGATCAAGTTGCTTAGCAATGGCGGCGTTCGTACTTCTCTGCAGTGCACATCAAGCAGCAAGGCGTATACTCAAGCCTTTTCATCTTTATGTTTCAGAGGGACGTTGGTATGCATCGGAGTCCCTCAAAATCCTCTCTCGTTTGCTCCAAACCTCTCAGCTATGGTTGGGCAAGAACTAAGGATTATTTGTAAGAAATTTCCATCATTTACCCACATGGATAGGTATAACGCGCTAACAATGCATAGCTGCCAAAACCGGCAACAGAGTCGATGTCAAAGAGTGCCTTAGTCTTGCAGCAAGAGGTTTCATCAAATGTCATTACCAGATACGAAAAATGAACGAATTGACAAATGTAAGTAAAGTATATATTCCAATATTGAGCAAGTCGTAATTCTTATTATAGGTGTTTAAGGATATGCAGGCGGGCTTGATTGAGGGCAGAGTTATCCTCGACTTGGAGGGAGTGTAGCGGGTTTCGGCTGCAACATAGTTTTTTTTTTTGTTTTTTTTTTTCAAATCTTCCAAAGAATATCATGACATACTCCTATGATCGGTTGAACTTGTGCGCGAGAAAGCAGCTGCTTAGCGTGAAAGAGCCCCTATCTGCATCTGTATAATGATATGTATCTCATCCATATGAGTACACTGGCGATGCAGGGTAAATGGTTTTAGGTAAGGCGGGTTTCGTGGCGCGAGCTGGCATCTCAGGCCACATAACTTCGCACTGTTTTGAATAGGAAAATTCCGGACAAACACCCATGTCAATCGCCATACTATCTATGTAGCTAACGAGCAACGCGGTGCCATTAGCTCACCGCGAGATTTGCTGTATGAGTTCGGAGCAAATTGCCAGAGCACCTTTGGAGTGGACCCTTGCCGAGGTAAAACAACTCCCCGTGGGGCCGTTTTCACCCTGTCGATCTGCCTATATACGGAGTACGGTAGCACAAGAGCAGGGAGTTTAAGAATAAAGTTCTTAGTATTGAGGTATATTAGCTCAAGAAATATCGTCAGCCATAACAATGAACCTAGCACATCCCCTTTTCGACACTATTTCGGCACTGTTGTCATACCGATATTCGCTCTTCAAAACGCCCACTGTGGAGTGGTTCAATTTTCGTGTGCCGCTATTGTTTTCGGATGCTCAAGTTTGCGCTGTTGGATGTGGACAGCAAGACATTTCTACTTTTTCTGTTTCCATTATCGCTCTAATGAGGTGTCAGGGTTCTATGTTTGACACCCATTACAAATCGCAGCCATGGCTTTGCCACGCTTCTAGGCAAATCCCCACGGACTTCGATCTCGAAGCGGCTGGGGCTGACGAACTCGCTGTGAAAGTCCATGGAGCCAACTAGTACTACAATGCTACGAACGAGCTACTGCGGACGGGATGGTGTGGCGTCGAGTTGTATCCACACAATTGATCGAGGAAGAAAGACCACGAAAAAAAGACGGTTCCCCGGAGTCTAGAAGGCATTCTTCAAGCCACAACTTCGTAACATGGGGTCGGAATGATCGGGGTCGCGTTAGCTGGCGGGTTTATGCCGCGAGGCTGTTTCACAACCCTTCCGACGGAAGGAACTCCGCGAGCAGATGGAGCGCTAGGCAGCACAGTCCTAGCAACTATTGGGTGGAATGCCATTCTGATAGTCTGACTTATGAAGCGTCTGGGGTGCTAATACGAACTCGAAAGACTAGGTAAGTGTTGGAAACATTACAAAGCATCAAACTTAAACCCCAAGCCTGACTTCAATTGTCTCTTGAGCCTTTGCAAAAACAGTATTATGTAGCTTGTGCTGGGGATGAGACGCGGCAGAAGCCTATCTATGCGTGCTTACTGTACAACCACGCCGGTCTTCTGCTATTGAAACGGCTTTTTGAGCCAGATCAGGCAAACTTGTCCTGATTCGTCTAGATTGGGTCAGCAGTTGTTTAACTGTTAGCTTAACAAGACGTTAGCTCATCTTGATATTGGCCATTTAATATCATCATCCTAAGCCTTTGAACGCTAATTCGGAGCCAGCGGGAAGTTGCGGAGTATAATGGAGTTTGTCCAAGTCCCGAGATCCGCGTATTGCGGGGAGGGAAACTGGAGAGAAAAACTCCCTTCGTTTTCTGGGGAACAAGTGGATTGGAACTTAAGGTCACCCTCGCTAGTTCAGTGATGACGAACAATAGTTAGTAAGAATAGGGCGGCGATCCACGTGGCGGACATTTTCTTCTGCTCTCACTGTTCTTTTCTTCATGTCAGCAACGGTTCCTTTTCTGTTTTCTTCTTTATTCCCACTACCCCATACCACTGTTGGTTCATATTCAGCAGCTCGCACATCACGATGCCGCGACGACGCGCAAGCAAGGCCTGCCTCCACTGCCGGCAGAGAAAAGTCCGGTGCGACGTGACGCTTCGCGGAGTTCCCTGTTTGAATTGCCAGCTCGACCATCAACTGTGCGCAGTCCAGGAGCGCAAATCAAAACGGTATGCTAGCTTCGGCCATTTTTATTATTGCTAAAGGGAGCAAGAGTTGGCTGACCATTGAGACAACCGAAGATCGCTGTCAGACTCAAAACTCTCTGGTCACCGCGAGGGCGGGTCCGTGTCCGAAGGCATATCGACGAGATTGGTAGATGAGAACCCATCTGGCATAGACAGTATAGATCAATGGGCCAGACGACTGAGTGGGTTTGCACCACTTAACCTGAAGGGATTATCAATCAACGCTTTCGACGTCCGACAAGATGACAGCAGAGCAAATGAAAGCACATGCATCAATCTAGAAGGATTTTCGCCCAAGACAGCAAACACAATCTCAAATCTACACAAAAGTAGCCAAGCAAGAGAGCGAGAGAGGGCGAATACATATAATGCATTCGCGGAGCAGACTCCGCCGTCCATCAACAACATAGGATACAACAGCCATGACACTCTTCCATTCATCAAACCCCCCGAATTAGGCCACCTTTCCGCCCTAGATATTAGGTTTATGCAGCTCAATGGATGCTTTGACCTTCCACCTATGCCGATTCTCAACGAATTTGTTCGAATGTACTTCCTTCACGTCCACCCCATCGTGCCACTAATCGAAGAGGGAACATTTTGGGATTCATTCTCGTGTACCAACGGAGAGAAGATCTCGCTCCTTGTGTTCCAAGCAATGATATTTGCCGCCTGTGCTGTGAGCCCAGATTCCAAATATCTCCCATTTTAGGGCAATCTAACATTATCACAACAGTTCATTCCGGGAGCCATCGCAGAAGCAACGGGATTTGACTGTCCCCGATCAGCCACAGCAGCATTCTACAAAAAGGCAAAGGTTTGAATCCCCGGTTGTGCAACAGAGTCCCCTCAACAAATTAAAATGACTTTTAAAAAATAACAATTTCCACGAAACAGATTTTATACGATTTCGAAATCGAGTCAGATCACATCTCTCTCGGCCAGGCCGCGTTACTATTCACCTTCTGGCCGGCAGGACTGAGGCCGGGGCCTTCAAAGTCAAACAGCGTGTGGCTAAGCACGGCCATTCGACACGCAAAATCTCTTCGAGCGCATCATCTGACGTCCGGCCGAATCAAGCAGACTGCGATCCCAGCGCAGACGAGAATATCTCTTCGCCGCCTCTGGTGGTGCTGTTATATCCGCGATCGCATCCTTGCTCTTGGTCTCCGTAGAACGCTGCGGATCCAGGAAAAATATCCACCGCTAGTCCTGGAAGACTTTGAGAACGAGATTCACCGCTCCCGAGTCTACAATACTGAGTCAAAGCGACGATTCTTCGACATCTTTTTACAGATATCAAAGCTATGTGTTGTCGTAACGGATCTGCTTCGCATCTGCTCTACCTCTGAAGACGGACTCGAAAGCGAGACAAGCATAGCGGATCATCATAATGCGATGGCAAATTGCACGGCTCAGCTGCAGGAATGGTATGATGGGGCCAGACAGCAGTTCCCGGACGATGCAGACCAGCCAGGGATCCGGCCGCATTTCCTCATCATCCAGACTAACCTGATGTTTACGTATTATTTGTAAGTGCCGGTATCACATCCATCGTATCACTCGCTAGAGTTAGACGAGTGCTGACAGCACCTCAATATAGCGCCGCGAAACTGGCAATCTTCCACCAAGAGATATTTTATGCGGTTCGCGACTCAGAAAATGAAAGCGAAAGCGAAAACGTGAACGCGAACGCGAACGGGGAGGGACCGTGTCTGGCATTATTAGCTGGCAAAAGTGACAAAGTTCGCGATGCTGTCGATAACATCATTAAACATCTCACAAATCCAGTGCGGCTAGGGTTGGCACAATACCTGCCCGTCAGCGTGTAAGATTTCCCTCACTCCATTGGGCTGCCTGCATCTGCTCACTGCTAACTCGTTCTGGCTGCCAAGGGTTGCATTTGTCGCCATGCCTTTGATGGTGCAAATTGTCAACGCAAAGATCATGGCCCGAGGTGTTACAAACCCACGAGCTGCCACGCATCGGCAGCAGCTTCATTCCCTAATCGGGCTGATCAAGCAATGCCACCAGCGGCTTGATGGAATCGATGCGGTCTGCATGACAATTCGTCGACTGACAGACCAGGCCCAGGTTCGCTTCATGTCCGGAAATGCATCTCAGATAACAGAGTGTATCGATCTCATTGACCACAAGCCGGTCGAGTACCTGCGATTATTCTTGAACCTGGACCTGAATTTAAGCAACGCGACGATGATAGACAATATCCAATTCGTAGAATTGAGAGAGGAGCTTCTCCGGACTAAGAAGGCTGCCTCAGTAGTTGATGCTCCCACTCCAACTGCAAACACAGAACCACCGAAGCCAGCTTGCGCGCCGCCAGCAGAGCCTTTCCTGGTATCTCCACCACAAGATACATGGGATGTGAATATTCCGGAGCCCAAGGCGGAGGCTTTAGTCGAGATGGACGACTCACTATTAGACATTGACGAGCTGTTAGGCGGAGATGGCGCATTAGGCACCGACCCATCTTTCGCTCTAGAACCTTTGTCTTTTATGAACCAACAGATGGAATGGGAGATGGATGCATGGCTGTTAGGAGAGACCTAACAAGGCAAAAAGACCGTCGGTTTCCGCTCTTGGCTGACATGTGAGAATTTTTTTTCGAGACGGCCTGGCATGTATCGTTTCGGCGAGTGAAAAAAGGGTGTACGGAGTAGAAAGGGAAAATTTTTGAAAATAGCATCGCGCTAAGCTGATGGCCATTGATCTTGTTCTGCCAATTATTGCAGTCTATTTCATAATGAGAAATAGCTCGCCCCTAAGTGACAGACAGCAAATTCGATTTTGTGCCGAATTGCCTGATAATATCCCTAAAAATTTCTTTCACCGTGATCAGGTTCAAGTAAGCTAAAGGTCAAATGTGCCGTAGACTGCCCACGAATCATGCCACCCTTGCAAGATGGGGTGTTTGCATTTAGCCGGACCTTTCACCGAGGATGCAGTGAAAACGTGGATATTTACAATCGCAGGGGACTACATGAGGCAGCCCGGATATCCTGTCCGGACCAGATGACTCTGAGGGCGTTTTAGCGGCTGATCCCGTATTGGATACTCCAGGCCTTCTCCATACTGCCGGTTAATATAGCCGCCTCGTGGATAGTTGGAGTGAGCACCAGATCCCTGGAGAGACAAGGCTTCCCCATTCGCAGAGTGTGGGTTTGTGGGGAAATAATGCCGTTTGGAGCATGTTATTCGCCTCACCAGACAGCTTGGGCTCCACTGCTGGGGAAGTGCGAATCGTGATACTTATTAGGAGGAATCAATGCGCGTAACTCCGTGAATTTGTCTCGCGTATTTATCCCTCCGCTAGACACTCAGCTGTTTGAACCCATGTCTGGCGTGGGAGAAGGAAAAATAGAAAAAGAAAAAAAAGAAAGAAAGAATGACCTGCGGCTGCTGTGTCAACATCTCATAACTAATTTTGTTCCTCGTCGAGGAGACTCCAATCCCTCCTCCTGGGGCTAATCTGGGGCAACGCCACTCACGTCGCGGCGGCCACTAAAATCGGACCGGTAACAATCTCCTCACACTCTTCTTCGATCCTTTGGGACTGGAGCCCCTGTCAGTTGGCCGGTACCCCAAGCTCGGGTGAGCCACTCGTGAGCTACGGAAGATTTAAAGACTGAGGATATTTAGGCTAAATGGGTAGAGCGCTCCTTGCCGTAGCGCCGACAGCGTTCTTGGATGAATATCCAAGTCCAGTTTTTGGAGATGACCTTGCCGTCGGGTACATGGAAACGAGACAAGGAGTGTGTCTGGAGACAAATCACTTATATAGTAGTAATCGACCCTCTGTTTCCCAGGGTCGTATTGCAGGATGTGACAGAGCTCGATTTAGACTCTGATTTTCTCCTTCTCCTCCATCTTCCTTCCTTCTTCTCATTGATCAGACCAGTGTCCCAGATCTTCTTCCACATTGTAAGAAAAGACAGGCAATCATCCTCAGCCCCTCGTCTTCACAATGGGCGCACACGCCGACTCCGGTGCCGCCATCTATGATGCGGCGCTGACTCGTCGCCAGGCCCTCATGGGCACAAGTGGAGCTCGCGCTCTTCTCAAAAACTTTCGCGTCTTCAGTCTAGCAGCCTTTGCTTGTATTGGTGGTGTTCTGTATGGTTACAACCAGGGCATGTTCTCTGGCGTTCTCGCTATGCCGTCATTCAAACAGCGTAAGTGAATAGCAGAAGACAGAATATCAGAACACGCAACTGACTTGTGGCATTAGACATGGGAGAATACGATCCTTTTGACCCCAATGCCAGCCAGACCAAGAAGGGTTGGCTAACGGCCATTCTCGAACTCGGTGCCTGGTTTGGAACCCTATTCTCTGGTTTTCTTGCTGAGACAATCTCCCGTAAATACGGAATTATCGTTGCCTGCTGCATTTTCATTATCGGTGTTGTTGTTCAGGCCTCTGCTATCGACGCTGGGCCTAGTGCAATTCTTGGCGGCCGATTCATTACGTACGTTTTCAAATGTTGAAAGAGTATGAGTGGCCTTCAATGCTAATATCGATAACAGCGGTATCGGAGTTGGCAGCTTGTCCATGATTGTGCCAATTTACAACTCTGAAGTGGCTCCTCCGTACGTCTCAAATCTTCCCCCCTCTCATGATCATATATGATTTGAAAATACATGAACGAAAGACGACTAACAATGCAACAAGTGAGGTTCGAGGTGCACTTGTCGCCCTCCAGCAGTTCGCCATTTGCTTTGGAATCATGGTTTCTTTCTGGATTGACTAGTATGTTGTCGACTACTGGATAATATCATTTGTTTATAGCGGTGCTAATATTATTTTTAGTGGCACCAACTACATTGGCGGCACTTCCCTTGGTCACCAGAGCGAAGCAGCATGGCTTGTACCTGTCTGCCTTCAGATTTTCCCTTGTCTCTGTCTTTTGGGAGGCATGATCTTCATGCCCTTCTCACCCCGTTGGCTTATTCACCACAACCGCGAAGAGGAAGCTAAGCAGATCTTGTCTACCCTCCGAGGCCTTCCCATCGACCACGAGCTCGTTGAGCTGGAGTTCTTGGAAATCAAGGCACAATCTTTGTTTGAAAAGCGAAGCATCGCTGAGCAGTTCCCCCACCTCCGAGATCAAACTGTCTGGAACAACTTCAAGCTTCAGTTCGTTGCCATCAAGTCTCTTTTTACCAAGAAGAGCATGTTTAAGCGCTGCATTGTCGCCGGTGTTACCATGTTCTTCCAACAAGTAAGCTGATACTATTTCCCTAGCCGCTCGTGTTGAAAATGAAATTCACTGGGTATGAACAAAACTAACACCATTGGTAGTGGACTGGAATCAACGCTGTGCTTTACTATGCTCCTACCATCTTCCAGCAGCTCGGCCAGACCGACAACACTGTTTCTCTGCTTGCAACCGGTGTGGTTGGCATTGTCATGTTTGTCGCTACCGCTCCCGCCGTGCTGTGGATTGACCGAATTGGACGCAAGCCGGTCCTCATTGTCGGCGCTATTGGTATGGCTACATGCCACATTATCATCGCTATCCTCTTCGCCAAGAACTCAGACAGCTGGCCCGAGCACAAGGCAGCCGGTTGGGCAGCCGTTGCCATGGTCTGGCTCTTTGTTGTTCACTTTGGTTACAGCTGGGGACCTTGTGCCTGGATCATCGTCGCTGAAATCTGGCCATTGAGTTCTCGACCTTATGGTGTTTCCCTGGGAGCATCCAGCAACTGGATGAACAACTTTATGTAAGTTGGCTACAAAACCCCATTCACAGCCTCAGTTTCTAACAATTTATTCTCTACAGTATTGGACAGGTGACTCCCGATATGTTGCAAGGTATCACCTACGGTACCTATATTCTATTCGGAATAATTACGTACCTCGGTGCCGCCTTTGTCTACTTCTTCGTCCCAGAGACCAAGCGTCTGACCCTGGAAGAAATGGTAAGGGCATATCCTAATCGAATCACGCATCTCATGATCGTTATTCTAACTTTCAATAGGACATCGTCTTTGGCAGCGAAGGTGCCGCTCGTGCCGACTTTGAGCGTATGGAGGAGATTAACAATGAGATCGGTCTTACCGCAATGGTTTACCGATCTAATCCTGATGAGGTTGTGACTGTCGAGGCTGAGAAGGCCTAGAGTGCGAGTCAAATTCTTAATGTCTTTGGAATGAAGGTTGATAGTTAATAACGCGGGGGGTGTATCAAATTGCAATGCATATTTGTATTAATGTGTCGGCTGTTTGGTGATGAGTTATATGTGTGCTTGGAAATACCTAACTAATGAGAATGGATTCATGACTTTTATATTGTTTCCTGGCTCGCATTTCATGCCCGCTGGCAAGCAGTACTATATTTTTCTCGAATCACAGCAATCACCGCTGTTAACGCTGTCAAGTGGGGTTGCTTCATATCCTATCGTAAAAACTGATGAAACCAGGACAAAGCGTGATTTATATAGGCTGGTCACATAGTCACGGCTATCTTTTTCTTGTAGAGGCTAAGCTTGGAACGGCTGCTAATGCTCATATGGGGCTCAAGCTCGATAAGGCCTTTACTGCCTTTGGTAAGCTGAGAGAAGAAGTCTTGATAGAATCGTCTTTGAACCCATCTTCCCCACCATGTTCGTCTTACCGTGAGGGGAAAACCCCACTCCACTCAAGGACAGCCTTCTTATCAGCGATCTGTAATTTGTGCTCCATAATTCTATTTGGCATCCCAGAGGCGAAAGATGCTGTATGTTGTATCTATGCGAGATGATACTTGTATCATTCCAGACATTTTGTTCCTCGCGATTTTGGATTATGTGGCCGATAAGTCTCTGTGAAATGTGAAGAATCCATGGTGTAAGGCTGAAGACGATCTTTAGATCGATACGGGATACACTGCCGAGAATAGCATGTAATCACTAGCAGGAAAGTTTTTAGTAGCCTTGGTTTGTCTGATGCAATGCGTGTAACGTCTGGGAATGACTACAATTAGTGTAGCTAATATTTGAACTGTGGGTGCGGCTCCCCGCGGGAGGCGACTGGACTGAGGGGCACATGTCTTAGAAATACGAATGTCAGATTACATCAATGTCTCGCAAGCCATGGAGGCGAATATATATATAAAGTGGCCTCTGCTTCATTGGCGCGGTTTGCGTTTCCTTCCCCTCAATAACACAGTGCCCTACACAAAATGACTGCTGCATTCAAGATTTCTTTGCCCAACGGGCTTAACTATGACCAGCCTACAGGGCTGTTCATTGACAACGAATACGTCCCCGCCAATGGCGAGAAGTTTACCGTCTATAATCCTACGTAAGGCTCTCCGGCCGCATTCTTACGCCATAAACGATTATGTGAACAGCTCGGGTTTGCTTACTAGATTAATAGCACTGATGAAGAGATCATAACTTTGCAAGGCGCATCAGAAGAAGATGTAGACAAAGCCGTTGCCGCTGCCCGTCGCGCTTTTGATGGGGAGTGGTCTGAGCTCGAGGCCGTTGAGCGAGGCGCACTGCTGTATAAGCTTGCCGAATTAATTGACAGAGACAGGAAGCTCCTAGCAAGTATCGATTCGTTCGATAATGGCAAGTCCTTCTCCGACGCATATGGCGGAGATCTGCTTGAGAGCTACAACGTCTTTCGATACTACGCTGGTGCCGCGGACAAGATTACTGGCAAAACTATTGAGACTTCACACAAAAAGCTGGCCTATGTCCTGCAGGAGCCTCTTGGTGTCTGTGGTCAGATTATTCCCTGGTAAGATTTTTCTTAAAACTTTCCCCTGGAGATCCCATAAGCTGGGTAGATCTATTGAAGCGACTAACATGAGCGCCAGGAACTATCCGTTTATGATGCTTGCGTGGAAGGTCGCGCCAGCTCTAGCATGTGGAAACACAATTGTTCTGAAGCCTGCCGAACAAACACCTCTCTCGGCTCTATACTTTGGCAAGCTTATTGTAGAGGCTGGCTTCCCACCTGGTGTAGTCAATATTATTCCTGGTCTCGGGTACATCTCCGGTAAGGCTCTTGCAGGCCATATGGACGTTGATAAGATTGCCTTCACTGGTAGCACAGCCACTGGAAGATCAATTATGAAGTCTGCTGCCAGCAATCTGAAGAACATTACTCTGGAATGTGGTGGCAAGAGCCCTAGCATTGTTTTTGAGGATGCGGATCTTGATCAGGCTGTGAAGTGGTGTCACAGTGGTATCATGGACAATATGGGTCAGGTAGGTCTGCCAACGAGCCCAGCTCACATCTGCCAGCTTTTCCACTCTCTTCCTATGTCTAACAGCTGTATTTAGGTGTGCACATCGACATCCCGAATCTATGTTCAAGACACAATTTACGATGAGTTCCTCGCCAAATTTACCGAGAAGACCAAGGAGGCCGCAACAAAGATTGGTGATCCTTTCCACGAGGATACTTACCAAGGACCTCAAGTTTCCAAAGCTCAATTTGACAAGGTCTTGAGCTATATTGATGAGGGCAAGAAGTCTGGCGCCCGCGTCCTCCACGGCGGTGCCAAGCATGGCGATAAAGGATACTTTATTCAGCCCACAGTTTTTGCTGACGTATGAACTCTCCCTACTCCCCTTTTTTCTTTATCATAAACTTTTCCATGGATCGCGCTAAAAAAAAGCTTCAAACTGTAGACCACTGAAGATATGAAAATTGTCAAGGAGGAAATTTTCGGCCCTGTCGTTGCAATTTCCAAGTTCAGCACCGAGGCAGAGGTTATTGCCAAGGCGAACGACACATCATACGGCTTAGCCGCTGCCGTGTTCACCCAAAAGGTGACAAAGGCGCACAAAGTTGCTCGTAAGATTCAAGCCGGCATGGTGTTTATCAACTCATCGGGCGACTCGCATTTCGGCATTCCCTTTGGAGGGTACAAGTCGTCGGGCATTGGGAGAGAGCTGGGTCAGTATGCATTGGACGCATATACACAGTCCAAGGCGGTGCATGTAAATCTAGGAACAGAGTTGTAATAAAATAGGCCACGATGTGAGTTGTAAAAGAAAAGAAAAGTAACGAATTAATAAAATTAAAACGAAATATTAAAGCAATAAAATTAAAATGAAAAATTAAAGCAATTAAATAACAACAATTGTAATGGATATCTCGAGTAAATGAATTCCCTTTGGAGGTGACTACCTAATTCATTGTCAAATAAGGTAGCTACCTATGGCATAGAAGGATCCCGTGTCATGTTACTGCGTAGCCAGTGCTGCTTACATGTACGATATCGGAGTAATACGTTAATATCTCTCCATTTGCCCGCATCTACCCGTATGTAAAATAATAACTAGATCCAGGCAATAACTTGCAACGCAGCACGTGATGGTCTCTCTCTAGCTCGGCCCATGCCTCCGATAGCAGCTCTAGCTTATCAACTTTGACCCAGACGTTATCCATAAACCCCATCACGACCCCTCATTTTCCGCGACGCTGAGGGGTAGCCATGAGATATGGTAATAGCGCGCCTCTGGTTTCCATTTGTGGCAAGACGTTCCCCGGACTCGAGAGGCGCCGGTATCTCCCATTCCTAGTTCCGAGGCCGTTATAAGCCGGCCTCGCTCCTCATTGCCACAACTCATCACCATCTCTCCTCTACATTAACAATATCACTAATACACAACGTATTTACAAAAACATATTCACACGGTTCAATAAAGAGAGAACAACTTAATAAGCCATGGGTGACGCTCAGCAACTCAAGTCTTGGGAAGATAGAGCTTCTGTGGCCAGAGCCAAGCGCGATGCCGGACTGGCCAAGGTTGAGCCCAAGCTGGAGGGCATCCCCGATGTCCTGCCCCTTAGTTCACAGGATCTTCCAAAGTCCGTGCTGACGCCGCGGGAAATCGATATCACGGAGAAATATTCCGTTACAGAGCTGCTCAAGATCCTCAGGGAAAGGAAGATCTCCGTTGAAGAGGTGACGCGAGCTTTCCTACGCCGAGCAGCGCTAGCCCAAGTTGCCGTATGTCTCATACAAAACCATGCATTTCTTTCATGATCACTACAGAATAAGTATAGATACTAACAAATTTAGGTCAACTGCCTTACTGATCTATTATGGGATGAGGCCATTGCTCGTGCAAAGCATCTTGATTCCTTGCCGGAGCCCAAGGGCGCCTTCTTTGGCCTGCCCATCTCAACCAAGGAGCATCATGGCATGGTTGGCAAAAACATTACCAGTTGTGCTTCATATGTTGGTTGGGTTGGTAAGGAACATACCTCAAATTTGCTCTACGACATTCTCTACAGCGAAGGGTGTGTCTTCTACGCCAGAACAACTCAGCCACAGACGATTATGCACTTGGAGACCGAGAGCAATGTGTACGGCCGCACTGTTAACCCATACAACCGTGATTTGACACCAGGAGGAAGCTCTGGTGGCGAATCTGCGCTGGTTGGTATGCGTGGCAGTATTTTGGTAAGTGATACGAGTGACGATGTTTGTGATCATGAGCACCAGGCTAAGTCGTACAGGGCATTGGTGGCGATATCGGAGGCAGTGTTCGGTGTCCATCAGCTCATGTTGGCATCTATGGTTTCAAGTAAGTGAAGCTAGCCTGGCATTCGACTGGCTTGGTGTGATTAACAAGCTTCGCAGGCCAACCGCCAAGCGCATTTCTGTCTTTGGACAGATGGCCAATATGGCGGGCAAAGAGACAATCCTTTCCACTCCGGGGCCGATGACAGTAGATCGTGATGCAATGGAGCTGCTCATGAAAGTCGCAATTGCTGCTGAGCCGTGGCGCATTGACCCGTCACTTACAGCCAAACCATGGACGCCGTATCACTTCACGAAGCCACTCAAGATTGCTGTTCAATGGTGGGATGGTATTGTCCAGCTACACCCTCCCATGAGGCGCGCGTTAGAAGAGGTTGTCGCCGCCTGTCGAAAGGCTGGCTTCGAGGTGGTTGACTGGAATTGCGAGTCACTTGGCCATGATGAGGCCTGGGATATCATCTCAGGGCTCTATTGGCCTGATGGCGGCGAAGAAGTCATGACTCTGATGAACGGAGCCGGGGAGCCTATCTTGCCACTGACGAAATTTATTATTGAAGAGCAGCCAAGCGTCAAGAAGATGTCCGTGCAGGAACTTTGGGATGTAAGTGTTTACCCTTCCTCTCTGTTAAATCGCAGTAGTTAACATTATGGCAAGATTTGCGCTCGGCGAGATGCGTACCGCGCAAGATATGCCAAGGCATGGACAGAGACCGCAGCCAACGGCGAAAGAGAAGTAGATGTCATCCTGTGTCCTCCATCCTTTGGCGCTGCTGCTCCTCACGAGCAGTCTCGATACTGGGGCTACACTTCTCAGTGGAACCTCCTGGATTATCCGGCTGTTGTCTTCCCCGTTACCACTGTCGATCAAGTTAAAGACGTCAAAGATCCCAACTACGTACCGAAAAACGACAAGGACCGATTCGTGTATGAGATGTACAGCCCAGAGAAGTATGTCAATGCACCCGTCAGTTTGCAGATTGTTGGAAGACGGCAATATGATGAAAAGGTCCTTGCTGCATTGGTGGAAATTGAGCGTGCTATGGGAAGGCCATGATTTGATATCGCATGGAATGCAAAAGCTTGGTTGATAGACTACGGGACCTGTAAATAGAAAAGACCAATGTGTAGTGTAACCTTAATTATGCCTAGTATTGTCTACCTGCCTCACAAACGCCATCTAATTATATAACTCGGCTTGTCTCTCAAGCACAATCGGATACCTCACAGATCCCGGTTTAAGCTGGGCAAAGTTCAAGTCAATGCCATCCTCCACATCAGGAAACGGCCCCATGGGAGTAATCGCTAGCGGGTTGATCTTTGCCTGACTCTTTGAATACTGCTTGAAGATTAGATTCGGGAATTCTTTGCTCGTTGTATTTTTGGCTCACATTTTCTTTTATATGTTTAAAATCCGTTGTCTCTTTGAATCCCTTCACATTCCAGTATAAATTCTTCAGCCATTCGTGGATAACCGGGTAATTTGCGCGAATCGTTCCAAGGTTGCACTTGAAATGCTGAACATAGATTGCGTCGAATCTTATAATCGTCGCGTACGCTCGGATATCGAGTTCGGTGAGATATTTTCCTAGGATGTATGGTCCACCGTTGCGATGTATGAGGCTCTCCAGGTGGTTCAAGGCAGCAAAAACAGTGACCACGCCCCGATTGTAGGCTTCCTGGGTCTCTGCTAATCCGGCCTTGTACACGCCCGAGTTTAGGTCCCTCTGCATCCACTCAGTAATTGCGTCGATTTCGCTTCTCAGATGCGTTGGGTAGAGATCAAGCTGAGACTCTCGTCCATCTTGTCGCAATACATCATCAAAAGCAGTTGGGAGCCAGCGAAGCAACTCTGCGCTCTCATTGTTGACAATTCTTCCCTCTTTTCTATCCCACAGGACAGGGACGCTATATTTTCCTTTGTACTCAGAGTCGTCTTTAAAATAGATATCATGCATATAATCGGAGGCAAAGAGTTTATCCACGGTTGCTCCGGCGTAGTCGTCGTCGGAGGCAGGGAATCGCCAGCCAGGCCATCCACGGTCATCGCCCTTTGGATACGGCATCACGACCGATACATCAATGAGAGACTCCAGTCCCATGAGATGCCGCACTAAGAGGGCACGGTGCGCAAATGGACAGAAGAGACCAACATAAAGATGATAGCGGCCAGCTTCCGGGGGGAACTGGCTCCCAGACTTGATAACCCCATGCCAGGAGTCATTTGGACCCGCGTGTACGACAGCCATGTCGGGCTAAGGAGGCTCAAACTGCAAATGTTGTATTGGCTTTTCAAAGTCTTCTATTTTCCATAAACGAGGAAGGTATTTATTAATATCCAAAGAGTGTATTAATAATCTTGCGGCAAAGGGCCCCGCATCCGATGTCGGATTCGTGGGGCTACTTGACGCTACTCCGTCAAGCTTGCTGACAGTTGCTGAGACATGATTTCGTTGCTGATTCATTAACAAATGACTTCATGAGTGCTACACATACACAAACATCCATGGCATCGGAGAATCATGGCGGTGCATAATCTAGCATCATCAACGATCTCAATTCTTTAGAATTTCCGAAGCATCTCGTCAATGGCATCTCGAGACAATGAATGCAATGCATGTAACGACAGGATTTTCTGTCAAAGGAAATCCGTACATGTTAAACAAAAGTATTCCAATTGACATTTGAAACTATGCAAAGTCCCATTTAATAACATCAAACTCCATTTTGCAATTCCCTCCCATCACCATTACACGGGGTATTTTACCTAACCTTGAACCATCGCATGCAGTCATCAAATTCATGTCCTCTTCCTCAAGACTTGGTCGGATTATTCACAGTCTCTTCCACTGCAACTTCGCTCTGCTCTGACTCTGGCGCAATCTCATCCACCTGCTTGTTCTTCACATCCGCCAGGCCGTATATAACAATGCTTATAATACCGATGATGGCAGACAGAATAGAAAATACAAGCGCAACGATTCCTCTTGCCGTGAATCCTTGGGGAATCCAGCCCGGCTGCGCAGCTTGGTCTTGGAGATCAAGGAAATTTGTTGTGTCAGCTGCGGCGTTTCCTTTGGAGGAAATTCCGGCGGCCTGACAAACATCGAGGTGGTCTTGAGGAATCTTCATGCGCTCCTGCATCTGCTGTGGAGCTTCGATCAAGATCATGGCTAGACCAGAAGCAAGATGCCAATCAATGTGGCAGTGGAAGATCCAAACGCCGGGGTTGTCGGCAACGAACCGCATGACGACGTAGCCTTGAGGCGGTAGCACAAACGTGTCTCTGCGAGCCGGGATCTTGGGGAACGCGGTATGGTTGCTTGGGTCATAGGGTACAGGGTCTCCGTTAAGGTAGTCATAAAAGGTAGGGCCATATGACGGTGCACGATCGATGACCTGGAAGTTGTGGCCATGAAGATGGAAGGGGTGCGAGCCACCATCAGCGTTGTTGACCACGATTTGCACGACATCGTTGTGGTTGAGAACCATTGGGTGCGTGAACTCGCCGTAGATCTCATTGTTGGTCACCAAATCCCCAGATGACATTGCTGTGTATAGAGAGGGCACCTTGGGCTTTGTGAAGGAGATGTTGTTCAGGAAGGCATAGCTAAATCCGGTGTTCAGGTTATCCATGATAACTGTCACATTGATCTCCATATCCGGCTCAGGAAGCAACTCCATCCTGTCAGAGGGCACCAGCGTTATATCGTCAAATGGAACAAGCTCCGTGCTGTCTGTTACGTTTATGGTTGCTTGTGGGTGGTCGGCATCCTTATTGTACTCTAGCCAGTTGGTGTTGTTCAGTCGAAGGTCATCGGGGATACCATCAAGCAGGGATGAGTCCGCAACGGTGACAATGGCATAGTTCTTGTCCGTCTCGTTCTTGGTCGTCAGGAGGATCGCATATCTCTGAGCCACAGCGATGTAGAGAGTGTCAGCCTCAGTAGGTTCTGTGTATACACCGTCGATTTCCACAATTTGGAAATTGTGATCTTCGATGTAAAAGTACTGCCCAACGAAGGCGCCAATGTTGACCAGTCGGATTAGATATGTCTTATTCGGCTCCACAGGAAGACTGGAGTTCATTGTATCGTTGAAGAGGAAAGAAGATGGTATAGGCTCAGCGCCAGTGGGGTTGTATACAGACATGAACTCAGCCGACAGAATCCCATCAACCATCTCGTGATACCAGTCAGACATGGTGATTGTGAACTCCTCGTCAAACTTGAATGGCGCATGCTCGTCCTACACACAGACGGTTAGTCAAGGTCAAATCAAATCTGTTGAACAATACAAAAGGAAGAAAAACATTCAACGCACATGTACAATCAGTGCCTGGCGGTAGCCATCAGGGTAGCAGTAGTCCGTGTGGCAGTGATACCAGTAGGTGCCGTTCTGGTTGACGGTGAAGTTGTAAGTCATGCTTTGTCCAGGAGGTACGGGGCACTGCGTGATCATGGAAGCGCCGTCCATGTAGTTTGTGTTGTTCTGGAACATGCCGTGCCAGTGAATTGAGCACGGCCTGTCTCCGAGGCCATTGAACATGTTGACGACGAGCTGATCGCCTTTGTCGACCTCAATCAGAGGTAGGGGCCATTGTCCGTTGATACCAACAACTTTGCGTTCCGCCAGTCCATCGGGGTTTGCCGTGACCCAGGTGACGTTGAAGTCGTATGTAACGGTCTTGGCCTGGCAGCCAAGTGCCGCGAGAGCCAGAACCAAAAAGCGCTTCATCTTGACACAGCTGACTTGGCTCCTTCTCTGCCACCTTCGGGCGAGTGTGGGTGGTCAAGGTTGATATCTGTTTTGGCACCGGCGCAAGGGTGGTAATGGACTAGCAAGTTTCCTCTCTTGTCCCCAACACATTCCGAGGTCAATTGCCATCAATCAGATAATCAGTCCATACACAGGCCCCATGACAAACGAAACGAAACGAAACAAAGAAAAAAAGAAACTAAATAATCCCCGCAGGCTAGATGAAAATTTCTACAGCATTTGTGCCGACCGTCGCTGCACCAGATCCTTGTTGTCACGACCCGAAAAAGAATTAAGCCCCGTTTAGACTCCTGGCGAACCAGTCGAGGCGTTCAATAGCTCTGCCGAGTTGCCGTTTGGCGTGATCAGATAACTATGTTTCGGCCCTGTAGTTGAGCCATTTTCCCTGATCAGATTGATTTTGTCTCGATCAGATAACCCAAACCTCCCAAAAGGGCGGTTCGTGATGGTGGGCCGCGGTGCCGTCTTAGCCGAAGCGCCGGAGCTGGAGATGCATCAACCACTTCTGACTGGACGATGCCGTTATCTGATCATCTGATTTGGCTTGAGCCATGTCAAGCCCCGTTTCATTGGGGTGCTTTCGATCGGTGTCGAAATGATCCGTCGGCGAGCCAATTCAAGTTTCTATTACAAGTGCCTTGCGGTTCCGGCCCTGTTCGGTTGGGGTTGAGATGGGATAATTTTTTTTTTTTTTCACTTTGGGCTTCTGATTCATATTACATACCCATACGACCATGCACGGCTAAATATACTTAGATTGCTCATCACCGCACCAATTGAACACTCTCGCCTCTTCTCCCTCCATCTTTCAGCCTACCCAAATTCCTGCTTGACTTTGGTAGACACAATGGCGAAGAACGTCTTTGCCGTTCAAGTTTTCTTTATCGTCTTTCGCGAGTGTTTGGAAGCTGTTATTATCATCTCGGTTCTTTTGTCCTTCCTCAAACAATGTCTCGGTAGACCAGACCAGGATCAGGCCATCTATAAACGCCTGGTCAGGCAAGTATGGCTAGGCTCTATCGCAGGCATCATCATCTGTCTCATCATTGGTGGTGCCTTCATTGGAGCATTTTATGGCCTCGGCAAAGATATCTGGTCAAAGTCTGAGGATCTCTGGGAAGGCATTTTTTATCTGATTGCCACCATCATCATCTCATTCATGGGACTTGCACTCCTGAGAATTAACAAAATGAAAGACAAGTGGCGTGTCAAGATCGCACAAGCCTTGGCCGAGAAGTCAACCCAATCGACTAAGTCAACTACGTGGCTCGGCGACTGGTCCAGAAGGCACGTCATGTTCATCCTGCCGTTCATCACCACCCTGCGAGAAGGTGTTGAGGCCGTGGTTTTCGTGGGAGGCGTGTCTCTCAGCTTGCCTGCGACGGCCTTCCCTCTCCCAGTTATTTGCGGCATCATTGCTGGTCTCGCCGTCGGCTTCTTCATTTACCGCGGTGGCAACCTCATGTCCATTCAAATCTTCCTCATTGCCTCTACCAGCGTTTTGTATCTGATTGCCGCTGGCATGTTCTCCAAGTCCGTATGGAGTCTACAATATCATACCTTCGCCCAGCGTGTAGGAAGCGATGTGGCTGAACTTGGAGACGGAAATGGCTCATACGACATCACCGAGACCGTCTGGCACGTCAACTGCTGCAATCCCGAGACAGACAACGGTTGGGATGTCTTCAACTCCATCCTTGGCTGGCAAAACACTGCCACTTATGGCTCCGTCATCGCTTACAATGTGTATTGGGCATTTTTGGTCTTGACGGTCTCTTTCCTCTTGTATGAGGAGAAGACTGGATCGCTGCCTTTGAAGAACCAATTTTTGAGTGTCATGTCCAAGGTTCCGGGACTCAGTGGATGGGTCGCAAAGAAACGTGCAAAGGATCAGACCGTCAATGAGCATGAGGTCTTCCGACAGGTCCAAGCCGCAGGACTTCTCAGAGAGTAGAGCCGTCTAGATAGTAAAAGACTCTACAGAAGGAAAAATTCCTTGAGGGGGCACGAAAATGGGTGATGGGAAAACAGACTATCGTATGACGGAGATGGGAGTTTTGTATTGACGACGAATATATCCAAACGGCTGGGAGGGTTCGGTTAGGTTAGTGCTTACGAAGACTAAAGGATGATTAACGAAAATTTAATACTTTGTTTTATTTGAAGATCGAATGACAATCAACATGCCGGAATCGTTATTCACTGCGCTCACGTAGCTCAGAGCAGTCATACGATGTATCGAATAGAACTTTTGGTATCACTTACAGTAGCAAGTTATAGAAGCCCCATACTTCCTTCTGTATTTTGGGAGTGGCTATTCAACACCCCACGTCTGCTATTCAGCATCCCATTCTTAAATTTAAAGCGGCCTGGGTAGTAATGATAGCAGATATTAGAGGAATATATAGATAGTAGCAGACTGTAGCGATAGTAGCAGATACTCCAGGAACCGTGTAATATATATTCAAGTAATAGCGATAAAAGATCTTCATTATACGTTGTTACGCCATTTGGAACTCCTCTTAGTCGCTGGGGTGCTGGATAGCCATTCCCATTATTTTTTCCCATCCAACATCCCCCAGATACTCCAACCTTGTTGTCCAGCGACCATGGCAGCAAGTCTCCATCTACATAAGTGAGTCTAACTGTAGGTATACCTAATTAAGCAACTACCTAATGTCAATCAACCCACTCACAGAGATATGGAACAGAGGGAGAGAACAAGACGACCCAGTGGCAGTTAGAATCGTACACACAATGAGCGATACCAGATCGGCTGTCATACGCATACTCGTATTCGAAATATGCCATTTCATCATACCAAACCTCGGCCCACCGTATGTTCCCACTCTTCCCCGATCAAGCTACGGCGAGCTGGCACGTATTGAAACCTCAACTAACAGCATTCTCAACCAACTCCAGTACATCAATACGTCAATCAACCACCTCCAATGTATCAATCAATTGCTTCAAATATGTATTTCACTCGCGCCCGAGTGAATTTTGTACCGGAATTTGGAAAAACCCCAACCGATCGCGCCAACGTTCTTCCTTTCCGTGTACTATAAAAGAACTTTTCTTACCCAATTCAATCTCCTTCCTTTTCATCTCTTCATTCCTCGCCTCTCTACCCGTCGTCCTTGGTCTAAATAACTCGCCAATTCTCACCTGAACCCGGGAAGAATGCCAGTCTCGTGGACATGGATTTTACACCCATTCTCCGATGCGATGACCTCGACACGTGGCGTACGGCCGACGATGCAACCGACTTTGAGGTTGCCAACACGGCTGTTCACACGCCTGACGATGACATGACCAAAATCCAGCGAAATGCAAAGATTTGGCGCACAGCCGGACACGAAATCGGAGTCCAAGTGCTTCAAAAGTGGAGTACGGAGCCGAAAAACATCACTTCCTTGGCTGGCTATCATGGGTTCAATGAGAAATGCGTCGCCAATTTTGTTGATACAGTCGGTGAGTTTAGCCCCAGTCCGAGTGGAATACACTTTCTTCCTCGATATCTCACCCGAAGGGCACTACCTAGCCTTTGAGGGATTCACTGACGTTGACGTTTGGTTTAGTTCCCGACATCATTCCTGCAGGCCTCAAACTCCTCCATTCCAAGTTCCGTGTCGAAGTTGCCAAGGCCTTATTCCAAGAATACTCAGTAGAGTCTGGATCTCTTCCCGATTCCATGGATGCTCTCTATATCAACAGTCGCACCAGGGTCGACGCGTTGCCTGAGGGATCCAGCCTACAGCTCCTCATTGGACCTATCGAACTCATGAACATGTACACGCATAAAAGCGCCCTCAAAAGGTTCGTTGACCAAACTATCCAATCAATCAAAGTGCCAATCTTTCTACCAATCACACGCGGTGTGATTTCATCATCGGATGCAGAGGATAACATAATAGATCCTGCGGCTACGATTCTTATTCAAGCTGCACAAATCCTCTTGTTCGCTCCCACCAAGTGGCACAAGGATATCAAATACACTCGACTCACAGATGAGTACAAACGACGCTATCCAACTCCTCCAGGTCACGGGGGAGATTGTCGAACAGTCGCAGGAATGTTCAGCCTGGAAGACCTCCATCGCGCCGTTATCTTGGTGTATCTCGCCATCTATCGAAGGGTACAAAATGGAACTGCCGGCCTCAAAACTCAACGTGCGCCTCAGCCTCGCGGCACGTTTTCGGGTTACTACGATGTTGAGCGGCAAATCCCCGACGACACCGCTGGCAAGGAGGGTGCCTCTCAGCTAGCTGTGGCGCGATTCATCAGACATCCTTTGCCTGTCCTGCAAACCGGTTTGATTCAACCGTCGCCAACAACCGCTTCCTCAGAGTCACGCTCCACGCGAGCTGCCGCCCCAGATATTCCTTTCACGCCTTGCGAGAAGATTGATTACCCCCCGAATCTCGATAAGTGGCTTGAGGTTCAGAATCTCTTTGTCGAGTGTGCCGGTACTCGCCAGGAGACATTGGCTGCTGACGGCTCTGACCTCACTGACAACCAGCCGCTCTATAAGTCGTTGGAACCAATCTCGCAGGAGACCTAGAAGGCTTTGCTTGGCAAGATTCGTGAACGATTTGACTGGGACGACCCGGATCAGGTTTTTGCTCGTGTTTCCGAACATATCACATCTTTCAATGCGCTGGTCGGAGACCAACATCTCATCGAGTTTGTCGAGCGAGGCAGCGCTTCTACCGTGATACAAGAATTTCTTGCATTGCACCCAGAGGATGAGAAAGGATTGAATGACGCACTCTTGCGCTCATACGCCTTGGAGACTGTCTTCAATGGCCATCCCCCTCCCGAGGATACAGACATCAACGCAGTTTGCTCTCGCTTCGGAATCAAGCCATACCCATCTCTCGAGCTTTATCCTGATCAAGGGTTTCAACCACTCAAGCCACATCAAGTAGCAGGTATGTGCTTTCCGCAATTCGAGTGGTCATTTCTCACCTGGGCCCGAGTACACTCCCCTTCGCACATCACCCGCTGACTATTGAGCCCAGATCTAGGTGTCATTTTCCAGAAGCTAGATACGATCGGTCACATTCTTCTCAGCAACGAGATGGGCTTGGGCAAGACTAAAGTCTTCATCTCCATGATCGAATGCCGAGCTCGTGAACTAGAGGCCAAATTCAAAATCTTGCATGACGACAACAACCGCGACATTTTTTTCCCGACATTGGTGGTGAACCCCCCCAGCATTATTCATCAAACACATGCAGAGATGAAAGCCAACTTTCCTGGCCTGAAGGTTTTGATGTATTATGCCTCCAAGAGTCAATCGCGCAAATTCGACTCTGCCACAATTCTCGAGAAGAATGAATTCCTACAAGTTCTCCGCAAATTGTCGAATAGTGACCCCCAGGTAGCTACCCATCTGATCGCTTTCTTGTGCTATCATATGCTGACTATTCCATAGACCGCTCGAATAGTCATCATGACAACTTACAACACTCTCCATTGCCGTGAGGTTTCACGTACCGAACGCCGTTTCATTTTCCTTGAACGAAAGGAGAAGGGACCTACCGCCAAACGTCCCAAAACCATGACCCCTCCACCCATTGATTCTACCGAGGTAGATGACGCTCTTAGGGCAGATTGCAACGGCGACAGTTCGGACTCTGATTCAGACTACTATACTCCTGCTGAGATGCTCGCCTTTCAGGCCAGACGTCCTGAAACCACTCCCAAACTTCGGAAGTATCATAAAGGTGACTTGGAACTCAAGAACAAAAGGTTGCATTTCTTGAAGGGCCACGAACGCGCACTTCCCGATGGGTATTTGGTTGAATACAACCTCGTACGCCCAGCCCTTGGGGATGTTAAATGGGGGTTCCTCATCGTGGATGAGGCACATACCGCACGACGCGTCGATGGCGTATTTAACAATTGTTTTCGTCTTATCAACTGGAGTCACCTCGTTTAGGTCACGGGAACTCCCTTAATGGGATCTCTACACGATATTATCTCCCCACTGTCACTTATCTGGTCCAAATTGGATATCGAGACCCCCCCAAACGGCGATATCGGCATAGGCTACACTCAGGGTTTATGGGAAGAAAACTATGATCCGAACATCAACAACACTTGGCCCAACGGCAAGGAGACCAAGGGTATCTTCACCGAGAAGTTTTTGAAATCCTGCCCATCCGAGGGATGGACACAAATGCAAGAGTTTTACAAGCGCACGGGAGTGAAAATATGGCAAATAAACCCAACTCTGGTCGAGAGAGCTGGTCGCCAAGCTGAGTGGTCCAGTGCATTCGGACAAAAGGTAATGTCAGTGGTCCTGGGAATGGTGTCACTCCACCGCACCCAACGATCACGCCTCATTCTGCCAGATGGACAAGTTTGCTTCCCAGCAGCAGATCTTATGCCCATGACAATAATAACTGAGGAGCTCAGTTATGACCCCGCGCGTCGGCCACTTGTTCAAGAACACGGTCGTAACATAGCAGCCAGAATCTTTGTGGCCGGCCCATCGAACACAACTCAGAACTTCACTCCAAGCCAGAATGTGCCGCCAAGCGGTGCACAAGAAGGCTCACTGAACTTTGGTGCATACAGGCAAGGTGTTCTAGTGGCATATGATTGGCGCAATTCGCACATCTTGTATTCGAACGTTGAGGAGATTTTCGGCGGGGAACCTGATGCAATCGCCAATACCCTCCGCTTGTTGCGCGACTCCGGGGGTCTGACAGATACGCAAGCAAAACGCCTGCAGCAACGCACGGCCAAGCATTCAATGCCCACAGTTGGCGTGAATCATGTTCAGAAATTGCTCTCATTCGACAATAACCAAGGATTGGACTACTTCTTCACTAGGACTTGTCTTGATCCAGATGTCCTCCCATTGACAGATCGCGCCGCTTGGATTTACTGGCTTACTGCCACAAGCCCTGTGCTGGCACGAACGATTGAGTTATGCCACCGCTACGTTCACGAGAGGAAAGAGCGCGTTCTCATCTATGTAGACACGCCGTGGATTCAACAGTAAGTGACATGAAAGATCAGTTCCACTATGCCTTTTACACTCAATCCTTCACCTCATTCCAGACTTCCGCATGCTGACTTTTCTCTCCTCTCTAGGATGATGTACAGCGCGCTTTTAATGGCCGGTTTCAAATCGCTGACGGTTCGTTCTTCGGACAAACCGAGTGCGAAAATCGAGGCTGTCCAAAAATTCTCAGATCCTCGCTCGGACGCTCAAGTCTTTATCGCCAACATCAATATCATGTCTACCGGACTCAACCTCCATCACGCCTGTTGCTTTGGCATCCTGGCGACTTTCCATTTCAACGCCAAAACCATCCAGCAAGTGCACGGGCGACTCCATCGCTTAGGTCAAAAGAAGGTTGTCGTTTGGCATAACCTCAAGGTGAAAGATTCTTTTCATGACTACCAGGAGAGGATGCTGTTGACAAAATGGTCTCGTCAATTGTCCGCGGAATCCAACCTTCCACGATGGATGACAGGGACCCTCCGAGAAATCGTGCTATTCGAGCTTATACGCTCCTACTTCCACCAACCTTTCAACCGCTACTCCTGGGTTATCCTCGCCGATCGAGATGGAAAGGCTATGGCCTATTACTCTGAGGAGGCTATCAAGCTTGGATATGCTTGCTCGGCATTGGCCAAACTCAGCTTAAACACAGAAAAGGGGGCTTACTGGATCGAGAACGACGATTACATAGCCACCGCGCTTCTGGAACTCGTGGCAAGCGTAGAATTGAAGCAGACAGAGCCATGGCTGACAATGGATGAGAGCCAACTCCGAGTCGCTATGGAACTTGAGAAATTCATTCACGGGGTCAAAAACGGAGAGTCTTTGCGCGAGAAGGCCAAATTTTTTAGCCAAAGGGTCAAAGAGCGCCAGCAGACCACGAATGCCGATTTTACCCTCGAGGAAAGCTCAGATAATACGGAGGAGGTTGTTGAAGATGAAGACGCCACTGCTGATGCGCCCCTAAGCAACCAGGGAGATGGAGAGTAGGAACTTGGCTATTGGGAGGGATATATTTCATTTTTCGATGCCTCTCAGAGGCGCTCATTTGGGACTGGAAATTCGGGGCAGGACTTCTATAACTTGTTTCTACTGTAGGTAATACCAAAAGTTCTATTCACTTCCTGGAGTATCTGCTACTATTGCTACCATCTGCTACTATCGCTACCATCTGCTACTATCGCTACCATCTGCTACTGTCCATATATCCCTCTAATATATGCTATTATTACTACCCAGGTCGATTTAAATTTAAGAATGGTATACTGAGTAGCAGACGTAGCGTGCTGAATAGTCACTCTTAAAATAAAGAAGAATATATAGAAAGGGAGAGCTATTAGTAATGAATTGATAAAGATGGGCTTGCATGCGGGACATTCACCCGACATCACGAGGTGAAGCAGTGAATCACGCTTGAACGGGCATTCACCTTGAGATCACGAAGTAGGACAGTGCCTTGATTGCTTTTCGGGACAAAAAGCACCAAGGATTTCTTTTGCAGTGTTCTATTCCTTCGGAATGGCAGCAAAAATGCAATAGCCTTCAATAGTATTAGTGACCATGTGAAGGAGGATTATCCGAGAATGCTTGGAGGGAGTCATCCTCTCACTTTAACCTCGAGATCACGAGATGGAATAGTACGCTATATTAATATCAAAGGCTTTTAATGAGAATCACTACATCCATCCAATCCTTCGAAACATATAGCTGCCGCCTCCAACAACAGCCGTTGCTCCAGTAAACGCTATCAGTGTTCCATACCCACTGCCGTAGCCAGCGGCAGCTTGTCCTTGCCACGGCATTCCCTTTAATAACGCACCACTTAACGGCCCCGAGATAACATTGCCAATACCACGCCCAGCGGATAGCAAACCGACTACCATGAGAGGATCGTAAGAGCTCCCGCCGCTCTCTTCTCTTGATCCGGCGCCTATAGAGGAAATATGCTTCATAACGCCGGGCCATGATGAGGTATAACATCCAGCAAACATACCATAGACGAAACAGAATACGTAGAGCGAAGCCAAGTTGCTGCCTAGTCCCCAAAGGAAAAATGTACCAATGGCAGTGCCGAGGGTCGCTATTCCGAGACACGTCGTTACATGCAGACGATCAGTCAAGGTACCCATAGCAACACAACCTATAACAGAACCGACATTCAAGACCAAAAGTGTCAAAGCCGATGGAAAGTCGCCAGCACCGAGATATACCCGTGCGTATGTTGGCAGATAAATACCCGGAAGAAAGTACCCAACCCCTTGCACAATGTTAGTGAGCTGATACAGGCCAAATACCCGATTTACCAGAAACTTAAGGTTAAAAGGTCTGTAGTGGGCGGTGGCAGAAAAAGGTAGTCGCGGCTTAATGAACCACACCAATGGTGCAGACAAGATGAACACGGCGAGAGCCCATATCCGTAATGTGGTTCTGAACCCGTACTTGTTGAGAAACAATTCAAGAAGGAGAGGAATAGTAAAGCCACCTAACCCAGTTCCGGCCCACATTAGGCCAAAAGCGAAGCCCTTACGCTTAACGAACCATTCGTCCATGTATAGCATGCAAGGACAGTAACAGATGGAGCCACCGATGGCGTAGAGGACCCCCTGGGTCAAGATGAGATGGGTGACATTTTGGGAAAACGAAGAGATGGCGAGGGCAAGGCATAAGAATAGAAGACCGGCAACGGGCGCGTAACGAGTCGGTTTTGGATATATACGCTGGACAGCCATGATGATTGGAATATCGAGATACATGATACCCTATTTGATACCAACGGTTGTTAGTCTATTTACCTTGCGATCAGTTCGCTGGTATAAGTAAAGAATTACCATTGCGGTAGTGCCAATTACGGCAGTCTTCGATGACCCAGCAAACGGTTCGTGCGTTCGATAGTAGTCCTGAAACACACCGAACGAGAAGGGAAATCCTATTAGTTTATTTAGACACAACTGTCCCAGCATGGTGAGGGACGATTCCTCACTCACCCCATACCAACGCTTCCAAGACGAAGCAAGCTGCTAAGAAAAGCCAGGCATCCTTTCCCCTATCAACAGGCGGCAGTGAGAATTCTGCCGTGCCACTGGGAGGGCTTTCATCATCTCCAGAAACGATTGCCTGGTCTGAGTTGTAGTTGCTTTCAGCGGATTCTTGTCTCGGAGCATTAGCTGATATCTCTGTGATTCTCTTTGGCGGGGCTTCTTTTAGTTCGATGGATGGCGATTCCGCTGCCATGGCTCTGGCTAGACACGCTCAATTCCTTGCAAAACGCGGCAGTTTACGGGTGTTTCTGGGAGTCAATAAGACAGAAGGATGCTATGAGATTGATATCAGAAAAGAGAATCTCGAAATTCAGGAACATTGGGCATTATAGCCGCTTCCAATGGCTCGGTGGCGTTGACAGCGATTCGCTGCATCAATTGACATCTCGGCTCTGCGCCCTGCGTGTCAAAACCCACAGCTTACACGGTGGGTCTGTCGATTGTCCACGAATGAAGACGTCGTTTAGAGGACGCAGACTCCACTGTGCCAGCCAAGCGCAGAACTCAATCCATTTCTCCAGATATTTCCAGCGGTTGTCCGGGGATCTTTACCTTGCCATTACCGTGATTGAGCGTACATAGAACCCACTCGGCGCCAAGATTAACATCCAAATACGGTAGAATTGAAGTGCTAATGCGTCGAGAGGTACCTTCGCAATTTCTACACAGAGTGCCCAATTGAGTTCAGATCTCGATTTCACCAAGTCAGGATATTGTCAATAACCATCCTAAAGACCCCAAAGCGCTTTGCCGGCAATAGATAGGTGATCAGAGAGAAGACTGCTAGGAAATCCAAATAAGGTTACATCATCTCATTGAAAGCGGCTATGTCAGCAATTATATCATGGTGTCATCGACAATGTATTGAGGTAAAGAAACGTAGAGCGAACTCGATATAAGCTCTGCATTACCAGCTGCCGGGTAATAGCTACACAAGAATATCGAGGGACTTGAGAGTTGAAACATGAAAAGATTGAAGACAGGAAGATGTGGGAAGAAACAGCTATAAATACCTGTAGATTGATACAATCACGTGTGAGTGGCGAGTCCCCTGGAGATCTGAATGGGGATGTAGGAATATGGACCTATATACAATTTATCTTGGTCTTTGAACATATACATTTGAATTCGCCTTATATTCCCCCAAGTACAGCAAAAATTTACGGCTTAAAGTTAACGGAAAGGAACTGGATAACCTGGGGCGAGATGTCAATCTTTGAACCCTTGCCTGGCCAGGCGTGGCCCGTTCCGTCAATCTTGACATGTCGTAGCAAACTGTCAATGCCCGCACACTTCCACCTAGTATCGTGGACACCAGAGGCGATGTCAGTAGTTGCAGAAGTGGTGCACTGGTTGCGGCCAGCCCATCGTGAAAGCCAGTCGGGAATAGACGGGAGAGGTCCGCCACGTCCAGGACCCGTTGGGTTGTATGGAATGGTTGTATCAGCAGTTCCATGAGTCTCAAACATGGGCAAGGGGGATCGAGCTGGGTGGCAGTTGTCGTTTCCGGTGACATCGGTGTAAAAGGCGCCTGAGACCGGAGCAAAGGCAGCAAACTGGCCACCGTGGTCGGGGCTGCAGGCAAGAGTATTAACAAAGCCACCGCCGTTGGAGTGTCCGGTAGCGTACACGCGGGCCTCGTCAACGCAGTAGTTGTCCTTGATTCGGTTGACAAGATCGGTGGTGAAAATCTTGTCACTAACGCCAGGGGTCGCATAGGTTGGCCCTTGCCAGTTTCCCTGTAATTTTATTAGTACGATCTAAGCATCACTATCGGATACAAGATGTGATAGATTAACATTGATGCCAGCTGGGTAAACAACAATCATGTTAGGGTTGACAGATGGATCAGAGAATCGGGTTGTAGTCTCAAAATTTGCCATATTGTCACCAGAGCCGTGATAGGCGATAATTAAAGGCTTAGGGGAGCCTGGTTTGTAGCTGGCAGGAAGATGGATCAAGTAGCTTCGAGTCCCACCGCTGCTTTCAAAACTAAACTCCCGAGTTGTGCCAGCCCAGTCGTGGGTCCTCGAGCAGCCTGCTGAAGCACGCTTCTCAACACCGATGGCAGCACCATTGGCGGATCCAATGAGGCCAGCAACAGCCGCGATAGCTTGGATGTAAGAAGAAAACAACATGGTGAAGAATGAAAGCTAATCAATGTGTTCCTTTAGCACACTCCTTGAGAAACTCAGTCTAAAACGAGACGCAATGACTAGATACTTATACATTTAATCAGTGGGGATTGCCATGATTACTACCTGTATACTTGGAGCGGTTCCATATCCTTTCCACTCAAAAAACAAAGAGCTTCTTGTTAATCACATTATCAGATCCTTGAAACTATAGCGCGGTATACAAGTGGCACGAGGAACGCCTCCGAGATCAGCGGGCTTTTGCCGACGTTATGTGCGCTCTTGGATGCTTGGCATCGCCGACGTAGTTCCGCACTTACCATAAATGAACATAGGTAGATTCGTATACAGGTATAATGCCCGGTTCAAGTTCAAGACTAAAGGGGCCTCCCAGAGTTCAACAACTGCACTAGGCTACTGTCTATTCACCATCCCTGGTTAGCGACGGATATTCTTTCAAATCTCTCAATCTCAGTTTGAATAATGCTGCCTACATGCTCCATTTTGAATATATTACTCAATAAGTGTTCTATTTTTATTGTAGACACTGGACATCATCAGATTGCCCATACATAAACGAGCACCGTCAGCAACAGGGCCAGTATCCAATGTGCTACTAGTCCAGCTACAACACGAGGCTCAACCCACACTCGGAGTAGGAATTAACCCAACGAGTTTATGCCGAAAATATTGTAACTGCCACTTGAGTGATTTTAGCGCGCCTTTAAATGTACATAATATGCTTATATCAAGCTCGTTCTGTGTCCGACCCATCATGCCATGAAGGTGCCGTGCAACAGTAGATCAACATTGATAATATTTTCTGGAGAGCGTTCCAACTCCTAATATCATCCTTGCCTGCATCTAATCAAAGCCTTCTTTCGGCCGCTGTGGAGGAATATTCTGCTAAAGTAAATTCATGCGAAGCAGAGCAATCATAACAGGGCTCCCCCGCCTGTCCTTTGATCCATACTGCAACCGATCACTGCATGGCATCAAACCAACCGTTGGGGAGAGGTGTATGTCTAGGGAACAGCAAATCAAAGCTTTCTGGAAGCCTAATCGCCCCTGCCGTTGCGTGCCAAGCCGGCTATTTCGACTCGCGTGAGTTACCAGGGCCGGACTTTAAATCCTCATGGTGCTCTCCACTTCGGGCTGATCTGTTGCTACCTCCATCCAGCAGGTAACTTTAACCTAGGCACCGAACAACCTAAAATGTCCGTAAGGGGTGGTTCTGGAGAACAGCAGAGCAATATGCCTATAGGTACGAATTACAAGTACTGATAAGAAGAGGAGGAGGAGCGGTGACACCCTGTATCTCAAAGACATGGTATATGGGAAATTTTAGCGAATCATAGGCGTCCCCGTACATGTAAGTTGCAAAGCACATCCTTCCCAAGTCAATTCTTCTGCCAGCTGTTGCCCGCAAGTTTTAGTCTGTCTTTCTATACTTAGTCAAGCCAATGCCTGAGAACAACAGTCGGCCAGACATGGCGGTTTGGCTAGTTTCACAACAATTGGGGAATACGTATTGATCATGGGGCTCAAGACAAATTATTTCTATCGAGCTACCTATTCGGCCATAGTATTATGAAGAGTTTACCTGAAATATTCTCGCAAACCCTCGAAATCCCCACCTCCTGCCCTGCCCCCAACAGTTAATAACGCGAATTCCGCAACTGCTCATCATGCTTTTGAGCAAGGCTATATATATTCATAGCATCAGGCTCTGTGCCCATCTCAGAGCGCCCAACAGGCAGTCACTAGACATAGCTATTGCACCTCTCTCCATATGATGGCACCGAAATTGCCTGGTTGAGAGGAGTCGACACGAGAAATCCCGAAACCGTAAACTGTTAGCGGACTTGAGTATCCACTTGCATTCTCGTCACATTTCTCGAGGCCAGAGAAATGTGTATGACGACATATCCCATAGTATGCTCCACGACGGGGAAGCATTCATCCGACGGACTGTTTGAGAAGACTCCTGTACTGTAATCTGTAGCGACAATTGTAAGACCAGCTGATGAATGAACTTGATAATAATGCCTAAAGTCTTCATGAACAGGAAATCTGATCGCGGAGTAAACCGCGTCGTGATCAGCTACCGGTTAGCTCGTACCGGTTTAGATTGATCGTGGCATCTCTACATGCATTCAATTCCATACCTCTCTCTACTTCATAAAACGTTGCCTCTTGCACCTGCTTCGTACTAGTCTATTAACTGAGACAAAGCGCTAGAGCAGAACATACTCGACTACCTGAAGTACCAACTTCATGTGTTGATACAAGGAGAAGTATACCTGCTCGATTAAGCTATTCCCTGTCGCTGAATTGTTTTGCCTAGATATCATTAGTCTTGTTAACGACTTAGCCACAGGTTATTGTGCATAGATGGTCAAAACTTGGCCGAATTAATATTGACAAAAAAGAGATATCGCTTTCTCAGTCCTTGAGTGCTAACAATGACCAGTTTGTCAGTACTATGTAGTACCCTTCTATTATCATGCCCTCCTCTCTGCAATTAATGGGCAATGGAAGACGACGCAAGGACATATCAGCGCTCCTTGAAGGGATAATTAACATGGTTGAGCAACATAGGAAGCACTCACTACTAGAACAAGACCCCATCCTCGTATCATACGGCGACCCTTACACCCAGCCACGTATCGTATGCGCACTCAAATGCTGTGCTACAGAAACGACATTTAAATTCAAACGGACGTAATATTTGCGGGCTTACCTAGTCAAGCATGTTCTCATTGCCAGGCAGCGATGTCCTGCAGATCGCTCCCTTTTAAAGCCGTCGGCCTCGAGTTCGCTTTTTAGCATACCTAGACATTCTTGCGCTCTCAGCCTTGGTTACAAACCTCACCATAATGTAAGGTTGGATTAAAAGCAGCTGCCGCAACTCTCAACGGCACAAGGGAAATAATACTTGAAGACTATACGAGTCTATCATAGACACCTGAGAACAGCTGGAAAATTGGGCAACAGAGGCTGGAGACTGTAGGTAGCCAATCACATCCATTCCGACAATTCATGACTTGGAGCCATGAAAGGGGTTTTCCAATCATTCACCACAACATATGCAGAGCGAAAATGCATCAATCTATACGACACAGGTGTGTAACGGCGCTTCCACCGAGCTGAGTAAGAGTGTGTCACTTCAAATCCCTCAGTCATATATGGGAAAACTGGCTTAGCTGAAATATACATAAGTATTGCTTTCGCCCTGCATCTGTGGCTTGCTAGGTGTAACTCACGGCTCTTAAAATGAGGGGAAATTCAGGACACAAAAGCGGTTCCACGGTCGGATATCGTCTACTGGTTTGGTTAGGCTTCAATTCGTCGCCAGAAAACATGACTTCGGTCATTTTTTCATCATCATAAGAGGAGTATTGAAAAATTAGTTGTTGAGCTCTCCACCCCTATACATTTTGTCGTAGTGAACCTGTCGGACAACCAATGGAGAGAAATCAAGAATCTCATTAGTATATGAAAGTCATTAATTGATCTAGGCTATCAATTCATCCAGCGTAACTCGCTGAGTATTGCGGGAGACGCTCAACCTCACTTCGTAGAGAAGCGTTGTGTACGCCTTGTTGAACAGCCCAATTCGCATCAATTCGCATCAACACAAGGCCTTGAACGATGATCTGTCTCAAGCACGCAATAACTCTTTGCTAATTTGCGGAACATCAATTCAAGTCCCTTGATGGCCTTGGTCATTTCAGGTCCCATCCCCGCATTCTCTCAGCCGTCCCATCCCGATCCGTGAACAAGTGGCTGGCTGGATGATACCCCAGATGGCCAGCCAAGGAGACCTTGAATATCGGATATCTTATTCGCCAATAGCATCAAGTTGCAGAGAGTCTGGGCGAGAATCAATCAGCGTACAATGTGTCATATTCGAAACAAGATGGGAGAATCTTTGACGTAAAAACAATGAAGCAAGCAATTATGAACATGGCCTCTAACAAAGCAAAAGGTCTATAAAGTAAGAGGATATTCCTCCCCCATCAGAATCACAATCATCATCACAGTCACCAAGTCAATCACAGCAAATAGCTTTTCATCAAGAATATTCTACCATCGCTAACTCCATCAAAATGTCTTTTGCCGAAGGAACTTACCACATGTACACCACTCTCGCTAGCCACAAGGCCGTTGACCTTGAGGCATCCGAGCCCACCGGCCGCGTCATTGAATAGTAAGTCTCGTCTCTTCAGTACCAAATTCTTTGCAACAAGAACTAACTGCCAATTCTCCAAAGCCAAACCCACGGCGGCAAAAACCAGCAGTGGCGCATTGTCCGCATTACCCACGAGGAATACAGCATCCAATCTGTTGCCACCAACACTTATATCACGGCTCCGAGTATGTCTCCCGTTCTCCAGCACTAGATTTTAAGTATACCCTCCACAATTTTGCTTACTCCTTTTGTCCAACCTTAGATGGAGACGATGCCACGGCCCGAGCCTCCAAGCTGGCCCCTGAGTGTAACAGCGTTAGCCGTTGGAAGATTGTAAAGGCTACCGCCAAAGGCGACTCCTGGGTGTAAGTTGATTTTGCCTTGGCCCTGTATATTTGGGTTTGTGTCATTCCATCTCACTGTTGATACAGCATTCGCAATGTGGCGTATCCCAACAAGGTCCTCGACGTGTCTGGCAGCAACCAGGCGGACTTGACCCCCATCCTCGTCTATACGTACCACGGAGGCTCGAACCAGCAGTTTACCTTCACGGAGGTGTAAAGAAAGCATCTCGTGATGACTATCTGCCATTGAGGGGATATTGGGGGTTTTTATTCTGGCATGCTCAAGATTGAGATGTGAACATCTCCGCTCATTTACATCAACACTTCCACTCGTTTACAGCTTAAGTTGCATTTGATTAGTTTTACTGCGCCCTCAATGAAGAAGAAATTTGGAAGAAAAACGCGGCAAGACATCACAGTTGCTGCCAATAGCCACAAAATGACCATGCTTGTGATATGATGCTCCAGTGTGGAAAAAGTGTTGAGTCATCGTGTATCATTAGTACTGCCATTTGCCAATCCAAAACGCCAGGTGATATCCTCATCCAACCGCCAATACAATGCAATTGCTTCTCCTCATATTAGAATCATCCCGTCCGTATATATCCATGCGCCAATATCATTAAATGCACTATTACTAATCTTGGTCCCTCGCATATCCGCGTCTGCTTCGATTATCCATATTCATCGCTTTCCGATGCAAGCCGTTGACAAAGCCTCGATCTCCTCCTCGCTCACGAGCTCTGTCATCAGCATCTCTAGCGGCACGTTCTCGCTCTTCTAGAGCCGCCAACCGTGTCTCTCGATCCTGGTCAAGCTCAGATGCAGCCGACTGCATTGCAGCCAGCTTCCGCGCCTGTTCTTCCGCCCGCTGTTCCTCTTGCCTAGCGTCGTCGCGCTCCTTGTGGGAACGAGCGTGTGCTGGAGAGCGCCTGCGCGGACGGTCTCCTCTGCCGTTGGAATCGGAGTGTCGGTATCGGCGGTCGCGGCTACCATCGCGGTTTCGGTATGAGTCGTTTCCACGTTCTCTTGCCTCGCGTTCTTGCGATGCTTCTCTTCGGCGACTAGGAGCGGACTCTCTGTCTTTCGAGCGGTCGCGGCGCCTTTCTCTGTAGCTGTGGTGGCGCTCTCCAGATTCCGAATTATCGTCTCGATGATGACGTCGTCGTTGTGGGCTGCGAGATCTGGAATACGAGCGGCGCCGACGCCGTGAATGCCGGTCGTCGTCACGGTCTCTGCTCCGATGTCTGCGACGTTTCCGTCCATGTTCGTCTCCATCCCTATCCTTTTTCTTGCCGTCATCGATGCCCATGGATGAGAGGAGCTGGCGGCGTCGAATGGGGTCGTTCATCATAGCCTCGTATGCGGCTTGTTCCTGGCGCTTGATGGCCAGCAAAGGATCGTCGCGGATCTTGGCTGCTGTGTCGCGCGCGCTATTTGCGTTCTGCAGCGCAATGAAGCTGTCCTGTCCAGCAGCCTTTTCGAGTTTCTTGTGGTCGGTGCCCTTGATGAGGTTGTCGATTCTCCTCTTGCCCAGCAGGTAGGCCTCTGTCTCCTCCGTTGTACCAGCCTGGCCATCGGTAGGGCCCTGGTACATCCAGTCGACGCGATCAACCCTCTTGGTGCCTCCCGCAGCTTCCAGCTGTCTCTGGATCTCCTCCTTTGCGCGCTCCTCCTTGATCTCATTGATGCGCTGCTGGGTGCGCTTGCGCTCGGCGAGAGCCTTTTGTTCTTCTTCGTAGACGGCCTGCTGATTCCGCCGCAGACCGGGATGGAAGGACTTTTTCAAGTTCAAATCACCGCCACCCATGGTTGCGACTCGTTATCGGATAATCGGATTCTTGCGATTGAATGACGGTCGTGAGATTGAAAATAGTTGCAGTTGGGTCGGTAGAGCGCAAAATGGCAAAGGTGAAGATGAATTGCAAGATCAGGGCCGCTGCAAATGAAAACAAACAAAAAATGAAGATTAGAATGATGCAGCCTGGGGGCGAAGTGGGGAACGCCACATGTCTGCAGCCTCGATTATTTTGGCTTCACTTGTGCCAAATCTGCGCTACGTACCTTTTCGTGGTGCTCATCTGAATAATTTCGGCAGTACTTGCTGATACATTTGTGAAATACAAGTATCAACGACGGCGCAAAAGTGAAGTAATTACTCTATGTAATATGTGAAAGCTTCCATTACTGCTCGCCTGGATTAGACAGGTGACATCTTTTTGAAGTCCACGGGTTGTATCTAGGGTAGTTCTCTCTACCTATACCATATATACCCCAGGTTGACACTGACACTTGACTCTAGTGACTCGACAACAATTAATAGGCAGGCAGATACTACTAGGTACCTAGGCAGCCATTAGGCACAAAAACCACTTAAATACCTCGGGTACTTGGCAGTATCCAATAGTGTCAAGAGAGGCTGTTCAACTAGTAAGATGCTGAAGTTGAATAATGACCATGAACAGATGACTTGCAGACGCCGTGAACAGGAACCTGCTCTGTCACCACCGGAAGTGCTCACATGTTCATAGGTATTTTCTTCTAGGCCCAAATACACACACGTACAGAATCACGCCCGGATGTAGATGGTTCCTTGGAATTGGTTGGTTGATGAAAAGAGTTGCCTTATTTTATATCCCTCTCATCTCCGTCGCCCAAAGTTGCGTCTACCAGAGACCCGTGATATCGTACACAGATTTATACAGTTGAGTCACATAATCATGATTTTGAGTCGTAAGTTCCACATCTACCAGCTTGCTCTCTTCACTCCAGGAAGGTTCCCTGCCATGGCCTCCATACGGAAATTGAACTGCAAGGAAAGAAAACAATGTCAGCTTATGGGATCGACCAGCTCAGCACCACAACCAGACAAATCAACTCGAGTACGCACTCTTGTCATCTTAAACGCCCTCAGCACACCACGCCCCTGGCCTCCCATTATACAGCGGTTGCGAATCTGCGTGGGCCGGGTGTAGCAGTGCATCTGCGACAGCTGCAGTTGAGCAGTGGCACGAACTCGGGGCGGCAGAGTCGTATTGCGGATCACGTAGCGAAGAGCTTGTCTAAAAATAGAAGAAGAAGAAGAAGGCAATGATTAGCCACTGCGCACGACCAAGGGTTTGGGGTTTGATAAAAAAAGACATGGAGTTTTAGCTACCTCTCGGCCTCGTGTTCCTCAAAGACCTTGCGCTTGGTGTGGTCGCGGATTGTGCGGGCCTTGACGAAGCAGCCCAGGTCGAGCTTCTTGGCCCGGAACATTGACATGTTGGCAGCGTTTGTTTGGGCGAGCGGCCGAACCTGTTCTGTGGGAATTGTTGCGATATTGAAATCTCGGGATCTACCTAGCCAAAGTTTGATGATGCCAAGCGGGCGGCGTTTAGCCGACGAATTGCCGATATTTTGTGTCTTGGTATAATTTCGACGGCAAATGCTTGGAACGACATGGGATAAGTACTAAAGATACCTTATCTATCCGCACATGTACACGCGCATCATGTTTGCGCTGCTCTAGAAAAATGATGCTGGATTCTCTCGACATTTCATTTTGGGCCAATTGTTTCTTTTTCCTGTCATTTTCACGCCGATTCGGATCGCCATGCCGAGTCGGATCACAGAGTGCCGTGTTCAATGCTTGTTGTTGCTGGTGGCGACCACCCGATTGCTTAGGTACAGTAGTATCCCAGTATCTCCTATAAGGATTGGTACGGTCTTAAGATTGAGGAACCACTATATCACCTAATCCATGGGCCCGGCTTGTGAGTGGTTCTTCGTCTACTAGTATGGATGTACTATCGAGTGAGGATACTGTACTATGTAGTATGGATCAATGTGCCTATTATAAGACATTTCGGTTCAGGGGGTCCCGGCCTTGGAGCTTCCTGAACTGTGCCTCTGTTGCCACAACTTGGACAAATGGCATTGCCGAAAGCAACTCGCGAGTGCTGCCGACTCAACCGTTGACAGCTGCTCTCTTGGGCTTGGATCACCTGCGGAGGCGCAGTGATGATGCTGGTTTGATTGCGAAATGGATAACCCGGCATGCTTGCAGAGAATCGGTTAACGGGTGGGTTCAAAGCCCCAAGAACTCCCTATCATTGATTAACGTGAAGTGACCGTTTCAAAACGCTGGTCTTCTGTGCCCACTTGTACTCGATACCTGGACTCAATTTACAAGCAGCAATCAAGACTAAGATTGATGCCGGGATCGAATTACTGCTAGACTACAGTAGCACCAGACACTTCATGATTCCTGGTATTCCCGCGTACCCTCTACTTGATCTCCCCGCATCGCCGGCCGCGCAGCCATAGGTACCCAATACCGCGCGTCTCCATCTTTCAGGGGAAATAAGCCCCAGCATCTATGCCCGTGTCGGTTTAGCGGGCTCGGCGCGCTGTGCCGGATCGGTCCCTGGCGCAGCATTTCCCTTCCTCTTTGTTTCCCTCTGTTGTTCCTTTTTTCTCTTCTGTCGAGCTTCTTGAGCATTGTTACCGGCTTAGGCAATTCACCACCTGTGCATCTTAAATTAGCGCTACTACACACATGAATCGGCCCCTGCGTCTGCAGCAGCGCAACGCAGCGCCGCCAAGACGTGCCATGGCGCTGCCGCCGTGCATGAAGACGGAGAACTGGCTGTTGTACGGAGTAATAGTACTCGTATTAATGGACGATGTCAAACCACATCACACATCACATTCGCTCGTGCTCGGACAGGCAATGATGGGGCGAATCAATTGACCAAGAACCCCCCAGCTCCAGCGCACCGGGGGGCCTCTGGGGGGGCGTTTCTAGGCGTGTCAGGCGCTGCAGGCCGCTGGAAATTACCACCTCACCTAGCCAAGACGCCTCCATGGTCCAAGTCAGTGAGCTGCCCCAAACCCCCCTCGCGCAGACCCGCCGTCCAAAGTACATGTACCTGGTACCTGCTGTGCTGCCCCCCCGGCCAAGCAAGGCTTCGTACCCCTTACACCTGTTGCGGACCCGTCGGGGCTTCTTCCCCGTCTCAATGCAAATGCATCAAATCAACCTGGAGCCCCTAATCTCTTTTGCTTCCTTTTCGTTCTTTTCCTTCTTCCGTCCTTAATTGTTCACCTCCGTCCTTCTTTGAAACTCTGCAAAATCAGAGACTCTCGACATCGCTCAGGGGCCTTGCCGTCTCCGTGCCTGTTGAGACTTGTCTCGTCCTCTCATTGTCGAAACTCGACGCTTTGATCAAACCGCAACTTCGCCGCTCACTCTCTCCGGTGACGTTTGCTCTACCTGCTGCCTCGAAAAGGAATAATACACTCTCTCCGGAACCAACTTGTTTTCTCTGCAGGGCCAGAGGAAAGCTATACTCTCTCTATCTACCTATCATATACAGTTGATGCACTCCTTGTCGCTGTATCCGACCTCATCCTGTTCTCCGGCGCATCGAAAGCCTTGCAACTTTTAATACCCACGCCGTTTTTTTATATCCTATACCCTTCATTCTGTCACAAACCTCGACTGCACCGCCAAAATGCGGTACTTGAGCGGCCTCCTTACGGCCGCCCCTTTGTTGGGCCTCGTTTCTGCCCAGGTTTCCACAAGCTGTAACCCGTTGAACTCTACCGATTGTCCTACCGATCCTGGTTTCAACACCGACTACACTTTCAACTTCAACACTACGCCGTCTTATGAGCTATGGGAGACCACCGCTGGATCCGTCTCTTATGACGGCGAGACTGGTGCCGCCTTCACCATCAACAAGCAGGGTGACTCGCCCACCATCCGAACCCTCTTCTACTTCTTCTTCGGCCGCGTTGAGCTCTTCCTCAAGGTCGCCCCTGGTGTGGGCATCGTCAGCTCTGCCATGTGGCTGAGTGACGATCTTGACGAGGTCGACTGGGAGTTCCTTGGTGTCAACAACACCGCCGCCTCCACCAACTATTTCGGAAAGGGTTTCCAGGACTACCACAATGCCGGTGTCTATACCACGAAAGATAACCAGGCCGACTACCTCAACTATACCACCGTCTGGACCAAGGAGGGCATTGATTGGTACATCGACGGCCAGCACGTCCGTAACCTCACACCCGATGCTGCCAACAAGACCCGAAACTACCCCCAAACCCCCATGAGACTGTCTCTCGGTATCTGGGCCGGTGGTGACCCGTCTCTGCCGAATGGTACCCGTGAATGGGCCGGTGGTACTACCGACTACTCCAAGGGTCCCTTCACCATGTACATCAAGAGTGCTCGCATCACCGATTATGGCGGTGGTTCCGAGTACGCCTATGGTGATACTTCCGGTTCATGGGAGAGCATCAAGGTGACTGGGTAAGTGCTACATTATCCATGCATGCATTTGTATCTCGCTTCCCCCATACTGACCTAGCAATTAGCGGAAACTCCACCGCCTACAAGGCCATTCACGAAGTCCAAACCCCCAAGCTGTCTGTCAGCCAGAAATGGGCCAACCTCCCCGCTGGAGCCAGAATCGCTGTGTACGCGGCGGCTGGTGTTGTTGGCGCCGTCCTCATTGGAGCTCTGCTCTGGTACTGCATCAAGCAGCGCCAAGTGGGTGCCCGCGAGGCCCGACTGCAAAATGAAATGGAAAAGATGGACCGTATGGAACTCGACAAACTGAAGCGCGAAGGCGTTGATCCGGACGCGTATACTGACTACGATTCTCGCAGTATGAGGAAAGAAGGCGTCGTCACGTCTGATGCGCCCCCAGCAAGCGTCGGCCCTCTGGACAGCAAAGGTTGGTCAGCCGTCAACATAGAATCCCCCATGCAGTCGCCCGCCCCGTTCCTCAACAAGGGCGCTGGTGATGCCGCCGGAGGGGACCATCCCGGAAGCCCTGGATCTCCTGCCCCGTCACACCCTGGCCCCGCGAGAGGCTCCACGGCTCCCATCCGGACATTCAGTGCGAGCCACTCCGGTTACCAAGGACTCCCCGGCGGAGAAGTCTAAGCGGCAAACGTCATGAAATGGAAAAGAAGCGGTGATTTTGACTTTTTTGTTACTCAGAGGGAAATGGGGGCCATACAGCGCGTGGATGAACTTTTGCGTCTTTTTTCCAAAGAGGTCTCAATGACTTGTTCTTTCGTGTTTGACTTTGCCTCCATACCTTTGGATGGCGTTTAGGTGTTGAGCTAGAAAGGGGATGTATGGCATTATGGACACTTTTATTTTATTTTTTATTTTGACCACACATTTTGCCCCCCTTGGGGCTTTTTCAACCAGAAAAAAATCTTGCATATAATTCAGCCTTGGTCGTGGGAATGAACATATTTCAATTACAACATCCTTATTGAGCTTCCGGTTACGTTGTGATATAATGAGCGTTGAATGAAGCCATGTGCATGTCCTGTACTTTTGTATTCCAATACTCGTCTATTCATTATAATATTATATATACCTATTGTCCATCAAACCCCTTATCCGCTCCTCCATGCTCTATGAGCAAGTCGTCTTGCTGACCTTGAAGCCGCCGGGCATCAGCTTCTGGAAAACGCCACGAGGGTCATACTTGGTCGCCGTTGCCTTCAAGAAGTTGAAGTTATCCACTCCATATCCACAGAGCGGGTTCTGAGAAGGAGAAGCGTAGTTGATGTAGAGGAAAGGGTGGTAAGTGCCGTATTTCTTTGCAACAGTTTCCGTTGCGACGATGAAATCGTCTCGCGCGGCGTACATCATACTGTCGAGGCTGGGGTCGGTCCAGCGTGAAGTCAACCACACCACTGTGAGAATTCCATGTCAGCATTTGTGTACTTATCTTTTGTAATGTGTCAGCCTTTAAGAAATAGAAAGCTTACCGATCTGGTCATCCGTAACACTCTGGAGGCCGAGGCTGTTACCGCCGCTGCGAGTCGAGTATGATTGCTGGATCTTGGGTTGGGGGATAAACGAAATCATCCAGTCAACTTGGTCTTTGTGCTCAAGTCCGTTGTAAATCGCATCAGTCACATCCCAGATGTCTCGGACTGTGGCAAAGTCGTTGGAAAAGGTTATACTGGAAGTGACTTGACTATAAATCAAAAGGTTAGAGGGTTTACCCCTAAATGAAAGAACAAGAAGAAACATACCGATATCCCTTAGCCTGGAACTCGCTGACTTGGTGCACAAAATCAGCAAGTTTGATGTGGCCAGCATCGTGCTTGACCTGATTCGGCATGTTTAGGAATTCTTGCAGAGAAGCGGGATTCTCCTCGCCAATGGTGTTTCCAAAAGCAGCGTTGACAATCTGACCCTGGTTGTTCGCCAGGTAAACAGTCATGAGCTGCACAGCCGTGTTGATGTCGAGATGGTTGTTCGCCGTAAAGTCAACCAGAGCCTGGCTCATCTGGTCCTGCACTTGCGAGTATGTGGCTTGCGGTCCGTTCAAACTGACAAAGACCTCTCCTCCCCAAAGCCCATCAAAATCAAAAGCAGCAATCTTGAGGTGCGTCACGATGCCGAAGTTGGTATTGCCTCCCTTGAGCGCCTTGTAGAGATCCGGGTGGCTCGTGGCATTGGCATTCACAATCTCACCAGAAGCAAGCACAATCTCGTAGTTGATAATGTTATCAACGGCCCATCCTCGCTTTGGCTGGAAGAGAGACTGGCCACCTCCGAGGCTGACACCACCGGCGCTGACGTCCTCGCAGATTCCGCCAGTAAAGCCAATGTTGCTGCTGTTGAAAGCATCGTATGCCTCACCCCAAGTGATACCAGAACCAATACTGACGTATGTGCGATCATCTGCCAACGAAGCTGAGTTTAGTGAGCTCAGATCAATGGAGACGCCGCCGTCAATGCTGTTGAAGCCTGTATTGGCATTGTGGCCACCTCCTCGGACGGCAAACTGGCATTGGTTCTTGGTGATGATCTTGACGGCCTTGGACACATCGAGAGCAGACTTGGGAGTCACAACACATCCCGGATGCAAGACTGAGGTACCAGACCATCGAGCATTTATAAGGGTATTGTATTGTGATGTAGAGGGGGAGAAGAAGAGGGACGGCAGAGCTTGAGAAAGTTCGCGACACTATACGAGATGATACATAAAGTTAATGAGATGATGCCATTTGTATTATGCTGGAATATTGTAAAAACTCACGCAAGTAGTGCTTGCGGTTGCTGGAACTGCGTCGACATACCCGGCCAAAGCCAGGGCTGAAGCCAATGCTAGAGCGTTCTTCATCTTCGCCAATGAAAGGTAAATTTGCCTGTCTTTGACAACTAAACGCAACTGTGAGATAAAAAGCTTGTGAATACAGAGTAGAAACACCCTTTTCCCCCTCAACGGACACTATGGCGACTTTTAAACATGTGAAGCATCTATGCTAGGCAGCACTGTTTTACGGACGGTTCCACTTCTCTTCACCTCTATGCAACTCGGTCGTTCTATGGGTACTTGCCGTCTTTCCATGCAAGGTACAAGGTGAGGATGTAACATCCGTATACCGAGTTGAATCAGGGAATGCTTGCAAAACGCTAGGACCTCACGGCTTCCCCATCGGAGACATTTGCTAACACCCCATCTTTTACCTTCTTAAAATGAACAAGCTTCAGGGCATGTGGCAACAGAGAGGCGTTCAAGTTTACATACATGTCATCATCTAGAGTCATACAAATCCGAGGAATACGGTGACCGATAGCCTATTAGGTTAATCTCCTGTACTACGACCGCGGAGCGCCCGTGAGTCCGAGACGGCGTGAGAATAAGCATATCTCTTGATCCTATCGGAGCATTAAAAGATACCCTCTCAGCAAATGATTGTTTGTAGAACGGTTAGTAATTAACGTTTTTTTTTTAGAGACCATGAGGTTTCAGGTAATACTTACTTGTTCGAATCCTGATCCAGAAGTGCCGTGGATCCGTCACTCGGATCCGAATGTTTAAACGGACATCACATATGCCAGAGTTGACCCCCACGAGTTGTTTTCGATAAGTTCCATTGCAGCTGCCTCTACGGATTTATTACTGCCGATACCCTCAGGGAAGAGGCTGGCGGAGATAAGCCTCAGATCCCAAGGGTCCATGCAGAGAAGTACCCAGAAATGGAAAGTTTTAAGAGCAAGCAGTACGGAGTATACTAGAGACAAGTAGGCACCTGCAAGTACGGAGATGCTCGTCCCGAGGCAAGTGGATGTCGGTGTACGCCGAGAGCCTCTACAAGGTTCTACAGCTTCTAGACCGAATGACTATCAGTCTAGCCAACCAGAAGGATTTGTTTCCGCGCGGATCGGCGAGATATGATGCTGTAACGACAACTTAGACTTGCCAAGAATAAGCGCCAGGTGGGCAAGGGATACTACATCGAGTACTAGCCTGTCAGCCGCGATCCAAAAGGAGATGTAAGAGATTTCAGGATTATAATACATGCGTGAGCTTTTCTAGAAACCAACGAAACCGGGATTCTGAGATGAAAACGAAATTTTTATTTGGTAGTGAAAGAAAAAACATTATACTGTTTACTGAGTTTTATACATTTTGTTTCACCAACAGGCTTTTTAACAGCTCATGCTATCGTAAGATCTTTCTCTGCGGTTTTTATTTCTCCGGTGCCCGGGCTATACGCGAAACCAGGGGTCCTGTTGCTGCAACATTGCAACATCATCCCTGCGTTTTGCCAAGGCCTGTATGCCGTGAAGAAGATATGGCACCCTTGACGACAGACGCAGAATCTGTATTGAGGTCAAATGCCTCAATACTTTTGACAACTAATACGTATTATGCCCAGCGGAATTACTCATACGAGATATATTTCCAACAGATACCTGTGAGCAATAGTGATGCATCTGCAAGGATCAGACTGTACCTATTGCTGACACGAATGCAACCTCGACGGACCGGTTGCAAGACATTGACCAAGGGGACCTTTTTCTCTATATGGATTGCCTATCAGTAGTGGGTAGTTTATTGCTCATGAGTTGAAATGAGTACGAATTGGATTTTGTATAAATCCCTTTGCAAAACCTTGACAGGGGAGGGGTTGTGAAGCTGCCGAATACGCACATGCCAAGTACATGTGCGTTGACATGTTTCTGTAGCAAGCCGTAGTGTGATGAGCCTGCATGAAGGACTCCCTTTTAAGAAACAAGTCTGCATGTAGAGAAAGGTACTCAACCACTTTGGTATAGATAAGTGCTTGATCAAAATACAGACCCAAACTGTCATTGATCTAGAGAGAGGCATTTCATCGCCCCAGGCTGGGTATCCAACACCCCAGCGGCTGCGTAGAGTTAAAGTATCGCAACAAGACGCCATATAAACACCTTTTTACGAACTGCAGATGCTTGAATTAATAAATATATACCCAGGTACCTGAATCTCTGCTACTGGCATTCCTTTCTTCTGGCATTTTCTAGTATTTTCAGTATGGCCACTTTCTTCTACTATCTGCTGATATCACTAACCAGGAAGCTTTGAAATTGAGACATGGGATGTTGAGCAGCTAATAGTCCCTTGATCTACACCTCTTATAATTAAAAGATGATGCATCTTGATATGACATTGCGGCTCAAAGCACATAATCATTCACCTTGTTTCTACAGGTTAAGTACCTACGTGAATTTGCGCCTTGGTAGATTTGTATAGGGCTCATACAATTCAATGCGATACTTGAACAAGATGTAATAAGGCGCCTAAATACCTGTAATCAGCATTGCATTACACCTGGGCATCTCTCAATCACAAATGAAGCTTCCAAGTTGAGCAATTGATGGAGGCATAATGGAGACATGCAGGCTCATATAGGTAGATGTAGATTCGCACTGTTTTGATGAGCAAATGTACCTGAGACCTGGGGTTGCGCATCATCAGCCACTAACGGCGCCTGCACAGCGCTAACGTTCGCTGTATTTGCCGCGCTGACGTCACGCAACGCTCAAGTCGATGATGTGGAAGATGTGAGGTGATGCATCTGATATCGGATCAACGCACCGCAGAACGCGCGTTCCTTTGAATGGAGCATCGCATCAATTCATTGCTACAATCTCAACTTAATTATATCATAGCTTACCTATCCATACAGAAACAACAAAAGTCCTTTTTATCAGCTTCTGTTTCCAACGCCTCACAACACAAACCCCCACCTTTGAACACCCGGCCTGAGCAGATTTCAAACGTTTCACATACGCATACGCACACGCACATTCATCTATATCATCTATTCCGACATCATGGCCGCCAATGTTCCCAGCATCGTGTGGTCCGCTCTCAGAGCTCTTAGTCTCACTGACACCCCCAGGGATGACTCGACCAGGCACCATGCCGAGGGCAACAAGTCCTACCACCCCAGCATTGTCGACATTGCTGTTGTCAAGGCCATGTTGTACCGCGCCAAGAAGCTGCCTCCGGACTTGATTGATGCCATATTGGATATGGCCGAGTACTGGATTCACACGACCACGCAGCTAAACGAAAGAATCAGCATCCTAGGCGGCAACGAGGCTAGAGAAAACCGATTTCTGGTAAGCATCTATGTTCACTGCGTGTGCCCCCCGTGGCTAACCGAGTACAACAGCTTCGGTCATATCCTCTTGGACTGCTCAACTCTGGAGCTCGCCAGAATGCAAATGATCAGCCTTACGCGACTACTCTTCCCACTCCTCGACCTCTGGGCGAGACTCTTGATGCGAGCTTCTTTGCCAAGTCGGTCAAATATCCTCTCCCGCGTCTGGTTCACCCCGCACGAAAGATCGTCTTCAAGTTCAGAAGCCAAGATCAAGGATACGTGAGCAGTCCGGAGGAGGGTGACAATCCCTATTCCGGATCTTGGACGTGGTTTGACGTTGGGCTGGAGAGGTTTGATGCCGGCTCTGCAGGTGAGTACCTATATTTGCATACCCACGCCTGTGTTTGCGAGATGAATCACCTAACAGCCGGGCTTAGTCGATGGATCTGTGCCTTCAATCAACTCACTTCGGCCAGTCCAGCCACCAATCCAGCAGACATCCTCCGACCCAGTCGGATACAACTATACTCACCAGCTACTACATTCACCCGAGTGGGAGATCCAGAGGAACCAGACAGCTCTCAGAAAGTGGCAAGACCATGTCATTACATGGTCCTACCTGGACGACATCGCACCTGAATCCGAGCGTGGCAAAGCCCTCGAGGCACAAGGCAGGGGACGAGCCACAGGCGATGGAAAGTTTGTAAGACAGCTGCGGGTGGGTGATGTGATTACGGTCTGGGGCAAGGCGAGATTTCCCGGCTGGGCAAACCGCATCGAGTCGGTCCAGATTGACGTGTACTGGGCCGTGTGAGATTATGGCCACTGTATTCTTTTTTTTCTTCTCATACTTCTTTTTCTTCTTCTTTTCTTTGTGCGTCTTTTAACTTGGGGCGTCTGGGAGCGTGCGCATCTAAATTTTGACAACCCAAGAAAAACTGGTTGCTGGGACACATCTGCCGAATACATGAATCAAGTCTGGGAAGATACTTCTTTTTTGTTGTTTAAACAAATCAATATAAAATACCCATAGTGTATCATAAAATATTCACGATAATATTAAAAGGCCCTTCCACAATTGCTGTCATAATGCAAAACAACACTGGTGACTTTCATCTCGCAACGACAAGGTTGACGGTTGACGTCACTGGCCAATTGCTTAGATGCGTGCCTACCTAAATTATAGGCACCGACATTTTTCTTTTGCGCAAAATCTCCATCATCACCGCTCTAAATCCACTCCCGAATCTCTTCCAATCTTCCGCAATTCATGTTTCGTCCAGCGTCCAAACACGCCTCATCCGTGTCTTTTCGCCTCCATTTCCGCACCATGGCCACCAACACAACATTCACGAGGACTGTGCACAACGTCCCTCTTAGTCTGCCAGACGGACTCTCAGAAGACCACCTCACATCGTTTAAGCCGTTCACCGTAAGTAGATCCTGATTCTCCCAGGCTGCAATGCTTTTGCTAATGCATAACTGTGTGCATATAGAGCTGGATCGACACGCTCACCAAATCTCTTGCGCTTCAAGGAAACGCTTCTCACCCGTTCCACTCAGATCCATACGCCCTCCGCAACGTGACGGTTCAATCCTACGATTACTTTGGAGCGGGCCGCCTTGGCTTCGTCAAGTTGACGGCAACCGTCTCGAATTCCGGTGGAGAGTCTCTCCCCGCAGCAGCCTTCTTGCGCGGCCCCAGCGTCGCCATGCTGGTAATGCTGGTACCAGACGACGCGCCCCAGGAATCTGACGAGCGCTATGTCGTTTTGACGGTGCAGCCGCGCATCCCTGCCGGTAGCCTGAGCTTCGTAGAGCTCCCGGCGGGGATGGTGGACGGTTCAGGCAACTTCAAAGGAGTGGCCGCCAAGGAGATTGAGGAGGAGCTGGGCATTACGATTCACGAAGACGAGTTGACGTGCCTCAGCGAACTGGCAGAGGAATGCATAGAAAAACGGGACCCCACGGACCTGAGAGAAACTCTGACTGCAGCCATGTTCCCAAGCGCGGGCGGATGCGACGAGCATATTACCATCTACAGCTACGAACAGCGCATTCCGAGAAGCCAGCTGAGCGAGTGGGAGGGCCGCCTCACAGGCGAGCGCTCTCACGGAGAGAGAATCACGCTCAAGGTGGTCCCCATGCAGCATCTCTGGAAAGAAGGAGCTCGGGATGCCAAGTGCCTGGCTGCGTTGGCGCTGTGGCAAGGTCTACGCCAGGAGAAGAAATTATAGTCGAGCAGACCCCCATTGCTGTCCTCCCCTCCCGCCCTTCCAATAGCATCCCCCCCAGGTCTAATAAAAACCCTGGGCCCGAGTTCATCTTCATAGCTTTAATCTCTGTGCCAGCAGGATGCCCTCAGCGAATGTGCCGACTCGCGCGTCAATCGCATAGCCCTCGGCCTCCAGCTTCTTGCACTCCTCCCATAAGCTCGCCAACGGCACGGTGAAGACTTCGATGAACTCGTTTTCTTCCAGCTCTGGCTTCAGGTCTTGGTTCTCCGGCAATGACATGTCGATGGTGACGTGCACCATGCGCAGGTTCGTGTTGCAAAAGCCCGGGTCGTTGTACATGATGGGCGTCGTCTCGGACACGACGCCGACATATCCCGTCTCCTCCTTGAGCTCGCGCACGGCAGCCTGCTCGGGGGTTTCGCCCGCATCGATCAGGCCAGCCGGGACCTCGATCACGACCTTGTCGACGGGTGGTCGGTACTGCTTCTGCAGGATAATCTCCTTGCCCGTGGGCTTGTCTAGGATGGCGACGATGCCAACGCCATCGATGTCTGCGCCGGCGGGACGAGTGCGTCTTTCAGCAGATTCCCAGACTCGCTCGGTGCCTTTGGGGTCCTTGTATGCGATGCTGTGGGAGAGTCGCAAGTCAGACATACGAAGGAGGGGAGAAGGCGTCATAGATCATGAGGGGCCGCGACATACCGATGCAGAGACACCCATCGCGACTCGTCGTTGGACTAGGCGAGCCTTGGATCAGCAACAAGACACTTTGTGGGAGTTGAGGTCCTCTTGAGTAAGACCTACCAGTGGCGTTATCGAAAGAACTTTTGCTTCGGCAAAGGACATGGTGACAGACGTGGAGGCGGCTGGGCTTGTGAGAGGAGCAAAAAGGCACAAGGGCGGCATTGAATTGCGGCGGCCGGAGCCGATGGCGGGGTCGCTATTGAAGCCTCCAGGGCTGTTCCGCGGGCGCTACAGCGAGTCAGTTTAGGCCTCTCAGGAACCCGCAATCCGTGCATGAATCGAGACTTGAGTGAGAGAGGAATTGCTTCTCCAAACTTCAGTCACCCATGCAAGCCATGGTCTCAGAGCTTCAATATTTCCAAGACTCTCGACATACATGGTGTGCGTGCAGATGAAATCAGGTTGTGAGGACAACCAACGACGTCTGCACATCTCCCATTCATGGATCTTTCTCTGACGCCATAGCAGCTCCTATTGCGCATCCATGCCCAAACATGTCCTAGCCTACCTGATCAAGGCGTCTTCGAAATCATCCAGATGAGACTAATGACCAACAACAGGACCAATCGTCAGCACCGGGTACAATTGCCACCGGCGCTCAGAAGCTTACGGTTCATGGCAATAGCCGACGCTTGGTTTGGGTTTGTACTGAAAATTAATTTCCAATCAATGATCAGGCCAAACCCAGGAGCGCAAGACACGGGCGATGCGTGGCGGAGAGAATCCAGGCATTTCATCTCAAACATAACATCAAATGACAAAGGGATCCTCTCATTCCAGCGCCCCAGACAACAAAGACGACAACGCAGCAATAGTCTCATCGATAAATAAGCACACGACGCAAGCACTGATACGATCCGATCCGATGGGCAAATTGCTGACTTGGCCTTTGCTTGCGCGTTCCGGATACTGTACCCCACTGTAAAAAGTTCCTTTGATCACGCCAATCAACGGCGCTGGGGACCTTGAAGTTTGGATAAAGGGAAATGGTTCGCGCGAACCTTATCTTGATCCCTCGACTCGGGCGGGCAGTTGGGATGCTTCGTACGCCGTCGACGTGTCTCGCATACGGTGTCGTCATCTTGAGCTGGCAGAGGCGCTGGATTGTTTCGTGTTCCCATACCCCCTTTCCCTAATATCATCCTGGTAGCTCCATGTACTTTACCCCGGGATCTCCAGAGTCATTCATTTTAAATCGTGGCTTCTCATCTTCGCGGGGGATCTTCTGATACTGGCGCCAAGAGCAGAGAGCTTCGAGAGAGCTACTGTACACTGAGCAATGACAAGATACGGCACCGACACGATGGAGGCCGAGCCCTCCGGCATGGACTCCGATATCGAGCCCAATGCGCATCGTCGCCGCTTCCAAGACGACGACGAGACCATCTATGAAGCCGACGAGTCCACTTCGCTGCTGCATAGCGCCGACCTGCCAGCTGATATCGCGCCCTCCAAGTCCTTCCGTCGCTTTGTGCTGGGCATGTGCGTGGTGTTCCTCTTCATCATCGAGGTCAGCCAGTTCATTCTCACTCCCGCCATGGAGCAGATCATGGAGGATGTCATTTGCCGGCGCTATCACCCGGATCATGCTCTGGCGATGCACGACAACCGGTGCAAGGAGACGGACGTGCAAAAGACGCTGGCCATGGTGCGATCCTGGTCCATGTCTGGGGAGATGCTGTTTCGTGAGTGCCTGATTTCCGTGTTTTCAACTAAATATCTACATGTATCATGTTGCGCTAACCGTCAATGTGTGTCGAACAGCCCTTTTTGTCCAGATCTCTTTTGGTGTCGTTGCTGACAAGTATGGCCGTCGTCTTGTCATCTTCCTTGCTCTCTTTGGAGCCTTTCTCGAGCAAGTCTGGATAACGATTGTCTGTACGTCACATCATATGTTCCACTCCTTAATCTAGTGGCCCCGGTTTGTATCTTCCTAGCTAATCATTCACCCAGTGCTCTTCCCTGATACGTTCTCCATCTGGAGTATGCTCTATGGCAGCGTTTTCTACTTGATTGGTGGCGGTGGCCAGATGGTCGTTGCCATGGTTTGGACCATCATTGCCGACGTGGTTCCCGTGGCTGAGAGAACCAGCGTCTTCTACCAGGTCTATGCCATGAACCTCATCATCTCCGTTGCTGTCAACCCTCTCGCTGCATGGCTGCTCAGCATAGATGCTTGGCTTGCAATGTGGATTGGCAACGGAATCCTGGCCGTTGGCATGCTGTCGTCCGCTCTCATCCCGGAGACGCTGAAACTTCGCCAGGCGGCCGATAACAAGCGCCGCGGTCAAGGCGCGTCGCCTCCAGTCGAGGATGAATCTCAGTTGTCGTCGAGGAAGCTTCCTGGTGCAAAGGACTTGGCGCGCCGTGCGTGGTTCTCCGTCAAGAACGACGTGTCCCACGTGTGGCACTTTATCTTCGCCTCCAAAATCGTGGTGCTGCTTCTTCTGGCCTATGGACCATTCTACCTCATCAGGCTAGCTTTTATTCTGGACATTTTGCAGTACATGAGCCGCCGCTTTAACTGGGAGTGGTCAACAGTACGTCTTCATCTTGTATTTTCCAAGTGGCATCATTACTGACATTGAAACCAGGCAACCTATATCAACACTATCAGCAGCCTGACGGCCGTCTTCACCCTGCTTGTGGTGCTACCTGTAGCATCCCACATACTGACCGCGCGTTTCCGGTACAACCCCATCCGGCGCGATCTTCTCTTAGCTCGCATCTCCATTGTCGTTTTCATCATTGGCAGCATTCTCACCGCCTTGGCTGACGTGCCGTGGCTCTTCATCTGCGCCATGGTCATCACCAATCTTGGCCAGGGCATGAGCACCCTCTGCAGGGCCCTACTCAATGCTGTGGTTGAGCCGCACACCATTGCGACTCTCAACACCACCATGTCCACCATGGAAACCCTGATGGGCTTCATAGGCTCGCCAGTCATGGGATGGCTCCTGAGCCGTGGCATGGAGCTGGGCGGAATGTGGATGGGCTTGCCTTATATGGCGACGACTCTGCTTGGAGTCTGTGTCATGGTGGCAATTTATCTCGTCAGAATTCCAGCTGGATTTGCTCAGGGCTCCAGAGGATAGACGGCATACATGGCTAGAAATTAGAAACTAGAACCATAGAAAGCATTTGAACAAGCGCAGGACGCGAAAGTCGGACAAGGAACTTGAGACTAGGTGTTACGGGATGGGATTTGGCAAAGAGAACGAGGCGTTGGAGGCTCTATGTGGATTAACACTTGACGTGTAATTTTTCTATGTACAACATCAAATTTAATACCCTTAATTGATACGCATCATCTCGCCTTCTTATCTTTTGAACGTGACACTCGCTGTAAATGACAATGTTACTCAACCAATGCCTGATGCTCTCTTTATCAAGATAGGCGGGGCTCGGAAGAATCCTAGGTCCATGTACTCCGTAGCGCATTCCCTATCGATAAGCCCCGCGGGTTGTCACCTTCAGGCTACCTCTACAGGTCGACTCCACTGGAGCTTTAGATTCAACATAAACTCATACAACATACAACAGCAAACAGACCAACCCATCTCCATCTCTTGAAGCACCTCTTTCGCTCTCTTCAGCATCTTCATCTTCATCTAATCCCTCCAGTGCATCGCCACACTATCCAGCCACAATGTCCGACGACGAAGATTTCATGCAAGAGTCCGACGAGGAACAGTCGGTGCTAATCCTGGAGCAACCCGATTCGCGGCCGTGCTGACGCCTGGCAGATATGACTTTGAGTACGAAGAGGACGATGAGGAGGAGGCGGGCGATGTCGACATCGAGAACAAGTACTACAACGCGAAGCAGCTGAAGCTCAGCGACCCTCAGGATGCCATCACCGAGTTCCTGGGAATTCCGCCTCTCGAGCCGGAGAAGGGAGAGTGGGGGTTCAAAGGCTTGAAGCAGGCCATCAAGCTGGAGTTTAAGCTGGGGAAATACGATGATGTGAGTGGGATTTGGCATGCTCGTTGGCTACAAGGTTGTTTGGTGTATCATCAAGTTGGCTTTCTAACCATTTGTTTTGCAAATTACCCAGGCGGCCGACCACTTTGCTGAGTTGCTCACATACGTCAAGTCGGCCGTGACGAGAAATTACTCGGAAAAGTCCATCAACAACATGCTCGACTACATTGAAAAGGGAGCCGATGTGTCAGCAGCTGTCCAGAGCATGGAAAAGTTCTACTCTCTGACCCTTCAGAGCTTCCAGAGCACGAACAATGAGCGGCTATGGCTGAAGACGAATATCAAGCTAGCCAAGCTCCTGCTGGACCGCAAGGAGTACTCGGCCGTCTCCAAGAAGCTGAGGGAGCTGCATCGAGCCTGTCAGCGCAGCGATGGCACTGACGACCCCGGCAAAGGAACATACTCGCTTGAGATTTACGCGTTGGAGATTCAGATGCTGGCAGAGACTCGAAACAACAAACAACTCAAGGCGCTATACAACCGAGCGCTCAAGGTCAAGTCCGCCGTGCCGCATCCCCGTATCATGGGTATCATCCGTGAATGCGGTGGCAAGATGCACATGAGCGAAGAGAATTGGAAGGAGGCCCAGAGTGACTTTTTTGAGTCGTTCCGCAATTACGACGAGGCTGGATCACTGCAGCGCATCCAAGTTCTCAAGTATCTTCTCCTCACCACGATGCTGATGAAGTCCAACATCAATCCTTTTGACTCGCAGGAGACGAAGCCCTATAAGACGGATCCTCGCATCTCTGCCATGACCGAGCTCGTTGACGCATACCAGCGAGACGATGTCCACGCATACGAAAAGGCGCTGCGAAACAATCAAGACATTCTTGCAGATCCCTTCATCGCCGAGAACATTGATGAAGTCACCCGCAACATGAGAACAAAAGGCGTGCTCAAGCTTATTGCTCCCTATACTCGCATGAAGCTCTCGTGGATCGCCACTCAGCTGAGAATATCAGAACCCGAGGTGCAGGACATTCTCAGCTTCCTCATTATTGATGGCAAGATCAAAGGATCAGTCAACCAGCAGGCAGGCACTCTGGAAATAGCGTCCGATGCCGACATTGCCAGGATCCAAGCACTGGACGTCCTGACAACATCGATTCACGACTTATTCGGGGCCGTCTTTAGAGAAGGCGAGGGCTATAGAAACGAACATTCGTCTTTTGAAGATGCAGGGGCCGGGCTCGATGTCCAAGGGCTGACCAATCTCGTAAAGTCTGGGGCGCGACAGGGGCAACGCCAACTTCACAAGACTGGTAGAGGCAAATCTGCCTTGTCAACACCTCTGTGATGGCCCCTCATCGTTTTGCACCATGCTTTAGGTACCTACCTAGGTAGCAAAGGTAATAGCTCCCAACTTCTAAAAGAATCAGGTACGAAATCACCAAAAAAACAATCCATGACCCCGTGGGGACAAGGTTTCTAGGCCCGGGCATTTTATCACGGAGTGATCACATCTTACATACATACGGGCTCCACGACGAGATGGCCAATACAGGCATTATATGGACGGCGAAGAGCTGCATGCCTGCTCTTGGCGGGGATGCCACGTTGCGATGAAGAGACAGCAGCGGCAGACTGGGATGACGGGATGGAGTGAGACTCGGGGTGCCGCTTATCATGCTGAGATGAAAGTCGGTCCTCTTACATACATGACTACGTGTACTTGTAGCACTCTGTAGACGAAATGATATGATATGCATACAAAGCACCTTGGCACAACGAAATCCAGGGTCTGGATGGCGTTCGAGTGGCTCAGCAGCAATGGACATGCTACAACTACGCGATGTTTCCGTACCTTAGGCGAGACAACCGTGTCATCGTCGATATATCAATGCCACTTCAGCATGAGGTACGGCCTGCAATAGTAGGCCCGACAGATGCAGTGTTGCTTATGTGAGTCCACTCCGTACCGTCGTTTGCATGATATTGTTAGTCATGACTTTGAATGAGAAAAAAATGGCTTACAAGGAGCAACAAATGGATTTTCTGCCCATGATGGCATGTAATAACTTAGTATGCTCGCAGAAATTACCAAGTCAAGCCCAGATACTTGCCTTGCTATCGCGTCTCTACATTTACTACTATATAGATACGAAGTATATTGCTTTGTCGTCAGAAATTGCCATCTAACAGTTTGAATCGTCCAGACTAGCCGGTGGATTCTATCTGGCCAAGCCGACAACTCTTCCGCATGTCGTCAGTCTCGGCATATACGCCTCCGAGATGATCCAGATAACGTTGTATTACTCCGTAGGCCGTCCAACGGCCCAATGCAGCAGGCCGGACAAACAATCTCCGCGAGGCAATATATGGAATCCTACGCGAAAATAGGAAAATCGCAAGCGAGCAAGATTACCTGCGTCGACAAATAAATTACAGCAGCAAGTAAATAAGAACAAGAATAAGAAGAACCCGGGTTGGAGTGTGTTACACCGCGAAGCTGGATCCCAAAACAGGGATGCCTGGCCGCGGAACACCTCGTTCTTCACGCGATGCGATGCCACCAGGGGGGGGGGCGCGCTTGCATGGATGGGCTCGTAGGTAATAAGACCTGTCCAACAACGCATTTGCCATCTGACATATAAATGGAGATTTTCGCAGGGGGGCACGGAAAAAGGAGGGCCGAAGGTTTTGAAGGGGTGGTTGAAGCAATGCGAGTCTTTTTTTTTTTTTTACAGGGAGGTGGACAGGATTTTGTTTGCTCTGCTCTATGTAAGTCGGTTATGTGCATGGACAGTCTAGCTATTGACTTTTCTATTGTAAGAGCTTGGCGGAGCATGTCATGTTTGACAACTTGGGGTATCACAGCGAATATCCCTGGATACAGCAACGTAGAGTGTAGGGTAGGACGAAGACTCGAGACATTAAACGGCGTTGGATGTTGTGACACCCGCGTTGAAGGTCGGAGATGTACGGAGCATGAAGAGTGGTATAGACGAATTATTGCTATAGTCCGGCTCTTGTGATGTAATTGTGCCGGATCCAAGCAGAGAACAAGTCAACTTGTTCCCATCCTGCGGCCGTCACACGCCAAGAGCATAGCAAGCTAGCCGTTCCCTACATGTGTAGTCGTACTCTCACTCTCACTCTTACTCACTCTCTCCGTCGATCGATCACTGCGAGAGCCGCAGTTTGAGGGATATTCTCGGCACTGCAGCTTACGTGTAGGTGCTCGTCGATATGCTGCTTGTCCCTGTATGTGTGTTGCCTGCACCTCTCTCTGCCTGTACTCCAAATCGAGACCCCATGTCCGGTGTCTCAATTTTGTGAGACGTACGGAGCACACACACACACACACGCTCCACCCTCCGGGCCCGGGGGCGGCGCTGAAGAAATTACGGCTTAGTATAAAAAGCAAAAAAAGCAGGACAGTGTAGCACAGCATCTGTGTGAAACCCCAGCGGAGCCGAATGATTCGCCGCGGAGACGGCTGGCCCCGAGAGGTTTGTTTGCCCGTATGAGATGGTGGAGGGAGGGGGGAACAAAGAACTAGTCTGGAGGGTGCAATATATCTGGCTTCAATTTGGGGGGCCACCTGACAGCTTTTCTGATGAGCTTTTTTCGACTTGCTCTGTGTTATTTGCTGGTTGTGTGTACGGAGTATCTGCCTCAACTTTCTGCATGTCTCCTCTCCTCTGCTCTGTGATCTAATGAGAGGATTCGATGCCTTTGTGGACCGGGCGCACTAGAAGCCCATTGGGGGCTGAAAGAAGGCGCCGGATGTTCAACTTCCTTCATCGGGATCTCTCTCGATGACCCCGCGCAGGGATTATTGAAGCAAACCATGGCAGAACATGCTTCATGCTGTTGCAAGCACCACAGTAACACAAGGACTATGCAACAGGCATCGTGAAAAAAAAGGGAGTGGAGAACGACAGCGGTTGCATGTAAGTCCAGTCCATTCAGACCCTGGGAGAGAGCGAGAAAGCTGCAGCACGTTATTTCGGTCCGCCGAGAGTGGAATTCTCAACCCAATGCTTGATTTTGTTTGGAAGCGCGTTATTCGACCGCATAACCATGGCTGCTCGCTACATGTGTGGTGTTGAAGGGGGTGAGAGAGGCGAAGGAAGATCACCGAGGTGGTATTATCAGCATTTACTCCGTACAGATAGGAATGGATAGGAATATGTAATCGGACCCAGGGCGCGTCCGGACTTGGCGTGTGATTGATTGTACGGATGGACGAGGCTTTGGTGCCGACGGAACAATTATTGGAGCATGGTTGTAGTCGTACTCGTACGAAGTAGTAGCACTGCGTCCATGTATGTGTATGTGTTGAATGTATGTATGTGTGCATCTATGTGTACGAGTATAATACGTAGGCAAAGCTGTCCGTGCGTGTGCGTGAGTGCAGCTTGGCGCGGTGATTGGAATCGAGCAGCTCGAGCGTCTACAAGTCCACAGCTGAAGAACGACTATATGACGCCGGGATGGCAGCAAGTGGGTGGTGATGTGATGAGAAAGTTGCCATCACCTGACGCACATGTGCGTGGACGGCGGCCATCTGCACGCACTTTGCAAGATACGCAGACGGATGGATATACAGAAAAATACCACGCGGACGGGAGCGCGCGTGTTTTGGTCCTAGTTGTACGACTTAGTTACAAGTCATCATCATGGTAGCACCGGCAAATGCTTTGATGCCACAGAGAGCCCACGCATCGACAAGGTTCAGACAGACAGTGGGGGTTGAACTGCGGGATCCATTGTTTGCCTTTACAGGGGGGCGGTGGTATCGCGGATGGGTACAGGCAGAAGCTGAAGAAGCGTCAAAGCATCTTGATAGTAGTAGTAGTAGCACTGGAAGCTCAGGTGGGGGAGATAGTGGCCGATGATCGTGATGCTGGTAGTGGTCCTGTTGGTGGTGGTGATGATGAAGATAATGCAGTGGTTAGCCGGGTACTAGTAGGATTACATGGGCAACGAGGTCCGGAGGCGTCTTTGCTTGTAAGCGGGCAGTCTGAGGGCAGGGTAGGGGTCTCGAGGAGCTTTTCCCTGGATGCTACTAGGTACGCTTACCGGACCGTTATACGAGGAGAAAGGATGAGTAGAGAGGAAGCGAGAACATACAGTAGATCTGCCGTGGGAAGCTGGGAGAAAGAGAGAGTACCACCCTTGCCAAAGTACACAGATATCAGATCCTTGACTATGGTTGACGTCTGTCTGTCCGTCTGTGCGTACATGCAGGCACGAGTACAAGTTTTTGAGTCGCGGGATTAATAAGAGCATCTGCGCGGGATGTGCAAGGCTGTATGTATCAACGGAGTTTCCGTAATTAAGGCACTGCAAGCCGTGCAATTTTGGTGCCTGTCTTGAAGGATGTATGTACACAAGCTATATCTCCTAGGTATGATCAGGCACTCGTCCAAGCTGCATGCAGAGTCATGTTGCAGTACATATTGTTGGCTTGTACTCCGTACGAGCTGATTTGCAGCATTGGTACTGCAGATACATCTTCCGTGCTACTGATAGCCTTTGAGCACATGTTGTTGGATACAAGTACACATTCCTTGCATCAGACACTGGTTATGAGCCATCTAGAAGCTGCAGACAAGTATGCGGCAATGCTACTGACGCCATTCCAAGGGTCGAAAGGTCGCACTGGCAAGGTTTCCAGCCATACAGAGGCCGAAGAGGCAGCTCCATAGCGGCAAGAATGGCAGGTTTTGGCGGTGGCTATGATTGAGGCTGCATACGGGACATCGGACCAAATAGCCTACTTTTTGTGAACGAGACGAGGACGAAGGACAATGGTGTTTTCTGTTCGCGATTGGCTGCTGCTTGGGTGTCTGTAGTAAAGCAGATACGAGTAGGCACGCCTTTTGCTTGACCTGTACAGAGACGGCATCATGTGCTTGCTTGAGCGGCACTTGAGACGGCATCGATATAGCTCCAGCCGTCCCGGTCAGATGAAATTCAGCCTCTGCAGACATCATCCGCACCAAGCAGCCACTCACTTGTACTGTAGCACCGGCATATGCGTGTACTTGTTACTCGGAGGCTAATGTGCATGTATGTACATGTATGTTTCAGGCCGCCCGGGGCCTCTGATTGGCAGCGCGATGCTTTTCTCACGCAAAACCTGTTGTTGAGTGGCAGTCTCTCGCACTTGTACGGCAGTAGTGTGCTTACAATAGCTTCTCATGGCTTACAAAAGTCTCAGAGGCCACGGGAGACGCGGCCAATCGGCAGGCTACGCGCTGAAATGACTTTGCTTGTATGCGTGTCTTTGGGAGACTAGTCGAAGCATCTGTAGGTGAGCATTCATCTCACTACCTCGGCCTTGGCTCACTAGACGCATGCAAAATCGAAGTTTCTTCTTCTTCTTCCTCCTCCTCCTCCTCTTCTTTCCCGTCCCGCCTTCGTTCTTCTGGCCTTAGCGATGACGCAGGGCCTGGCATTGTACAGGCGCCTCTTTGACCATTTTAATCCTCATTAATACTACTCTGTACTATCATTATTCATCTATTTCCTGGACCCTGCTGATACAGATGTACCTGCCGCATCTTAGGGGACTCCCTACCTAGTACTACTGGCACCTAGAGAGTGTGTGTGACATCAATTTGACTTTATCTTGTCATCCCATGCTAACGCGTCTTTAATGGTGTTTGGCTACATCCCTTGACCCCATCGATCTATCTCCGGCCGACGCCACCCGCTCTTTCATTTTAGTGGCCGAGCAAGTTCTGGTAGTGTAGTGTGTACTA